ATAACTGAGCTGCTTTCCACCTCATCCTTATGATCCCTTATTGGTGCCTCACCAGCGTATACCGACAGCGCAGGCGGTTTTTTTTTTATGCAACTTAGAATGACAAACAAGCTGACGGCACACCTGATGGAAAGTGGTAACGGTCGCCTATAGACACGAACAGTACCATGGACATAACAGAGTATACTGCTGTCGTTCCATGTAGATACATTAAAAAAAACCTGCGTTATCATTATACTCTTATCATTCCATTTACATCCTTGTTTTTTTGCATACATATTTACGTTTAATTGTGCATACATATTTAATTTATTTATTCTTATACAAAGCACAAACTACATTGTGCTTTGTAGGATACTACATAATATTATAATATTAAAAAAAAAATATAATTCAATTCTTTTCTTCTTCTAAAGAAGAATTCAATTCTTCTAAAGAAGAAGCTGCCATCTCCTACCGAAGGTTGGCGACCATCATGACGATATTTACTTCGTCCACCGCCATCTTGAAAAGGGATCTGGTGTTTATTCGGAATCACTGCTTTAGATTTTTTAACCAGGACTTTCGGCGTCTTTCCAATCTTCGGCAACTTCAGACCGGGGGGAAGGGATTGTTAGTAATGGGGAGGTTAGTCCCCATTGCTATCAATATACCCTATTAGGTCGATCTCCACGCGGTTCCCCCTGGAAACTATCGTGACTAATTTTTCGTTGAATTCGTCACGATAGGCTAACTGACCTGCCTTTTCATCCTCACCTATCACCGCCTACTGGTAACTCGCCAGTGTACGATAGCGCAGGCGGGGTTACCATGCCACTTTCATTTTTTCTTTATACAACTTAGAATGGCAAACAAGCTGACGGCCCACCTGATGGAAAGTGGTAACCGTCGCCTATAGACATGAGCAGTACCATGGACATAACAGAGTATACTGTTTCGCCCATGATACCCCCCATGCGTTGCTATTCCTGAGGACTCAGGTGTTATTCCTCTGTACCCAGTAAATTCACGCCGTATCCCACCCTTCAAACCGAAACATAACATAACATAACTTGCATAAAAGATTTGTAACTTAAAATATTTATGGCATAAATAAACAATTAATACACGTGTGACGTCCCTGGATAATATAGGTGTCATTTCTGTACTCTGTACTACAATAAGGCGGGTCGTATGCTAATTTTTTTTTTCTAAATAGATTATAAAAAATGTACAAACCAACCATATATTGCGTATCGTACACTTTACATGCCAGTTTTTTACAACAAATAATTACATGTAATCTAATTATGCAACGGCAGGCATCCGCGCCCTCTTGCGACCAGTGTATTCGAGTGTGACACTGTATGTGTATATATAAGATACAAGTTTACTGCACCCACTGTTGGACTTTGACCTTTGCGCTGTAAACACATTTTATTATTTTTATCTTTATGCAATTTAGAATGGCAATATTTGAGGTAAAGTAGAGACTGTACAAAAGTCGATTGTTTGGGTACCTCTGTTCCATTCGTGTTTCAACTCTGAAGCAGTTGTGTTTGCATGGCTGTGTTTCGGTTTGAAGGGTGGGATATGGCGTGAATTTACTGAATACAGAGGAATAACACCTGAATCCTCAGGAATGGCAACGCATGGGGGGTTTCATGGGCGAAACAGTAAACTCTGTTATGTCCATGGTACTGCTTATGTCTATAGGCGACGGTTACCACTTACCATCAGGTGGGCCGTCAGCTTGTTTGCCATTCTAAGTTGTATAAAAAAAAAAAGTTAACAAATGATCTCTTTAGGGTTCAATCATAATTATCTATATATATAATAAAACTGTAGAGGTAAAATGTCTGTACAATAAAAAAAAGACGCTAAAAACCGAGTCAAGGGATGTTAGAAGTGAAATAGAACATATCCAGACTTTTTCAAATTTTTGTTTGTCTGCCTGTTTGTTCGGGCTAATGTCCGAAACTGTTGGATCGATTTAAATGAAATTTTACATAATGGTACCTTACATACCCAGTCAACATTTTATTTATTTATTTTTATTTATTTATTTACACTTTATTGCACCAAGTAAAAGGAGAAATAACAAATACAGTAAATACTAATGAGAAGTGATACAAAAGGCGGTCTTATCGCTATTTTACATACTTTTAATCACGGAAAATTGAGGAGTTCCCGTGTGATAGTTAAAAAACTATAGTAACAGCTTACACAGCTTAGTACACAACCAACTTAAATAAAATCATTTTGATCCAAGACAAAGAGTGAGAACGATATATATATATATATATATATATATATATATATATATATATATATATATATATATATATATATACAAATACCACGCGAATAAAGTCGCGGGCATTAGCTAGTTAATAATAATTGTACGGTATATGAAGTCAATTATGCGATACTTTATTTTTATAATGTACATATTATTTTAAACAACCTTCCGTCCTCCGGAAACAGCGTTACGCTATATTGCACCGCTGTAATTTTTTTTTATTTCGTGCAATAAACCGTGAAAAAAAAAAGCATTAGTCTCTATTGATCCAGGAAGTAGGTTTAGTGATAAATTACTATCGCAAAATTATTTTTTAACACGTGACTGTACTGTGATTAATCTATACTTATAATAAATCTGTAGAGAGGTCCATTCTGTACATGAAATATATTTCCAAAATAACTATCAGGGGGTGATTAGTGATTGATATTGATGCCAAAAATGCAATCAGTAAAATTTTTGTCTGTTTGTCTGTATTTTCGTTATAGAAACAAAAACTACTCGACGGATTTTAACGAAACTTGGTATAATTATTCTTCATACTCCTGGGCAGGTTATAGTATACTTTTCATCACGCTACGATCAATAGGAGCAGAGCAGTGAAGGGAAATGTTAGGAAAACGGGAGAAGATACTCCATTTTTAAGCTTCCGTCGCGTATGCAGCCTCAATGGCCACTTTTTAAAATGTAAAAATGTCCACCCATGCGATGCCGGGACGGGCCGCTAGTGAAAAATAAAGCGATTCAAAATTATGCGATTTAAAACAAAATAACTAATTGATAAAATATTGATGTTTTCACTTGAGTAATATAATAGTACATTACTGCAGCGGCCAGCAACTGAGGCATTGATGGACGAAGGTGCAAATGTGGGCCGAGGCGTAGCCGAGGCTATTGAAGTCCACTTTTATTCTAGTCCAGTTTTATTCTGGTCACGTCTGGTAATGTCACAGTTGCATGGACAAAGTCGTGGGTTAGAATTAGTCTAACCATTATATCCAGAATAAGTTGCCCAGGCAATGATCAGAAAATAATAGGTGCCTGGTATATACCGGTCTATTTTTAGCGAAACTATCTGTCCGTCTGTCCGTTGCAGGTACTGAAATTTTAATAACCTGCCGGACGTAGAGTTTATTTCGGTGACGTGTAAGTTTGAACATTTTTATAGATTCCCATTTAATATTGGCCGTAACAGTCATTCTAGGAGTATTATTCATTCATCGGTTAGTGAACTATGTCAACTAGTATATATATGTACTTATGTGTGTAGGTTATTTACTACTATAATTTATGTAATTTTATTATTTACATATGTAGGTGTATACAGCTGTTTTTATTGTATTATTTATTAAATAATTTTACTGGATTTTATAAAACATATTATATCATGCAAACCTTGTCCTGACAATTGTAAATACAACAAAAAAATAATCACTCATATAAGTGCAGCCATTCTGATGCAATGAAATGCGCTTACAAACATTCGGCAATTGATTTTTATTTTTATAGAAGATTATAAAGATAGACTATTAGAGAATGCCTATAGCATTAACTCCGCCTTTTGTACAACATTTTATTGGTCAATAAAGAGACTTTGTACATAAGTCGATTGCTTGGGTACCTCTGTCCCATTCGTGTTTCTACCATGAAACAGTTGTGTTTGCATGGCTGTGTTTCGGTTTGAAGGATGGGATATGGCGTGAATTTATAGGGTACAGAGGAATAACACCTGATTCCTCAGAAATGGCAACGTATGGGGGAATCATGGGCGAAACAGTATACTTTGTTATATTCATGGTACTGCTCATGTCTATAGGCGACGGTTACCACTTTCCATCAGGTGGACTGTCAGCTTGTTTGCCATTCTAAGTTATATATATATATATATAAAAAGTGTTTTTATCAATATTTCTATAACAATAGAAATATTATTAGAAACAGGAATGGCAACGTATGAAGTGTATGATGATTCTCATGACGTTCATGACTATAGGCTACAGTTACCATGTAAGTGGGACATCAGCTTATTTGCAATTCCAAGATGTATAAAAAAAAAATAGTTTTAAAAATGTACGACATTAAAATCAGTAGGTCTAACTGTACTTTTTCCGGCATGGTGTCAAATGGTGTTTCTTGTGTACAAACAATAATTTTCATGAATCATTTAAATTTATGTAAATATGTCAAAATATTGTGGCATTTATGGTACAATCGGAGGCGCAATATGACAGACGTTCCACTTTGATAAAGTATCAAGAAGTCTCAGTACTGCCACAGATAATATTTTTACTAATTCTTAATTAATATTTAAAATGTATTGGCCGTGTGGTCCCGGCATAGAATAGGCCACCACTTCCTTTCCTGTGGGTGTCTTAAGAGGCAATTAATGGGCGAGGGATGAGTAGCAGCGTCCCTCTTTAAACATCTCCAAAGCCTAACTACGGTTGCTAATTCGCCTGCCAAGCGTGGCAACTAGTGGTAAAACCCTCCAAGGGGGAGGCTTATGTTCAGCAGTGGACAGTTAAAGGCTGACATGATGATGACGATTCTTGAAGGTCTAACATAAAGTGTTATGTATATTTTACCTTGATTTAACTAGAAACGGTTTAAATTTATTTACTTCCAAAATACAGATGCACGAAGTTGCGAGTGAAAAGCTATTCTAATATACAATGCTTCAAAAGCAAAACCGTGCATTAAACTGGTCCCTGGTTTCCAGGTATGGTGGTGAACGGATTCGTGAACGTGGTCATCACAACTATCGAGAAGAGGTTCGGGTTGCGGTCCATGCAGACCGGCGTCATCGCTGGAGGGTAATCATAAACAATTTGCTTATTTCTGTATTGTAATTGTCCATGGAGCGGTACAAGGCAAACGTTCTCGGGGTAGATCACCAACGTGACGGACTGACCTCATCAAAACGGCTACATAGCAGTCTATTGTGGAATGCTTTCGCTCGGCGGCGAACAGAAGTGGATGGAGACGCATTGCGAAGACCTAAATCGCTAAGGAGGGCCTCATCGACGATCCACTATCATAATAAAAACCACGACCACTCTGTCTAGAGTGTACGACTGAAGAGAGAGAGAGTATTGTAATTATTTATATGGACTTTGGATTGTAAATAAAGTAAGATCAGTTGGCACATTGTGATGAATTAGCCTGGAACCATGACGGTTTTTTAGCAGCTGCTTGAGCTATTATTATTATTATTGTTAGTAATGAGGATCTAATAGCTTCATTGCTAGCAATATACCCTATCAGGTCGCCTTCCACGGGGTTCCCTCTGGAAACCATCGCGGTTAATTCTTGTGGAAATCGGCCATCATCAGCAACCGTCAACTATCTACTCCTGAACGTAAGCATTTCCCTTGAGAGGGTTTTGCCAGCAATTGCCACACTTGGCAGATGGATTTTTTAGTGATATTTTAAAAAGGACGCTGTTGCTCATCCCTCGTTCATTAAGTTCCCTTAATCGCCTCTTACGGCACTCAGAAGAATAAAAGAGGTGGCCCATTCTATGCTGGAACTATAGGATGTGTGGAAATCGTTACGATGTGTTAAATGACCTATTTTCACCTATCATCCCTCACTGATGCGCCGCCACTGTATACCGATAGCGCAGGCAGGGTTACCATTCCATTCTCACCCATTAAAAAAATATTTCTTATAATAATTGTAACTATTTTTTTGGCACAGCTACGACATGGCGTCCTTCGCGTGCCTGGCCCCAGTGACATATTTGGGTGGAAGGAGCGGCTCCTCGAAGCCCCGCTGGCTCGGCTGGGGCGTGCTCCTCATGGGGACAGGATCTCTACTCTTCGCACTACCACACTTCCTCGTCTCACCATACAGGGTCGCTGGGGAGGAACCGGACGATCTGTGCTCTTTTAACAGAACCGCGGTAGGTAGTGTTGTTTTTAGAATTCGCTATACGATATTTGATAATTTACCAGAGAGAGACTTGGTACAAAAGTCTTCTGCTTGCTTACAAAAGTTTGCTGTTTCTGTCCCATTCGTATTTCTGCCATTAAGCAGTTGTGTTCGCCCCTTTCAGACTGAAACACTGCATGGTTATGTTTTGGTCTGAAGGCAGTTAAATTATGGGGTACAGAAGTACAACTTAGAATGACAAACAAGCTGACGGTCCACCTGGTGGAAAGTGGTAACCGTTGCCTATAGACATGAGCAGTATCATGGACATAACAGAGTGTACTGTTTCGCCCATGATACCCCCCATGCGTTGCCATTCCTGAGAACTCAGGTGTTATTCCTATGTACCCAGTAAATTCACGCCATATCCCATCCTTCAAACAGAAACACAGCCATGCAAACACAGCTGCTTCACGGTTGAAACACGAATAGGACAGAGGTAGTCGACCCAAGCAATCGACTTTTTTACAAAGTCTCCCTCTGATACGGTACATACAGCAAAATAATATTTTTATACAATTTTTGTCTGTATGTCTGTCTGTTTGTTCCGGCTAATCTCTGAAATGGCTGTACCGATTTTAACGGGACTTTTATTGGCAGGTAGCTAATGTAATAAGGAGTAACTTAGGCTACGTTTATTTTAGAAAAATAAAGTAGTGTTGCAATGTCCAAGTACTGTCCAGTATCGCGCGCAGCTCACGCGCATGCCACCACTGGGCCGTCACGTGCGAACGAAGTCGCGGGTACAGCTATTGTCAATAAAAATATAACTTAATTTGGAATAAGTAAAAATAAAATGAAATTAAATAGATGTCATTATAAAAAAATATAAAAAATTAAAGAATCAACTGTTAGACGGAATAAAGTTTGCCGGGTCAGCTAGTATACAAAAAAAGTACAAAAGGAAAATATATAAAAAAGTTAACATAATTTTTCGTGGGTATACCACAGTAACACAAAAAGGTCACAATTCAGTTTATATAACTTTGCTCTCAAAAGATCAAAACACTGATATTATGTTGTGGCCAAAAGTAAAAATGTTTTATTTATTTATTTATTTAAAGGAATACCAACAGCATATTGCATTATAACATATAGGTATAACAAACATTAAATATAATACAATATTAATGCACACGCCTATTATAGGTATTCACAGCATTCACTTTAACATAATAAATACAGTGCGAGAAAATGAAGTAACAATTATAATGAATTAAATAACACTAGACTACATATATTTTAAAAGTTGCGTTATTAGTTATAGAAATCACCAGAGGGAGACTTTGTACAAAAGTCGATTGCTTGGGTACCTCTGTCCCATTCGGGTTACAACCGTGAAGCAGTTGTGTTTGCATAGCTGTGTTTCGGTTTGAAGGGTGGGATGTGGCGTGAATTTACTGGGTACAGAGGAATAACACTTAAGTCCTCAGGAATGGCAACGCATGGGGGTATCATGGGCAAAACAGTATACTCTGTTATGTCCATGATACTGCTCATGTCTATAGGCGACGGTTACCACTTTACATCAGGTGGGCCGTCAGCTTGTTTGCCATTCTAAGTTATATATATAAAAAAAAACAAAAATGTTATTACATCTATATCAGTAAGTACGTGTAGGTTTAATCCGTACACAATCGCCTCACCCTCGCTTTACAAATCAGCATTCTTCATAATGAATTTGAATGGTAAAGAACAGCTTTCAGTACATACAAAGAGCGTTCTATTGCGCGTCTGTGCGTCCGGGTGTTCGGATGACAAGCTAATGACGACGTATTACTAAATGTCACGGTTGACAATATTAATCCACTAGAGGGATACTTCGTACTATCATCTGCTTAGGTACCACTTCTATTGTCAAGAACAATAATTCTGCCAATAAGCAGCAAGCTAACATACTATAATAGGGGGGAAAGGGATTGTTAGCAATGGAGTTTGACAGCCCCATTGTTAGCAATATGCCCTATTAGGTCAACCTCCACGTGATTCCCCCTAGAAACCATCGTGAACAATTCTTGTTGAATTCGTCGCGATGGACTAACTGACCTGCTTCATCCTCACCTATTATCCTTCACTGGTGCGCCGCCGGTGTATACCGTTAGCGCGGATGGGGTTTCCATTCCATTATCACCCATTAAAAAAAAATACTGTAATATACTAGAGTTCTTTAAGACTTCTTTGTTTCAGAATCCTCATATAGTATGATGAAACATGTTTCACTAAATATAGTATGTACTAAATATAGAAAATGAAAACGTACATTTATATATTCACATTATTGTACGTACATCCTGGGGGATGTGCTAATATACCGGCGCATCCCCCGAGTGGTAGGGTGAGCACGCCATCCACCCTATCTGGAGAGAGGAGACCTGCTCTTACCATCAGGGGGCGGGTCGCTGCCGTCGGAGATGTGGTGAGTGCGTAAGCGAACCCATGTCTCCGACATATGGCACCTCGAGGGTATATCGTCTGGTTTTTGGTGGGTACACCCCCACCTTACGGGGGGATTCCCACAGTACCCATTCACCTCCCACAAGGTGTATGGGTCTGCATAAAGACGTTAATAAAAAAAATTACTGTACGTACTGTACGTATATATATATATATATATATATATATATATATATATATATATATATATATATATATATATATATATATATAAAACGAACAGAGTTTTGTGCCTTCTCCTCTCGTACTGTTTATAGTTACTTCTCTCCATCCAAAGATTACCTGGAAGAGATCGCTCTTGGCGATAGGCCATAAATTTTTTTCTCAGTTAATATTTTCTTGTAATTGTTTGTATTTATAATAAGTTTACTATTGTAATCTTATGGAGGAAACAATAAAGAGTATCTATCTATCTAAATAATAGTTAAAATTTACAAGGGTTCTTGTTTTAATTTTTAGTATTATGTAAGAACGAACTTTCATTATTTTCTTTTAAGTTTTTATTATTATATGCAACTACAAAAACTTTCCCAAAATTTCCTTACAGTAAATTGAGATGGCTGAAAGGCAAATGCCTCTCGTAACACGTATCTCTTACCCATTTTTATAATTGACATCCTCCTACTGTTTTGTTTCTTTGAATCGATTTTGATAGCTTTCATCATTTCAATTAATTAATTTTATTAACATTTGTGGTTTTTAATCCATGGTAATGGAATGATAACCCCATCTGCGCTATCGATATACGCTGGTATGGCACCAGTGTGTTGTGGCATGATGGTTTCCATAGGAAACCGCGTAAAAATCTACCAAATAGGGTATATCACAATGGGGGTTCACATTCCCATTATTAACTATCCCTCTTCCTTGGGGAAAAGTTACAATGTATTTGGATACATTGTAGCTTTTAATGGATAATTGAATTGTAACCCCGCCTGCGCTAACGGTATACGTTGGCGGGGCACCAGTGTGGGATAATAAATGAGAGTGAAAAAGGCATGTCGTGATGAATACACTTGGAATTCAGCAAATTGGTTTTCAGGGAGGACCGCGGGGAGGTCGACCTGATTGGGTATATTGTTAGCAATAAGACCCTTAGTGGACTTTGTGGTTAACGAGTTACTAGGATAAAAAACTATAATTTTTATCTAAATAAAATACTAAATTTTTATTTAAATTACGTTTGTTCTGCAGTCAACACGATGTGAAGGAAACGAGCCGTCCGAGGGCGGCTCCTGGGCAGTGGCGGTGTTCGTGTTCGCGCAGCTGCTGCACGGCGCCGGCGCCACGCCGCTGTTCACGCTTGGCGTCACGTACATCGACGAGAACGTCTCCAAGAAGATGTCCTCTGTCTACTTGGGTTAGTGTCTATCATTACCTAACTAGAGTGGAACTTAACTTGCGATTCTGTACAGGCAAACGCAGTGTAAGAAAACTTAATATGGATTTTTGTGTCAAATTCAAACTTTTTTTAAGATGGGGATTGTGCTGTCAAATTGAAACTTTTTCAGTATTGACAGTACAAGCATGTTGTTATGTCATTCATGCGATTATTCACAAATAGCTAGCAATTAATAAAATATTTTTTTGTTTGAAATTTATTCAATTTGTTATTCAATTTGATGTTAATTTTTTTTTTATTATTATTTCACTTTATACGTAAAGAAGCACGTACCGGGCCGCTAGTATTGCTATATATTATATTACTCATCCCTACCTTACGTACATACTGTACTTTTAACTCGAGAGGTGTAAGCAATATGAACAGCAACAAGGAGCTATAAATACAAGAAAGCACCAGCTGTGTTAAAAAGCGACATTTAGTATCGAACTAAGCATAGCTTGTTCTATGAATACTAGACAGCTAATAAATTTACCAGAGGGAGACTTTGTACAAAAGTCGTTTGCTTGGGTACCTCTGTCCTATTCGTGTTTCAACCGTAAAGCAGTCGTATTTGCATGGCTGTGTTTCTATTTGAAGGGTGGGATATGGCGTTAATTTACAGGGTACAGAGGAATAACATCTGAGTCCTCAGGAATGGCGACGCGTGGGGGGTATCATGGGCTAAACAATATACTCTGTTATGTCCATGGTACTGTTCATGTCTATAGGCGACGATTACCACTTTCCATCAGGTGGGCCGTCAGCTTGTTTGCCATTCTAAGTTGTATAAAAAAAATGTACATAGACACATTTAGTGTAAATACATACATACATATTATAGATAGAAAATACTAGTTTCCTTAGATTATATAGATAGAGCGTCGAGTTTTAAAAACGGGTCAACTTTTTATCAGCTAATTGTCAAATTAGCCGACTTGTTTTTTTTTATCAGTGTTCTATATACTTGCACATACAATGTAACTTGACGTATTATTTAATAAATAAAATGGGTATTTACGCATTAAGAAGATGCAGAAATTATAAGACAAAATAAATATACAAGTTATGAGAGAATCACTCATAACTATTTATCACGGAAAAGTGTATGAAAAAGTTGAAAAGCTTTTCTCGAAGCATTTGTATGGAGACACAACCTATATAATCTAAGTCAGTTGCATACAAAGCGCGAGGATTCAATCTGTAATCATTGAAAGGCGAAGCAGTAGCTCATTTTAAAGTTTTGCATTATTTACACGGACATATTTTAAATACACTATCGGGACATAGGGCGTTAAAAAACAAATTTTAACATGTAAACAATACCTATATTTAGAACTAACAAAATTTTTCATCGTGCCTCCCACCAAATTGTTTATAATTACTTCTCTCCATCTAAAGGTTGCCTGGAAGAGATCGCTCTTAGCGATAAGGTCGCCCATTGTTTTTTCATTATGATTATTTCTTATAATTATTTGTATTTATAATAAGTTTACTATTGTATTCTTTTGGAGGAAACAATAAAGAGTATCTATCTATCTATCTATATACCTATTTCTTTAATATACCTGTTGCCTTGTATATATCTATTACCTTGTTAAGAAATAGGTATGGTACCTACATATACCTATTTACTAACAAAACATTTTCTATCCTGTTATGTCCCGATAGTGTATTTAAAATATATACGTGTAAATAATGCAAAACTTTAAAATTAACTACTGCTTCACCTTTCAATGATTACAGATTGAATCCTCGCGCTTTGTATGGAATTGACATAGATTATATAAATTGTGTCTCCATACAAATGCTTCGAGAAAAGCTGGTCAACTTTTTCATACAATTTTGCGTGATAAATAGTTATGAGTGATTCAAAATCAGTGTTTTAAATAACCACACCAACGAGACAGCCGTCTAAGTACAAAAAGCCACACACAGGAGTTAAGTGCTCTACGCACATAACTCGAGCGTTGTAAGCAATATGAGCGGCAATGAGGAGCTGTAAAACACGGGAAAGCACTAGCCACGGCCGTTGCGACAACACGCGGAGAGAACTAAAGGCATTTGTCGATGAAAATTACCTTTAATGTGCTATTTACTTGCCCCGCGTTGAGGGTACGTTACTTTTATTATCAAGGAAAATTCCTTCTGTGTACTCTTTAACTGTGATAATCCAGCTGTTTTTATAATGATAATAATTGTATATCTTTAGGAATTACGTTTACAATTTATATAAACGTAAATTATAAGATATGGAGTCTTGAATATTGCAATGGTTGTTTCTTTTTCCCTTTGCAGCTTAGAATGGCAAACAAGCTGACGGCACACATGATGGACAGTGGTAACCGTCACTTATAGATATTAATAGAATCAAGGACATAAAAGCTCATTTGCCTTTGTAAGTTGCATAAAATGAAATCCAGATCCGAGCCAGTTCAGAAAAGTTTGTACCCTAAATTGCACTCGAATGCAATATGCGTACCATTGAGTTACGGAGGTTGTTAAATAAAAGTTAACGAATATGTTACTGTGAAAGCATTGAATTTAATTTGACTATTACAATACAAAACAAAACCCATTACAGCCCATCAGTCATGCTACACGGTAATCTGAACTTGAAACGGCTACCGTGCGATTTCACAATATCCGGCTCGAAGGACCGAGAAATTAATTCAGTATATTACCGACGGTAATAAATATGATAAGGCAGTATTATTAGACTGTAGCCCTGTAGAGTTGAAAGTTTCTAGACTGCCTTCCGTGTAAAGGCTTCCAACGAAACAAACGATGATCACTTTTAAATGATCCATACGTGAATTTTATAATTCAGATACATTTTTTGCTGCATAAAAAGAAAACAGAAACTGAAATCTTAATAAAACATCGATGCACGTGAAATTACGTGAATTACAAATAAATTGACAAATTTAAAAAATCTACAATATATAAAAATCTACTGTCCAAAATTTTGTATATATATATATTTTTTATTATAGCACGAATATAGTAAACAAGCATATAGCCCGTTTGATTGTAAATGTTCTTATATATTCATATTTAGGAATATAACGTTAAAACTGCATCCAATTCGGTATAGTAGTTTTGTGTAATGCTAGAACAATCGTATAATAATAATAATATTTCTTTATTATAGATAACTAAGATCCATTTTTGTTAGTAACAACTGACTTAAACTATGTTAGTAAAAAAAAATACAGTATAGATTGACTGATAGACAAAAGTTTAAAATAATTTTTTTTTTTGGCTTCTGTTAGTCTTATTAAGATCTCTCATCTTAATCAATCTTTACTAATCTTTCATAAATATCTCCCATCGTTTAGTTACAATTTTATTATAATATATTAACAATTTTATAATAGATTTTTCGAAATTCTCACAGGAATTCGCACGAGAAATACTAGGCCAAGTACTACCTACGTATATATATATATATATATATATATATATATATATATATATATATATATATATATATATATATATATATATATATATATATATATATATATATATATATATATATATATATACATAGGTATATATATATATACCTATGTATAGTTAATTAGTCGTACAGGCAACCTCAACTATTTCCCCAAACGTGTAATTAATCGAGTGACAAACACGGAAATACATTCGAATGCATTTCCGATGCGAATGCAATCGGCGACGTGTCGACGGCTAAACTAATTGATTGACGCTCTGTCTGTCTGATTTACCTATATTTGGAGGAAGCTCGGATAGGTAGAATTGAATTTTATAGTCATATTAAATTAACATAGATTATTAATATGTATTAATTTTGTTACTGTAACAAATAGCATATATATATATATATATATATATATATATATATATATATATATATATATATATATATATAATAAACATAAAATAATAATGAAATAAATAACGGACTTTTGATTATACAGATAGACACTCTATTTGTAAAAAAAATATGTAATAATGAAAAAAATCTAAGGGCAACCTTCTCGAATGTACATTAAATATTTTTATATATTTTTTTTATTAATATAAATAATAAAAAAATACAATACGTGCACATATTTAACTAATGTAATTATTATGAAAACTACCAAAAATGACACGTTTAGAATAAGTATTTCCATTGCATTTATTTTACCTGACTACCCTCAAAAAATAAACATAACATCGTTTGTTATACAAATTGTATACATATACAGATCATTTATTCATAATTTACAAAATGACAAGTCCAGTTTCAGTAAATTATGTCATTCCCACTGCAAATACGAGTATGTCATATTCTATTCCAATTTCGAGTACATAGCTTTTTTTTATTTTTATTATTTATTTTTTTTTGTTTTATTTAAAAGTAATAATAATTTATAACAATATTAATAACGTCACTGCAAATTGTAATTACATTGATAAATTTCAGAATTAGAGTATATTTATATTTTAACAATTCTTTTTATTTCAGCCACTAATTGTCCACTACTGGGCATAAGCCGTCCCCATAAGTGGAGTTTTAACAATTCTTATTATATTTTAATTATTATGCTTATTATTAGCTATTTGATTCTAGATGTAATAATGAAATAAAAAAATAAATCCTCTTGGATATATTACAAAGCGTCGTCTAGTCCAAAACTAAGCTTTTTTTTTTTATACAACTTAGAATGGCAAACAAGCTGACGGCCCACCTGATGGAAAGTGGTAACCGTCACCTATAGACATGAGCTGTACCATGGACATAACAGAGTATACTGTTTCGCCCATGATACCCCCATGCGTTGCCATTCCTGAGGACTCAGGTGTTATTCCTCTGTACCCAGTAAATTCAGCGCGGGCGGGGATACCATTCCATTTTCATCCAATAAAAAAAAATACGGTAACCATCTCCGTGTATTCTCCATACGAACTCTTCTAAGTAAAAAAAAAAAATCGTTGAAAGTACATACATACAGCTGTCAACGAATAAATGGATCATAAAAACTTGGCTATAGTCTTTACAAATATCGGTCGCGCTTTGTGAGAGCATTCTTTCACATGGCTCCGCGCGTGAGAGTGGCTCTCGGAGGACAAGAGAGCATTGAGAAGCGAGTACTGTGCACTCGAAGTATCGACACGATGCGGGCTTCTGGTTGCACACCGATCTATGCAGTGCGATAAGATTTTCTTAGGATTTGTTCGGTCGAATAAAAAAAAAAGGAATTCTTAATTTGAATTTATCTTTATGGCCAGAAGGTTTTCTTTGACAAATTTGAATTCGTTACTTGGTTTTTAAATCGAATGCGTTGGATCAATATTAATTTTCAGCCAACTACAAAAACATTGAGATTTTTAATTCGGTTTTTTTTTTAAATTTGATACCTCATAACTTCGTCTAAATCGATTTAATTTTTTTTTTCTGAAGGGATATCTATGGACTGATCCCCATTAATCCGACCTATGTATGGACGTGTATGTATTTGTATTTTATTGACTGAAACGTGGCAGGTATAACAAACAAAGTAAAACTTCTTCCACTACATCGGAACCTTTATATTTCCAAGTTGCAGCTTTTAACTGAGAAAACACAGGGGTCGTAAGTGTCCCTCAGAAACGCTGTATAAAGACATACGCCACTGTTTGCAGTGTTAAAACGACGTACCCAAGCACACCAGTGATATTTTTAGGGTTTGTAATATATAGATATAATATATATACTATTAAATACTTTTTTTAATGGATGATAATGGAGTGGCAACCCCACCCGCGCTAACGGTACAACACTGGTGGGGTACCAGTGAGGGATGATAGGTGAGGATAAAGCAGGCCAGTTAGCCCATCGTGACGGATTCAACAAGAATTGTTCACGATGGTTTCCAGGGGGAATCACGTGGAGGTCGACCTAATGGGGCATATTGCTAGCAATGGGGCTGTCAAACCTACCTAAACCCTATAGAATACTAACTATATATTCTATAGATATGGCCGTGTGGTCCTAGTATAGAATAAATAGGCCATCGTTTATTTTGCCGTGTGTTGTAAGAGGCGACTAAGAGAATTTACTGGTCGAAGGATAGGCAACGGCGTCCCTCTTAAAATATTAACAAAGACTAAATGCAGGTGGGTAATCCGCCTGCCAAGCGTGGCAAGTACTGGTAAAACTCCCAAGGGGGAGGCCTATGTTAAGCAGTGGATAATTAACGGTGAATATATTTATGTATATTTATATAATTCCGGTAGATACTGAGTGCATCCAACCAATTTAGATTTCTAATAATAATTTAAAATACACCAACAATTGCAGAGCTAAGCTAACCTTCACTTCGGCGAAATAATATTGTTTTAACTTAGAACGATAATTTTATGCTATTCAACTTTCCTAGTGTTTCTGGTTACTTCGAGTTCTCCGTAAAAAATATACAATATGTCCAACAACTATTATTCCAAGAAACTAAGCGAACTAAACTGTTTTCTTACATTGATAGTATATGTTAAATAAAATACATTCTTGGGAATATCAAACATAACGACTATCATCGAGTTTTAAACTATGTGAAACTTGTAATGTAAATGTATATATATATATATATATATATATATATCATATATTTTTTCTTTTATATTTAATTACTGTATTGGGTCGACTGGAAGAGATCTCTGTCAGAGATAAGTCCACCCTTGCTCACAATATTTATAAATTTTTTTATACAACTTTCTTTTTATGAAACTTGACTTTTTTATAAAACATGAAGGCAAATAATTACGTCGTGTTTTATTGAAGGCGTGTACTACACGATGGCGGTAGTAGGACCGGCAGTGGGCTACGTACTCGGCGGGCAGATACTCAACGTGTACACGGACTTCCTCACTGTCGACTCGGAGGCGTAAGTTATTTTCTTTATACCTTTGACCTGGCAAACAAGCATACAGCCCACCTGATGGTAAGCAGTTACCATAGCCTATTAATGCCTGCGACATCAGAGGCATAACGCTCGCGTTGCTGACCCTGAAGAAACTTCTTTAATCTTTTCTCTATCTATAAATATTTCCATAATATGAGTGTTCAGGAAGAAGCATCTCTCAAATCGTGCTGTATACTACCATCCAGGTTCTAAGGTATACGGGTGATTTCTCTGTCCCCTGTTGGTGGCAAACAGTAAGTATTCGTACTATTGTAGATTACCTGTTAACTCATAATCAGGGTCTGTCTTTGCCTACCTTGTGCCCCTGAACAAGTTTTGGACACCCCCGCTCCCTGAGACTAGGAAAAATACAAGGCCACCTTTTACAGATCCTATGGAGTCTTTATTAGATCTCCATGCTCCCAAGCTTCGCCCAATTGCACCAAAAAGTCACAATATACTATTCACAAGAGTTCATATAGGGCTTCGTACATGTTATTATAACTTATAATTAAGATATTTTCCTAGAATGAAATGGCCTACATTATGTGAAATAATAATATATTTTAAAGAACGAACGTGATTGTAACTCCGAGTATGCTTTCGGTATTTATGGCAAAGCATAAATGAAGCCTATAGGCGACGGTTACCACTTTCCATCGTGGACCGTCAGCTTGTTTGCCATTCTAAGTCGTATATATATATCGGATATTACCCATCTGTAGTACCCACATTAACGATATAAATATGATAATAATTAACCAAATATTCCTTCTACTCAATTAATTTCTACTCAATTATTACATTCCACATTCACGGGGGCCAGTTGGTAATTAAATCCATAGCGGAGGTCGTTGAAAGTTCACACCGTGGAAATTTTGCAGAAGCCATGAAAGTATAAAACGGGAATTAATTTGGCTGAAAAGTTGGCTGAAGCGCACAATGAGATGAAAGCGAGAGCAAGTGAATGAAGCCGCTCTATGCGGGATGGAATATTAAAAAACATACAGTACAACAGTAGGTACCTGTGCGGTGAGATCACGGCTTCGTTCGCCACGTCTCAAGGGACAAACTCTGTTTTTTCTATATGATCAATCTCACTTTGTTTGTTTGTATGAGTTTTATTGTACATTCATATTTGAAATAAAAAACGGATAATATAAAGAAAAAAAAAAAAGTAGAGTACTTTGGAACTGTCGATTTTGGAGTCGTTTAGAAGCTATAATAATATTATGGTACCTTAATTCTGTATTTATAATCACGTGGACTGATATCTATCATTGTACTTTTTCTGGTAAAAAAAGAACTAATTCTTAATTAATTAATTTTTATTAGGTATATATATTTTTTTAAATTGTTGTTATAATCATCGTCTTGCCATCATATTACCTTTTTACTGTCCACTGCTGTCCAGCAGTGGCTTATGTTCATAAGGCTCCTCTTTGGGGATTTTGCCAATAGTTGCTAATAATCGCTTGGCAGGCGGATTGGCAACCGCAGTTAGGCTTTAGTTATGTTTTAAGAGGAACTCTGCTGTCCATCCCTCGCCCTCCCTTAGTCGCCTCTTACGACACCCACGGGAAAGGAAGGGTTGACCTATTTTATACCTATATAATATTTATATCTATATTTGATTATTTAACAAATAAAATGCATTTTTACGCTTTAAAAAGGTGGAAAAATTATAAAACAAAGTATAGAAGTTACGAGTATAAAGGAAACATTCATAATTATTTATCATCCAAAATTTTATGAAAAAAATGACCCGCTTTTCTCGAAGCATTTGTGTGGAGACACTATAAAATATAAGTAAGACTCACATATTGCGGATAAAGATGAATTGCAGAATTTTTCAGAACATCGCGATACCAAATATCTATACCATAACGATACCTATGCCAAATATATACATACATACATATCTGTCACGCCTGTCTCCCATTAGGGTAGGCAGAAAAAATGGAACGCCAAATGCTTCGATTCAAACAAACCTCTTTCGCTTCTTCCACATTCATCAATCTTGTCATACACGCTCGCCGGTTACGGGTACTTTTAATTTGGCCCTTCTTCAGCACGTCGCCTATTTGGTCGACATACGTCCGTCTAGGGCGGCCCCTACCGACATCTCCATTCATTCTTGCTCGATTAATCTCTATGCCAAATATCATATCATCATATTAGCCATCATCTGTTCTCTGTTGAACATAGACCTTTCCCATAAGGGAGGCTATGCCAGTTGTTGCCGCATTACGCCAAATATACATTCCAAAAAAATATATATTTTCTTGTTAATTTCAGTAATCATCATGGGCTACTTTTGATTCTGGATATTGTATCTTAATACACTACTCGCAAAAATTAAGGTATATTAAAAGATGTCCAAATTTTTAGGTGATTTTCAACAAGGGATAACTCGGAGAGAAATGGTCGTGCAGAAAATCTAAGAATAGGAAAATTGTAGCTCTGAACGTCTGGTTTTCATATGTAATCAGTAATTTTTTTTAGCGTGGACAGTTCTTTAGTAATCATCCAAAAATCAACAAAAAAAATCAATTATTGCAAATTATTGCTCGTCTTTAAAATACATACCATTTTCTTGAAAAATCGAGTAATTTTTTTTTTAAATATTCGTTCAAATCCAAGGAAGGTTCTTATGATGAGAAAAGCTGCGAAAATTCATTTAAACATCGTAAAAATTCTATTTTTTTCTATACTTATTATTTTCAACAGCGTTTGATAGAAAGACATCTATCGGGTCATCTTATAGTAAAATATATATCTTAGTGAAAATTTTATTCGATATATTGAGTGATTGAAAAATATAAATTATATAAAATATCTCTGAAATTACCGTGTGAACTCGGCATAAAATAGGCCATCCCTTCCTTTTCCATGGGCGTAAGATTTGACTAAGGGATGGCGAGTGATGGGCAGCAGCTTCCATCTTAAAACATTTCCAAAGCCTAACTGTAGTTTCCAACCCGCCTTCCAAGGTGGCTTATGTTCAGCAGTAGACAGTTAAAGGCTGATATGGTATGATGATGATGATCTACTAAATATATATGAATTTGAATCCATGGCGTAAAATATATCTCTAAAGTTGGAGCAAGCAATACATATAAATAAAATATCAACCAGTTACAGAGAGTTTTACCTTATTCCTCATTGAATACTCGCACATAGTCCGATCAATCTAGATCTTCAATTATTATTATTGATTTTTAAAAAACTAATTATTGTTACAGTATGGGCATAACTCCGCTGAGCTCGGTATGGATCGGCGCCTGGTGGATAGGCTTCATATTCTCCGCGGTGCTGTGTCTCATCGTGGCGATACCACTGCTCGCGTTCCCACACGAGTTACCAGGTCAGTGGCCGTTGTAACATCTAAGATAAGTAGATCCCACTTCATGTATTATCTTAACTCTTGGAGAAAACACTATGGAGACATTTTTATAACGCGCACACGAACATCTGCCATTCTAGAAGCATCACTCATGCATTTATAATATTTCTCTGATTTAGCTGACTCTAACACCCTTGAAAAAGATTTACTTGTACAAAGTTTTTTTTTTGCTTAAATTACATAGTTACGTTAGTTAACAACGTTATAAGTTAATTCGCAACTTAGAAATTTTCATTAAACTCATTCATCTACTCCGAATTCTCGTTAAGGAATTTGGGACATTCATCATTGCACAAATAATATAATTTCTTCACAATTCTACTTAATTAATTTCAGGCGCAGAAGAAATTCGCGCGTCAAAAGTATCAGAAGCTCACGAAGGTGCAGCAACCAAGTCAGCGGCGTTCAGCGCTTTACATGAGCTGCCCCGTGCCGCTGCAGCTTTACTCCGGAATCCTACGTTCTTGTTTCTCAACCTGGCCGGAGCCAGTGAGGGCATGCTCATATCGGGATTCGCTGCATTTCTTCCAAAGCTTATTGAGAATCAGTTCGCAGTTAGTGCGTCAGAAGCGGCTTTACTTTTAGGTTCGTAGGTATAAACAAAATAATTACCAGGTGGTGATAAAGTTATTACTCCGACTTATCTCCAATAAGGGCCGTAAGAAGCTCCTAGAGGAACAACTTACATTACACTAGTGTAAAAGAAGGAAACCTAAATAAAACTGCGTGACAAATAATTCAGCCCCATGGGTTAGTAAGTGTTTAGTTATTCATGTAGGCTTGTTAGTAAAGCAGTTGCATCCGAGAAGAACTAACAAGAAACTGGACTGTTACTGTTTTAAAAATAGATTGTCCACGGTGCTGCATAACGTTTAAAGGCATTGGTTACAGTTTCCCATCAGGAGGGCTATGAATCAATGAGTTATTATCAGCCGCTCCAAGAAAGATGGCACACAAGTTATATAAGACTTTATTTTGGGATATATATTCGGAGAGGCCAGTGTCTAGTAGTGGGTATTAATAACATGGTTATAACGGCGATTAATGTAGATTTGAATTAATCTGTTACCAGGTGTGATCACAGTGCCGGCGGGCGGCGGAGGTACGTTCCTTGGGGGGTGGCTGGTGAAGCGATGGCAACTGGCATGCGCTGGCATCATCAAGCTGTGCGTGGCCGCCACCGTGGTGGCCGCGGTCTTTACCTTCAGCTTCGTGCTCACCTGCGAGGACTACCCTTTCGCTGGCGTCACTGTTACGTACAATTCGCCACCTGTTCCTGGGTACATTTTTTGAGAATTCGTTTAATCGTAAATAAAAAATGCAATTGAACAATCATTCGAATACAGTCGGAAACAGTTTTTCATACAAATTATCTATTTGTGAATCACTAGTAGTAATTTCTGAAAAAAAAAATCTTTCTATTCTACCACGATCTTCTTTTGAAGCATCACATATAGGAGAGCTGTTGTACTAACAATTTGTAAGAATTATGAAGCTTCCCAAAGCGACAAACCTAATGAGATTCTTTTTACACTCAGAATGAACACCTGTGTGATTTCCCTGCATACTGACATCTACAAAAGACACTTTACTGGCCGAAACTACTGGAATACTGGTGTGTAGCTATACGATGGTTTGTGTGGCCCACAGCGGAGGGCGGCTAATTGCGGCATGTAACGTGGGGTGCGGGTGCGAGGCGGCGCCGTTCGCGCCGGTGTGCGGCGCGGACGGCGCCGTATACTACTCGGCGTGCCACGCCGGCTGCCGCGCGCGGTCGCTAGCCGGCGCGGCGCAGCTGTTCCACGAATGCGCCTGCGTGGCGCCGTCATCCGGCGGAGCGTTGCCCACCTACAGACTCGGCGACGGTAAGCAGATTCATCTATCTTGCTCTGACGAGTGGTCCTCTCTATCAAGCATATTTCTTGCCCCTTTTTATTCTCTTGATCCACCTTGGTCGATCCGGCAGTTTCACCAAATTATCTGAACGATAATTCTAGTAACAGGACACGATACGTTAGCTTGTAAGTATTCGAAATCATTAGCATCCAAGGAATGACCTACGAACACTTAACGTCGAATAACGATTAAATATTATAGGCTCTGTTAATATAGAAGGCCCAAATTAAATTTTTTAACCCATACGTCCTCGGAAATAAGGTTCAGTTTCGCTGGTAGAACACTCTTTCAAATAGAACGATGTGATTTTGATTTCATGTTATATATATTAAAAAAAATGCTTGAGACAAGCATACATGTATTATTTAGAATCAATACTTTAATTATGTACTTTAAACAATTAATCGTACTTTTCAGCACCGAACGACACAATATCGTACGAGGCGATCAACAGCATATGCAGCACGGGCTGCCCGTATCTCTGGCTGTTCGTGTTCCTCTCGTTTCTTGTGATGCTGTTTACATTCCTCGCTACGATGCCAGCACTTACCGCCACCTTAAGGTACTTTCTCTAGGTTCAAAATTCATTAAGGTTGCAATGGGGTAGTAGTGGGAAACTGAGCAATTGAAATATTTTTTAAGATCATAGTTGGTTTTCTACGATCCCAAGAATCTAATAATTGTGGAGTCTGATCAAAACTATAACTAATCTAGCTCAAAACTTTTTTGTACCACTATGTAATTTATTGTTTCGCTTTTCAAAGAACTTTATTTACCTTATTTTAAATAACTATATTTAGTCATAAAAGCTAGATGTTTATGGATCATTGCAAAAAAATATAGAATGGATTACAAAGGTTAGTAGTTAATAGTTCTGTCTAACTGAAGTAATAATACAAAAACCAACATCTTTTTTTTTTTATACAACTTAGAATGGCAAACAAGCTGACGGCCCACCTGATGGAAAGTGGTAACCATCGCCTATAGACATGAGCAGCAGCATGGACATAACAGAGTATACTATTTCGCCCATGATACCCCTCATGCGTTGCCATTTCTGAGGACTCAGGTGTTATTCCTCTGTACCCAGTAAATTCACGCCATATTTCAAACTTCAAACCGAAACAGACAAGAAATTTGCCTTTTATTTTAATACCTTCGATGTCCAATTTCCGACCTTCAGACATTTTAATCGACCCTCCTCCCTTCGACCTTTCAGTTACTTTAATCCTACTTATAAAAAAGAAATCGTAGGCAATAATCACTTTATTTTTCATTTATTCTTGTTTGAAGATGCGTTCGCGAGGACCAGCGCTCGTTCGCGCTGGGCATTCAGTGGATAAAAGTGCGACTACTGGGCACCATTCCGGCTCCATTGCTGTTCGGCTTTCTCATTGACCTATCATGTTCGCTGTGGGCGAAGACCTGTGAAACGACCGGCGCGTGCCAACTATATGACAACGTTAATATGAGCAGGTACAAGATTGAAGGTCCTACTTTATATTAAGTTATTCCAGTATTAGGATAGATAGATAGATACTCTTTATTGTTTCCTCCAAAAGATTACAATAGTAAACTTATTATAAATATAAACAATTATGAAAAATAATCATAATGAGAAAACAATGGGGCGGCCTTGTCGCTTAAAGCAAAATCCTAAATCATCCAACCTTTGGATGATTTAGGATAGTGCCACCTTCAGGTGTATCCTCCGCTGTGGTTCATCTAGAACGAATGGCCATATCCTCTCAGTCGCAACACCTACACGGAAGTTCAGTCATTACCATTGACGTACTTAGGATTTTTTTTTGATGGGTGAAAATGGTATGGTAACCCCGTTTGTGCTAACGGGATACGTTGGCGGAGCACCAGTGAAGGGCGATAGATGAGAATGAAAACAGGCCAGTTAGCCCATCATGGTGAATTCATCAGGAATTAACCATGATAGTTTCCAGGGAGAACCGCGAAGAGGTCGACCTGGTTGGGTATATTGCTAGCAATGGGATTCTCAGTCTCCATTACTAACAATCCCTTTCCCCCCGACGTACTTAGGATTATTTCCCAGAAGTTGGGGAGGGGAGGGGAGCTTGAATAAAGCATATGCACTTTTAGACTTGTCTTTGCGCATAGTTCAAAGCTCTATTCATATCTTGGAATGAGCACAAATCACAATATTGCCACGGAACGATCGCACCAGTGTCTGTATGGTCGTATACGTCGAACTTCGGGTGGCGTAAGATCGTCTCGTCGCATTGCATATTTTTTCATACGATGTGCCACCAAAGAGTAAAATAAGTATACCAGTACCATACTCAGTTTAGGGCCCGTGTTGTTTCGTATTCATGCGATTAAAGATAAATTGAATGTAACTGCTATCAGTCGTCGGAGATACGCGACTGACATTATAATGAACGTGGCGCATGTCTTATACTGCAATAACCTAAGCCAGGGTCTCATCCACCTGCGCAATGTCATATCCACCCCTTCAATCTAAACTTCTCGGATACAGGCCATTATCATCATATATGAGACTACTTCCACGTCGATCAGCAGTCATATTTATTACTTGATATAAGTTTAAATATATTTCTATATTCTTTCACAGGTACATGTTGGGGCTAGCCCTTGTGGGTAAACTTTGTTCGGTTCTGTTCTTCTTCCTCGCGTGGTGGTTTTACCGTCCGCCCGGCGGTAAGAACGGCAATGCCGTCGTCCCCTCCGTGGATCTTGTGGTATGTGGTGAGAAGACCAACGGTAATCTCGCGAATGGAGCCCCCGGGAACGGCGCAAACGGTACGGTGGAAAGGCTCGGTAATGGGTACTGCAATGCGGCTTTAGAATGCAGCGAACATTTGTAGATTTGGTAATCCAGTACCATTAGTGTTTGACCATACCAGGACTTTGTCAAGAGTCCTAAGGTTTAGACAATAAGACTGTAAATAGTTATTTTAATGTTGTGATGCTTATACGTGATGTTTTATTATACATATCTCGTGGCCAGATCTTAGAATTTATCACTTCATTATCCGATTTCGAGAAAAGGTCATTATCATGGCCAGCTAAAGCTGACTAGATCGTTTAATCGTCAACGTTTGATGACATGTAAATCTTAGTCTGGCCATATCATTAACCTAGGGTTTCTATGACATTTGAGTGACTTTCGTAAAAATCAAGTAACTTCAGTTAATTTTAAACATTCGCGTTGTTTACACATATTTTAAATACAAAATCGGGACTTAAAGCGATGAAAACCCCTGTCGTGACCACGACGTGGTACAGTCCACGTCGAAACGTCAACAATAAAGGAGCAGGTATAAAAGTACTATTTACCTGTAAAGCCTTTTACATCGCTTTAAATCCCGATTGTGTATTTATAATGTCAAGTAATTTTAAGTTGCATAACGACCTTTTACTTCATTTTTATTTTCAATTGGCACATTATTATCAGCGTTCTTATCAGAACAAACCAAATTTTTTTTTAAATGGATGATTATGGAATGGTAACCCCACCCGCGCTATCGGTATACACCGGCGGGGCACCAGTGAAGGATGATAGGTGATAATGAAATAGGTCAGTTAGCCCATCGTGACGAATTCAACAAGAATTATTCACGATGGTTTCCGGGGGGAACCACGTAATAAGGTATATTGCTAGCAATGGGGCTGCCAAACTCCATTGCTAACAATCCTTTTCCCCCCGAATAAACCAATTTGAGGGTATCTAAAGGTGGATAATGCAACTATTTTAATATATAATCACTAATATTTGACCATATCATGAAATAGTCATGGGTTTAAATTTTTATATTATCAAATGTTGATTATTCATTGACCTGGCCAGACCTTATCATGATGTAGGCAGCGGTAAGATCTAGTTACGACATACATATGTATATTATAATAATTATTAACTGATAGATAAAGGGATCGATTCTGAACCACCATTACGTATCTCCGAAATTAATAATTCAATTTAAAATTACAGCAAAATGATTGTTCTAACGACTAGTATAGACTAAATTGCGTAGAAATACATTAGAATTTGCAGTTAATTCTCGATGGCCCGTACCATATTAATTTTGCTAAAAAAACTGTCTACTTTTAAAGATAAGTTTAGGAAATGGTAATTCAGAAATGATCCCAATGTTTCTATTCATTTTTTTATTTCAATATGATAATTTTAATACTAAATGGTAACACCAAAATTTCCATTCAAGTGGCAATCTACTGGGGGTTTACCATGAAATTTAATTTCGATTTTTCGTGTTTTCGTTGATGTCCAAAATTGTCCCAGTAAATGGAACTTACCATTTAGTTCGTCATGAATCCAACCTTAAAAGTCCAAAGGAACGATATTTTAATAGTTTTAATATTTTTTAAACAATATGTAATTTTAACATTAAACTTGTATTTTGTTCAGCTCCGAAATTTCGGAAAACATTTCATAGTAAGCCCTCTGATCCGTTGTACGAAATATGTGAATAAGCAAAAAAAAAAAAAAACAAATGAAAGCGAACAATTGTTTGCCCGTTACAAATTCTGTGTAACTTTTTACATAATTATATTGCAATAAATTTTATATCTTTGTATATAATTATAAATTAATATTCTAATACATAACTTAAAAGTTGTTGACGTCTACTTGCATGTTATTATATTATTTCAATGACTACATGAATTCAGTTGTAAATTATCTGTGATGTTGTAGTTTGTAAATAGTTAAGATTGTTATTATTATTAATACTTGCACATAATTTATTCAACGCCATCTATTGGCGCATTTATATATTAAATATTCAGTTGATAAATTAATCAATATTTATTTAAAATCAATTCACTAGCCACAAAACCATGAACTGACAATGGAAAGTAATTAAATTATTTTTTTGGTTTAAATTAGGAATTGAGTCTTCCAAACTGAATTATGAATTTATCTTTTTAATTGTATGATTCACAGGTTTCAATATCAAAAATACTAGCTGTAACCCACGGTTTTGCTTGTTACGCACGTGTTAATCTACGACAAGTATAGTCTATATACTAATCGTTCTGATTCTATGGGCCATTTAAGCGTAAATAAGTAACAAACAACCAAACACGTTTACCTATGTACCTACCAATTTTAAATATAAGTTTATAAAGAAATTTAGGTATTTGTTATTCGCTCATATTCAATGTTTTGAAATGAAATTATGTACATTGGCTAAGTAGGTATCATCATTATTGCCTTACCTTTTCTTTTTTATTTGTGATCGGCACAGTATGTCTTCTTTCTCTACAAATCCTTATCAGCTGTTATTTCTGGACTCACTCCTTTTTAATGCATGTTATCTTTCACATCTACCTTTTCTTCGGTCGTCCTCTTCCTTTACATCCATTCACTTTCATACTTATTTTTTTTTATACAACTTAGAATGGCAAACAAGCTGAGGGCCCACCTGATGGAAAGTGGTAACCGTCGCCTATATTACGCGAGGAAAACCGCGGTGTACAGGTAATCTATAGTTTTAACAGAATTCTGAAACCTCAAATCAACAGTATGGTTTTACTAAGGGTGGGCAATATATAGTAATATTTATATATTGTAGTTACAATATCTATACATATTGACCCAATAACGTATATGACAGAGGGATACTTTGGACAAAAGTCAATTGCTTTGGTACCTCTGTCCCATTCGTGTTTCAACCGTGAAGCAGTTTTGTCTGCATGGCTGTGTTTCGGTTCGAAGGGTGGGATATGGCGTGAATTTACTGGGTACAGAGGAATAACACCTGAGTTCTCAGGAATGGCAACGCATGAAGGGTATCATGGGCAAAACAGTATACTCTGTTATGTCTATGGTACCGCTCATGTCTGTAGGCGACGGTTACCACTTTCCATCAGGTGGACCGTCAGCTTGTTTGCCATTCTAAGTTGTATAAATAAAAAAATATTAACTATTGGTTATCCAATATATATGTAGATATCCGATATATTTCTCATCTCTAGGTTTAACTTACCTTATAGTTTGAATCTTTGCCTTTATTTCGTTATTGTATTGTTACAAATAACATAGACTGTTGTTTTTTAATGAAATCCACTTTGCAATTGCACAATAGCACATAAATTATAATCATATTTTATATTTAAATTTGAGATGTAAGTAGATATTTAAATATAATTAAGGTAGACACGTTTATACTATGTACATAGTTTTTATCTTATATATTTGTTGAGTTTTACAACGGGGCCGATTTTGAGGCATCATTTCTATTATACCTTAACCTAATATTTTGATAATTTCGTGACGTAACTGTTTTACGGACAATTATAAACTAACCTTCACCATAAGAACGAAATATATTTTTCTCAAATATGCTTGGAAATGTGAGCATTATTTTGACAATTTTCTTCGAGATAAATCAAAATTGCCGTACTGGCCAGATACATGCGGGCAGCGGCCGGCAAAAGTTGTATGAAAATCCATATCTGTCGTGTTTTGCGGCCAGATCAATTACTATGTAAACTCATATCTGTCCTGTAATTTAAAAATGGAATGAAAAACCTTTTACTTCGAAACATGGCTACCAAGGAGGTAACTAATAAAAGTTTTATTTAAAGTTCGAACTGGCTTGCAAATAGAAAGCTGTTTATTGAAAAAAAAAAAACAAAGGAACATTATGGCGCGTGAAAAATTATTATTGTTCGTTATTCGTCATTGAACTTAAAAAGTAAAGTTGTGTTTTTGATTTCCGCGCATTGTTTGAGAAAAGTACTATACAAGCCTTGGCCACAACTAGGCATTGATGGACTCACGTATGTGTGCCTTGGCAACGCCTCGGCCCACATTTGCACGTTCAGTAATGTATTATTAACTATTATTTTATTATACACTATTTAGTCATTTTCTCTCAAATTGGGAATTGAGTGTAAAAGAAAGAGACAAAACAAATAGCTAAAATAGGTTTTCAAGAGGTTTGACGTATTTATGGTTATAAGGGAATTAATTAATAATAAAGGTATTAGAAAATTAGTTCTTATTAGTTTTTTGAATAAAGATTTTGTGAGAAAGAGAAGTGATGCCTCAGAATTGATCCCAATATCACTAGTTGTTGAAAACGTTTGGTTAAAGACTGATTGTTTAATATTGACACTAAACGTAAGACTACAGTCAAGTGTAAAAATAGTGGGACTCTAGTATCTAGTACCTATGATACGAGTATCAGTAAAATTTTTGACAAATTTAACAATTGCGTACATATTACAAAATAATATTTTTCAGACGTCGTCAAAAAGAACCTCGCTTAGGTTTTAAATTTAGTTGTGTTATTTCTAATGGAGAAATAGATATCAGTAATTGTTCAATTAAGATTTTTATGAATCTATTGACGGATTCATTCAGGAAACTAAAGTTACAGTAGTGAGTCTATTATAAAATACCCACATAAACTTTAGTTTTTAGCTTATTTTGAATTCAAAATTTTTCTAAAAAAATTCACTAACACAATAACCAATGTAATGTGATTATTTTTTAAGAAAATTCCTAAATTCAGACAAAAAATGGTAGGACTAAAGTACGGAGTCTAAACAAATTTGGTTGGAAATATGGCAACCCTACCTACAGAGGTGCCATAATTGCAAAATATTTTCTTCTATTTCCTACACGTGACTGTACCGATAAAACAATGGGTAGCGAATGCAAGTACGAGGTCTGTCCGGAAAGTTCGTATAAAAGTGTTCTGGAATGCGAGAAAGAGGAGTGGGGAGGCCAGGTAAGCGCAGGACCCCTTCCTTATGTCCCTAACAATGCTTCAGTTCTGGTCTGACCGCCGTGCGGTGCGAACTGGCTTGTCACGCCATCTGTGAAGTTACCTCTTAACGAAACCCCGTCGGCATGGAGCCCGCTTCCGTTGAAGAGCAGCGCGTCGTAATCAAGTTTCTCTCGAAACTCGGCAAGAATGGCCGTGAAATTTTTGCCGATCTAATTCGATAAGACATCCGGGGAACCACGAACAAAAAAATCAAGAAAATCCCGCTCAAATGTCAAGACAATGTTGATTGTTTTTTTCGATGTTCGGGGGATTGTCCATCAAGAATTCGTCCCTCCAGGCCAGACAGTTGATGGAAAATTCTACGTCGATGTGCTCAGACGCCTCAAAGCTCGTGTGGCACGAGTTCGTCCAGAATTGGCGCGAGAGGGGCGTTGGATTCTTCACCACGACAATGCCCCTGCCCACACCTCTCTTGTTGTCCGTGAGTTTTTGAGTAAAAATTCCATTACGGTGACCGAACACCCCCCTATTCGCCGGATTTGGCCCCGTGTGACTTCTTCTTGTTCCCAAAAACCAAATTGGTACTTCGGGGGCGGCATTTGGGGGACATAAATGAGATAAAGCTACGACGGGGCAGCTGAGAAACCTACAACCAGAGGACTTTCAAGGAGCCTTCTCACAGTGGAAACGGCGTTGGCACAAGTGCATTATGTCACAGGGGGAGTACTTTGAAGGGGATAACATTGATTTACCTGAATAATTGTAAAATAAAATTTTTAAAAAACTTTTATACGTACTTTCCGGACAAACCTCGTATTAGCAAAATAACTGCCCAGAACTTTTTAACATTCCAAAACCTAAGTACAATGTGTATCTACAACAGTTTTTTAACTTTTACAATGTTTTTAATGTAGTTAAAATTGTAAGACGGTCGTGTTAATTTATTATAGTCAATTTTGAGCCTGTACAATTTTACACGGATGAAATAAATTATTTCCAATTTTATTGGTGTATTTATTGAAAAAAAAAAAACAACTATTTCCTTTGTCCAATTTGGGCATACAGATAAAACTTGAAGCACTTACATATATACAAATTTACATAAATTAGTGTACAAGTATCCATGGAACATTATTCAATAGTGAAATTAGCGCGTACTAAGGATGGGAAATATGACAATATATATATATTGTAGTTACAATATCTATACATATATTGGTCCAATAACAGATATATAAGATACCGGTTATCCAATATACAATATAGAAAAAAAACCTACTCGTAATAAATATAGATATTCGATTGGTATGGGTGATATCGGATATTACCATTGTCGTATATAAAAATAGAGGTCGTCAGTACATTTTGTTCAATAAAATTCAGCCACGAAATGATGTGATATACCCAAGCAGATTATGACTTTAATGCCAATCACAATAGGCAGGTATTGCGGTAACCGCTTGCCGTCAGCGTCATCCTATGCTTGTTTGCAGTCTTAGTGGTATAAAAATCCTTGGTGTGCTTTCACAGGCCGACTCGGAGAGTTAAAAATCTGCAGGTTGACTTTTCACTGAATCGAATTGGGATAAAATCGAAATCTCAACAGATAGATGTCTAATATAAGGTGGCATTACGACAATTTGACTATTATTCGATTCAATCTCGATTCGAATGCGTCAAAAGTCACCTTGTTACTCTCCTGTTCTTGCCGGTCTGTATGTACAGACACTAGAGTTTTTTAATGATGACTTTGAAATTCGAGAGCATGTGTGAGGATAAATATTAATATACTCTATTTATTTTACCGGGGACAACTAATTCTGTGGGCAAATTTATTTAAACTAAGCATAAGAATTTCCATCGCCGTGTGGTCACGGCATAGAATAGGCTACTTCTTCCGTTCTTGTGAGTCGTAAGAGGTGACTAAGGAAACTTAATGATCGAGTGATGAGCAGCAGCGTCTCTTTTAAAACATAGATGAAAGGCTAACAGCGGTTGCAAACCCGCTTGCCAAGCGTGGCGACTACTAGCAAAACCTCTATTATGGGGAGGATTATGTTCAACAGTGGACAGTTAATGATTAATATGATGATGATGATAAGAATTTCAATGAAAAATAATAATAAAATTTAGGCAAATATATTGCAACATTAAAATATTTATAACTTAACAAAATGTATTTAACATTTTAATATTGAAAATAAATGTACTTATAGTAATTAATTGGAAACATAACTAAAATACCAGCTTGATCAGAAAAACTTTACACCCTGACTGTCGTTAAATTCCATCAGCTCACATTTTCCTTTTGTTTCGAGTCTTTTTAGTGCCTTTATTAGTATGTTGACATCGAGCCCGTGGAACTCTGTAAATAAACAAGTGAATAAATTAATGAAAATTCTTTATTTTTCCCTACAAAGAATGATATAAATCTTTATGAATTATGAAATGGTAATTGATGTCTGTTTATTATCACATAATGAGATAATTGATAAAGTATTACGAGCACAAGATTCACAACTTGAATACAGGGGCCATTACAAATATAATCTAGATTCTAGATATTTTCACAATGGATTACTTTCATTACGAGAAAGCAACTTAAAATTTTACTACTGCCAAGTCAGTAATGGTAATGGCATGAAAAGAGAAGGAAGGATCAACATATTTAAGTTAAATAGACAGGCAGTTTAGTTTCTTTTAGAATCTAAAAGTGCAAACATCTACTAAGGAAAAGTTTTCCAAATGTCCCATTAGAAAAGGAAAAAAAATATTTTGCAAGAAACAGCCATAAAATTAAAATATCTGATAAATTATTTTATCATTGTTGTTTTAATTTTTATTTCCGACTTTAAAAGGGAAAAGAAAATAATTTTCACACAGACACATACACACGCACGCACGCATACACGCATGCACTCACGAACGCCCGCACGCACTCCGCACACATGCACGCACGCACGCACACATGCATGCACACACGCACGCACACACGCACCAACACGCGCACGCACACTACATAATACTTATTATACACGTTCTAAAGCATGCACAAATTTTTATGAATTTATTAGTGATGAAATTTAAATATAAATAACTGCTTTATATAAATTAGTAGGTAAACAATTGTAAATATTACTAGAAAGCCTATGTTAATTTCTGTATGCATGTATATGGTAACACGACTCCTGTTTCCTACAGGACAGGCTCAGCCTAGTGTAGGAAACAATGATAAATTTTGTCCTTATACAAACATACTTTGATAGTAAATTTTTAATATTTTTTTACTTTTACCTTCATCAACTGTGTTTTCACCTTCACGCAATTCAAAAATAGTGCATACTGAATTATTTAAACCATTATTGCTAGCCCAACTATATATCATGTTGCCCCACTCGTCCAGCGAGTGCCAGTATATCTCCCATATATTTTTACTCTTATCTATTGGTGCAGCTCGACCAGTCTTCGCCATGTCCTCTAAAATTGTTAGAACAGCTTCCTGTGATAACTTTCTATTGATTGAGGCATTATTGAACAGTGGGCTGTTCTGTGATTCTCTTACATCTATGGTCGATTGTTTTGTTGATTTTAGATATTCTACAATGAGCTGTTGCCATGCTTCTAATTGTTTCGTTCTCGTTTCTGTGTGCGGCTGGATTCTAGAAAAGAAAACAAATATTATATTTACTCTATTGTATTAATGTATTTATATATATATATATATTAAAAATAGAGCTGAGCTGATATTATCATTCTGTATTATATTTTATACCAACAAGGTTGGTCACAGAGGGATTACTTATTGTACTTTTACCACCCATTATTATCTATGTATCGTGAACTTAATAATTAATTGGTTGGATTATAATATTATATTTTAAATAAGATTTATATTTTTAACTTATAGTTTATAAGAAATAAATTAAAAATATTTTTTATTCAAATATTCTTAATTATAAACATTTTTGAATAGTCATTTTTTTATAAATGTACTGTCCATTTTGAAATACAGTTTCAGCTGAAAAGAGTGGGAAAGAAACACAGCTGTTACTTTTTTCAAATAAATGTTAAATTTACAACAAAAAATCTGAAGGAATGAAATGACTATCACAAACATCACATTGATAAAAAGGAAGAAAAATACAATTAGATATGAGGTAGCCAGAGAGCATAGAATTCCATAGTGTATAGTAAATACAATTTGTATTTATTCCTTATTATACTTTATAGAATATTTTATTAAAAACATTTCCTTATCTTCTGTATAAGTGTAGAGTAAATATACCATATACATCCATATAATATACATCAATATTTTCAATACAATACTTACACTATTATTAATAATTATAAATCTTATTTAGACTCCAATGATTTTTTATATATATTGAGTAACTTTGTCTCAGTGTCTTTTCTTTTCAGTAATGTCTTCGTTGACTTTGGCTCTAAGTCGGTCACAGACAACCTGTATGATATTTTCTTCCCTCTAATTTCTATGTATGGGAAATTACTGTCATAATCAGGTGTAAAGCTTATCATAATAGAGCAGTCTTTCGCGACTGCTGATATCATAGCTAAATGTTCAGGTTCACAAAGTGATAGGAATTTTTCCTTCTCTTCTTCAATAGACAAGTCCATTGCATTCAATTCTAAGTTTTTCAATATAGACTCAACATAATCATAATCATTATTCTCTGTATTTACATAAATATCTTTATTTTCTGACAATTTTTGAAGTTGTAAAAGTTTATGCAAAATTGAGCCTGATTGCATATTGTTGCTCTCAAAACAATGTTTCATTTGATGGTCGGCCATCACTAGTTTATTTGATTCATTTACAACAATATTTGAACTATATTGATTACCAAGTAATATTTCTATAATAAAGTTTAAGAACAACTCAAGAGAATTGTTAAAAAGTACCATGTCTCTTAAAATCTCATCAAAATCAGTTCTCATTGATTTTTCACTATAAATGACATTTCCATTCAGAAACAATTTGAAGTTATTTTGAGGGTTATCTATCAAATTTAAGAGAGCACTCCTCATTCTGGTTTTGTCTGCAGAAAATAAATCTAATGGACAATATTTACTGACAATATCGATCTCTCCCTGTTCACATTTTAGGTACTGTTTTAAACAGTAATAACACATTGAAATCTTTTTAAAACTCGCTGTTATATAGCCCTCTTTGGGCTTGATCTCTATACAATAATTTTTACTTGTGTTTAGAGTGACCATTGTTAAATTAGTAGATTTGATGGCATAATTATTTATTATGGATTTGCATTTCCTGTGCTCTGGGCGCAAATTACACAGTTTGTTTGTTAATTCTCTAAGTTGTTCTGGTGGTATTTCCACTATTTGATTAACATTTATTTTGCCAGAAAATAATAAAGGTATCATAACCAAATTGACAAAATTTACTGATTTTTGCATACTGTCCAAACCAAACTGTTCGCCGTTTTCCTTTCGAAGACGTAGTACATAATTTGTGTTTAATAATTCAATGACGATATGGGCGTTTCCTTCGCCGATGTAATTCCACGAATCGCCCAAACTCATGTTTTGGGTAAGTATCGTCAAAGTAAGAATAAGAATTAAGGTTTACTTACGTAAAAAAGGGAGGGAAGTTATATTGCCAAGGCCACGAGATTTCTGCCATAATGTTTCTATTAGTGTTTATTTTTGTGTTTTAATTTATTGTTAATTATTTATCATAATTTAGTCACACAGCTGACTGAGACAACAAAACCTAGAATATTTACATTAGCTGTCATTGGTTGTCAATGTTTTGTCATTATCATTTGCCCACAGGCATAGATAATAAAAATATATTTATTATCTTCTTTACTAACCTTTGACCATTTTCATTTCATTGTACTTTAATTACAGAAATATAACAATTTTAAATTACCAAAATTGATAATTATAAATTTAACGAATTCTTGTTCTTAATTACTTTATTCGACGTCCCATTTCCACTTCGACATAAATATTTTTTAAATTAAAAGTAGGTAACACTATTTTGACAACTCGAACGAACGAATTCAATTTCAACAGATTCCAGATAAATTATCTTTTTGAAGACTAGGCAGCATGGTCTCCGACCTTAGCCTGTTCCAAACGGAACAAACGTACTAAAAAAAAAAAAAATCAATTTCAACAGGGTTTTTTTTGCTATTTCGCCGTGTTCGAAAAAGCTAGGCTAATTTTTTTACTTTAATATTGTAATGTTTTAATTATTTAGGGGTAGATACGGTAAATTGTTTTTTACCATGATTACGCTTAATAGGAAATTAAAAAAAGAACCTTCAGATACCAATACCAATAGTATTACTAGTGAACCTACACGAAGAATATCAGTTAGAGACAAATTGCTAGTTAAAGAAGTGCAAGAAATGAATGAGAATTTACCTGTGACTTGTTCTGTGCATTTCGAGGACCCTAATGTACTTAGCGACTTTATTTTGACTGTTACACCCGACGAGGGTTATTGGTTAGGAGGCAAGTTCAAATTCAGCATACATGTTACCGACGACTATAATATGGCTGTAAGTATTCATATTAAAGTGTTCCTAAAGTGTCTAGTCGTCATTAATGTTTCTTATAGTTCTCTGCCCCAACTCGAATAACCTAGTACTATTTTTTAAGTCCAAAAATTTACAACAAAAATATAGTTAATTGTAACTAACTTATTAAAGCTTTTATTAAAGTAGTAACTCAACTAATTATTAATGTTTAATCAGTAATTGTTTTGTATTATAATCACGTATCAGCCATTAACTGTCCACTGCTGAACATAGGCCTTCCCCATAAGGGGTGGTTTTGCCAATAGTTACCATGCTTAGTAGGTGAGTTGGCTACCAAAGTTAGGTGTTTTAAGAGGGATACTGTTGCCCATCCCTTGACTATTAAGTCTTCTTAGTTACCTCTTTCTACAGATATATGAAAGGAAGCAACAGCACATTCTATGCCAGGACCGCTTGGCACATATATTATTAATTAATTATTTTATGGACAAAAATATAAAAGCTGCCCGAGTGCAGTATAAAATTGCCAATGTAAAATAAGCAATCAGAAATTATTGCTGTTTATTATTTTTCAGCCGCCAAAAGTAAAATGTCTGACAAGGCTCTGGCATCCGAACATAAATGTTGATGGAGATATTTGTTTATCCTTACTCAGGCAGACATCGATAGATGAACATGGCTGGGCGCCCACTCGGAGACTCAAGGATGTTGTTTGGGGTCTCAATTCATTATTTACGGTATGAACATTCATTTCAAGTTATTGTGTTAAAGCAGGGTTTCTTAAACTTTTTGCAATCACTGACAATTTTCACAATTCAAACAATTTTATGAATCCCTGTTAAGAAACATTTTAGTTAGGTCCTAAATTTAAAAAAAGAAGGCTTTTTTTTACTACAAAAAAGAAACCAATATTGATGGTTTTAACAGATTCTATTGAATTCGCCGCCTGATGATGACAATGTGTCCTGTCACGTTTACTGCACAATTTCTTAATAAATATTTATACAGTTTATTGACTTACTGTGGACTCCTGATAGACATGCTATGGACCCCTAAGAGATCCCATTTTAAGAAACAGTGTGTTAAAGTAATACATGTAACTAGCCATGTATTTCTATGGTTTGGGTTTAACATCAGCAATAGAATGATATACAGACTGATGACATACCTGATAGAAAGTGGTAATTAGTTTTGTTTTATACAACTTAGAATGGTAAACAAGCTGACGGCCCACCTGATGGAAAATGGTAACTGTCGCCTATAGACATGAGCAGTACCATGAACATAATAGCATATACTGTTTTGCCCATGATACCCCCCATGCGTTGCCATTCCTGAGGACTCAGGTGTTATTCCTCTGTACCCAGTAAATTCACTGCCGTATCCCACCCTTCAAATCGAAACACAGCCTTGCAAACACAACTGTTTCATGGTAGAAACACAAATGGGACCGAGGTACCTAAGCAATCGACTTTTACTCTGGTAAAATGGTAAATGGTAGTACCCATGCATTGCCATTAATGAGGCATAACATGCCTGAGTATGTAATGTATATAACTTCACTGTCATACCCCACCTTTTAAACAAATGCAGTGGCTAAACAAGCATAGCAGTTCAGCATCATATCTGCTGTAATATGTCCACTGTTGAACATAGGCATTACCCATAGACTGTCATAAGGAATGAGGTCGCCCCTTATGGCTGTTTAACATTAGGGGTGAGGGGGGAAAGGGATTGTTAGTAATGGAGACTGAGAATCCTATTGCTAGCAATATATCCAACCAGGTCGATCTCCACGTGGTTCTCCCTGGAAACTATCATGATTAATTCCTGATGAATTCATCATCAGGCCTAACTGGCCTGTTTTCATTATCATCTATCACCCTTCACTGGTGCTCTGCTAGCGTATCCCGTTAGCGCAGGCGGGTTACCATACCATTTTCACCCATCAAAAAAAAAACATTAGGAGGGATTTTGCTAATAGTTGTCATGCTTGGCAAGTGAGTTGGAAACTAAACTAATGAACCGATTTTGATAAAATTGCTATACGATCAATCTGTAAGTATATCCTTTCAGATAAAAAGAATTTAATCCTAATCCGTTAAGAACTAATAAAGAGGTAACAAACATAAAAAAAATATATACAACCTTTCTTTTTGACGTAGGTTGAAAATAGAGATACAAAATGATCTGTATACCACATATAATCTGTGAGTTGAGAAAAAAAAAATCTATTTTTTATTTCTATTACTTTCAGGATCTTTTGAATTTTGAAGATCCCCTCAACATAGAGGCAGCGGAAATGTACAATAAGAATAAAACGGAGTTCCAAACTAAAGTACAGGAATATATAGCAAAGAACAAGAGATGAAACGTGGTGATATTAATTAAATCAATTTGAACATTATTTCATTAGATATTTATAATAAACTTTTTTTTTTTTATTATGTATCAACACACTTTTTAATATGTGATTTTTTGGAATGATTAAAGTAAAGAAAATAATGAAGGGACTACCAGAAACGCTCAATTGGCATTTATATAATATACATATATATATATATATATATATATATATATATATATATATATATATATATATATATATATATATATATATATATATATATATATATATATATATATATATATGCATATATAGTCCACGAGGCATATGATAATCTCTAGCTAGATCATATACATATTTATTTATTTATAGCAAGGCAACAGATTACAAATTAATACATTTATATAATAAATATTACATAAAACGACATTAAATTTGCACTCCAACAACTGCTCTGCATAACATTCGATATTATATACATTAAGAGAATGACGGCTATAAATTTAAAGTAACAAATTGGCAGCCTTAATGTAACATTGCAAGGATTGTTGGAAAATATCAAGCTCCTTGCATACATAATGTTTTCCTACAAATGCTTTAGCACAAACAGCCTACCTTTTTTTATTAAGTTAGGAGGTCTACCATGAAATGAAATTCCGAATTTTCAGACTCAATTTTGCTATTTCGTTCATAACGAAATTGACTCAGTAAATGGAGCTTATTGTTTCGTTCATAATAAATCCTACACATTTTTATATTTTTAAACCATGTAATTTTTAACATCAAATTTGTGTTCCGTTCGGCTCCGAAATTTCGGAAAAATTTTCATGGTAGTCCTTCAGGTTGTATGTGGATGGGAATATTAAAATATTGCAATTATACCTTTTTTTTTATACAACTTAGAATGACAAACAAGCTGACGGCCCACCTAATGGAAAGTGGTAACCGTCGCCTATAGACATGAGCAGTACCATGGACATAACAGAGTATACTGTTTCGCCCATGATACCCCCTATGCGTTGCCATTCCTGAGGACTCAGGTGTTATTCCTCTGTACCCAGTAAATTCACGCCATATCCCACCCTTCAAACCGAAACAGAGCCATGCAAACACAGCTGCTTCACGGTTGAAACACGCATGGGACAGAGGTGCTCAAGCAATCGACTTTTGTACAAAGTCTCCCTCTGATACTTACTTTCAGCGATAATTTTTTTATCAATTGACTTTTTTAACACTACAGTCCATCTATGTATATGATCTAGTAAACTAGTATGTGTGTGAGTGCACCACACATTGAAAAGTGACACTTGTCTATGGTTTCTTGTTGTTACAAATTAATTTAATTCATTCAATATACAAAATATCGGTACTGTTAAAGCATTTGTAAATAACAATCAATGGCCGGGCTGATTGAGTAACTCGTTGCACTTCTTTGCTCTATTATCTAAGTGAAAACATTTTATTTGTCTGCTCTGTTATTGAAAAGTCATGTTTTGCAGTATTTTTACATTTAAATTATAATAGATTGTTTTAAGTAACTGGTAAATATTTTTTTTTCTATGGAAAATTTTCCTCGAAATAGAGAGGAATCTCAACATTCTTTTTATGACCTTATATTTCTATATAAACCATTGTAAATACACAGACATTTAATAAAAATGACAGCATACGCTTTAAAAACAATACATAGAATTGTAAAAACGTCATGTGTATTTACTTTTAATGTAACAAGAAGATATTTTGCCCCGCTGGATAATTCTCCTGTTTGCGGTAGTCCTGATGTTATTATTATTATTATAACAATTCTTGTTTTATCACATGCTTAAAAGTTATATAAAATCTAATGAATACTCCAAAATGTGATAGCTGTCTACAATTTTTAATTTTTGTACTAATGTACTTTTTGTAGTTGCCACTTTGCATAATTACTAGTCGTTCAACGGTGTATGATGGATTATGGTCTCTAAGTCAACGTTATAAAATTCATAATCACAAATGTCTAATTATTAAAATATAAGTGTAAATAGTATTTTATTAATTACAATGTATGTATGTATGTAGAGCTACAAAAATTACACAAGTACACGCGTAATGTATGAAATTAAGGGATTATTTCACTATCATATTTATAGGATCATATTTTATATAGATTAATCTATCGATATACTCAGATATTTTCAACTTTACATTTACTTTCATATTTTAAGAACAATCTAACAAAATTAATTTTTTTTTATACAACTTAGAATGGCAATCTAGCTGACGGCCCACCTGATGGAAAGTGGTAACCGTCGCCTATAGACATGAGCAGTACCATGGACATAACAGAGTATACTGTTTCGCCCATGATACCCCCTATGCATTGCCATTCCTGAGGACTCAGGTGTTATTCCTCTGTACCCAGTAAATTCACGCCATATCCCACCCTTCAAACCGAAACACAGCCATGCAAACACAACTGCTTTATGATTGAAACACGAATGGGACAGAGCCAAGCAATCGACTTTTGTGTAAAGTCTCCCTCTGTATGTAAATAAAATGACTTTACGACCACCTCTTTTTGCACTGAAGCTCTCAAAAAAAGCTATAATTGTTCACCTCTGTAACTACTTAATTTTTATTAATAACAAATTTAATAATTGTCATACGTATGAAACCACAATGTAGTTATTTTCTTAAAGGTTTAAAGTAACAGAAATATTTTTTTTTATCAAAAAAGTCATAACCCGTTTATTAAGAATTAAAACAAGAAAATCCGCAGTAATACCCACACTTACCCTAATCCTTAGAATAAACTATTACAGCTGTTAACTGCCCACTGTTGAACATAAGCATTCCCCATGAGGGGAGTTTTGCCAGTAGTTGCCACACTTGGCAGGCGGGTTGGCAATCGCAGTTAGGCTTTTAGAGATGTTTTAAGAGGAATGCTGCTGCCCATCACTCCACCATTAAGTTTTTTTGAGTTGCCTCTTACGACGCCCATAGATAAGGAAGGGAATGGCCCCTTCTGTGCCGGGACCACACGAGCGTACTGAATTATTTCGTTGTAGTATTAAATGTTTATAGTGATAAATTTAAAGAAATATGCCACAGAATCGAATAATAAATGTTTTAAACATATATTATACAAGCTTTATACGTGTATAAAATATCGTCATAGTCATAGAATACTGACGGATCCTTATATGTAATCTTTGTCAGATCCGTCAGTATTCTACGACTATGACGATATTACTTTTGGTCATGCGCCTTACATCATGACAATCATTTCAAGCAAAATACTTGTCTCTAACTTAATGTTTTTGGATGGATATGTGTGTTACTGAAAATTGAGGTTAGATACATGATCCTACATATATGACGATGTAATAATCTCATATAATACTTGCAATATTTTTTTTTAATAACGTTTGTGACATAAATTGCCAGAATTTAAAATATTTGTTTCATTTACAATGCCATACCTACATATTTACCTGCACAAAATTCACACCATAGCCTAGAATCGGAAAAGAAACAAAGATTAAAAAAAAACAAGCACAAAATTCACACAGTCACACCATAGCCTAGAATCGGAAAAAAAACAAAGATTGTTTAAGTCTAAAAAAAAAACAAAGATTAAAAAAAAAAACAAGGACTGTCAACTCAATTCTCTTTATTAACTATATTAATACTGGAGCATCAAGTTGTACCAATTAGTATAAATACATAGTAAAAATTTGTATACAATAAATAGCTTAATAAATAACAAAAACCTTCGTAACAAAATTTCTTTATGACTAGAATTTCGTTTGGCGATACAAAATGTGTATGAACTGTGAAAAATGGTATAGGGGGCTTATTTATGGTAGACACTTGGAACATACTGCTATATTGATTTATAATTTGAATTTAGATTATATAATTTTTAATTGGTAAAATCAAAAGAAAAATATTATGGTCATTAAAAAATATTTTTCAGAATTGTTTATTTTTCTAAACGTTTGGTAGCTTTTTATACAATTTATAGCTGTATATACATAGCCAAAAATAATAATTTAAAATAGGTAATATCCGATATCTATATATCGAGTTCTAAACATTGAATACCACATATTGCGATATCGTCCATATCAGTTGGATATCTATATTCTTTAGGATATTTCTTTTCGATATTTAAATATTCGATAATCGATATCTAATATATCTGTTATTGGGCCAATATATGTATAGATATTGTAACTACAATTTATAGATATTGCCAGATATGACCCACCCTTAATAATAATAGTATCTAAATTCCTTCCGATGTAAAACTATCACTCGTCCCATACATTTATGAATTAATATACATTCTTTAAAATCACAGTCCCTTCAAGTCGTCACATTTACAATATTTGAATTTCTTTCGACCCCATACCTGATCTCTAAAATCCGAAACATAAGACTTAATTCAATGATCAGTAAAACACTAATCATCTGAATTAGACTTGATTGAGAAACTTAAAACCAAATAGAGACATTGTTAATACATGATTGAGACAAAAATTACCTCGTACAAACGCATGCTATCTCGTTCGAAGATAAAAAGAGATCCTAAACATTTATTCGCTATCTCTCTCAGACTTAGCAACGACATCGAATCGAAGACGTGACCAATTTCCAATTGAATTTTATTGGCATTAAATCTATGCACTCTATTTGGTTATAGGTGTTCCCAGTGTATGTTCCAAGTGTGTACCACATGCGTGGAGGTGGTGTCAGTGGCTGGCGAAAGTGGTGAACAGTTCCTCCTGTATGCTGTTGGATCGCATGAGGTGGCGCGTCTGACCGAACGCGGCCGACACCGTGTCCGCCTGTGATGCCTCGCGGGCCTTCTTCTCGTGGTACTCGTCCGAGAATTCCTGGTTTCAGATAAAGCGGATCAATGTATTTATCTTTTATTATTATTTCAGCCGTTAACTGTCCACTGCTGGACATTGGCATCCCCCATAAGAAAGGGTTTTGCCAGTAGTTGCCATGCTTGGCAGGCAAATTGGCAATAACAGTTAGGCTTTGGCGTTGTTTTAACAGAGACGCTACTCCCCATCTCTCGACCTTTAAATTTTCATAGTCGCCTGTTACGATACCCACGGATGGAGTGGCTCATTCTATGCCAGGATGATTCAGTATTTATCTATATTATCTGTTAATTAAGTAATTTTTTAAAGTTTTTCATCCTCATAGACTGTCATAAGGAACAGTCCTGAACCATTTGGGCTACGTCTTTTACCTCCTTACGACACAATTGAAATCGTCGCTTTATCCACTGCTATGTAGTGAGGGTTGCTCTAAATGTGTTTACCTTTACTGAATCGCCACTCGAGAACCTTCCTATCAATACTATTGTACAAACTCATCTTAATTTAGGACCGAAAAGTGCAATATAATCCTGTCAAGCACAGTTGTGCTCGCATAGCTGTATTTCGGTTCGAAGGGTCCATTAAATGCCAATGAAATTATAGGATCCGGGGATATAAATATCTTAGATAAGATATAGTATAGCTCTATAGCAGTAACGTAAAACGGCCACACAGCAGTCTATTGTGCAATGCTCTCGCTTAGCTGTGAGCAGAAGAAGATGGAAACGCATTGCGAGGACCTCAATCGCGAAGGAGGGCCTCATTATCACCATAAAAACCGCGACCACTCTGTCAAGAGTATACGTCTGAGGAGAGAGATTAACACGCGTGGTACATGGGGATCACGCTGTATTTTATGACGTCCTTAATGTTAATCGTATCTATAGATAGGTTTCGTTAGTTGGACTGAAAAAAAGAAAATATGAGAGAACATTTTATGCTGGTTGCCCACCTTCAGTCTGTTGCCCAGGAATACGGCTCTCTCTCGTTTCTTGTTCATAAAGTCGCTCTGCGTGAGCCAGCGGTGCTCGTGGCACTCCTCCGCCGTCGGTCTCTTTAGCGGTACCTTCTTGAACAGGAACATGAGGAAGCGGGTCGCCTCCTGCATGACACACAAAGAAAATTGAGTATAGCTCTTTAGTGTTACGATAAATGCTTCTAATTAGGAATAACTTAGTACTCAATTCCCAATTTTCCAATTTGTGTGCAAAAGTTTCTACACGATTTATTATATTTATGTCTATGCAAGAAGAGTTATATGATCTTTTTTATAATGCAGAGATTTTTTTTTTAATTTAAAAGAAATTAAAACTTTATTTCAAACTATTAAATTCGGCGAAATTTCTTGGTGAGGCTTTTGTCTTCGTAAGATTTGACGAGGACTTCACGAATGTCTATGCTTTATGTCATATCTATTGTATTGCGTTTTATAATCAGACAAAGTGTTTGTTTTTATAAGCTTTATTGTGCAGTCATATTTGAAACAAATAACAGATTAGAAAAAAAAAAAACTGCCAAGTATACAGACGGACTTATTCCTTGAAGGAATTTCTTCTTGATCTTGAGAATCAAAAAGGAGAAAGTAAAGTAAAGCGTAATTTATAAGAGTATTGCAGCAGAAATTGCATGATGAGCAGTTTCAGCGTGTATTCGTCATACCTGTGTAATCTCTTTGTAGAGGTGCTCGAAGCGGTACCGGACGAAGGAGATGTTGAGCTTGGTCTCGGCGTCGTTTTCGCCGCGGAAGGGCGACACGCCGGATAGCATGATGTACGTGAGCACGCCCAGCGACCAGATGTCCGTCTGCGGGTACGCTGGCTCGTCGTTTATTATCTCTGGCGCTGCACGTACAATGAAAATGAATGTTCAACATTGATCGGTTTGGATTGTAAGAGCTCTTTTTTTTAATAGTCTAGTCTCTATACATATATTTGTAGTAGGGAAAGGGATTGTTAGTAATGGAGTATAAAAATTGTATTGCTAACAATACACCCTGGATCAGGTCAATACTACATTCCCCCTGGAACCATCGTGGTTAATTCCACACTGGCGTTCTGTCAGCGTATACTGGTAGCGCAGGCTAGGTTACCATTCTATTATCACTTATTAAAAAGAAAATTTCAATTCCTATCGTTCGATTTATTCAAGCTCTCCAAGAGGATCTTTCAAGAGAGAGACTTTGTACAAAAGTCGTTTGCTTGGGCACTTCTATCCCATCGTGGTTCTACCGTGAAGCAGTTGTGTTTGCATGGCTGTGTTTCGGTTTGAAGGGTGGAATATGGCAGTGAATTTATAGGGTGCAAAGGAATAACACCTGAGTCCTCAGGAATGGCAACATATAGGGGTATCATGTGCAAAACAGTAAAACTAACTAAACCTAGTCAAGCTTTAATATGATATTTCATTACTCAAATTATTTATTACTAGCCGCAACAGAACTCGAGCACAAACGAGCCGTTAAAGAAGATCGAAATAACCTGCATAGTTTAAAAATATTTTACGGCTATAAATATCTTACCTTTGTATTCTAATTCGCCAACTTGTGGCACGCTGGTTCCTAGCTTAGTGACTTTGTGCGCCGACCCAAAGTCGATCAGCTTGACCTGGATGGATCTGACCGATGCCATTACCACGTTGTCGGGCTGCAGATCGAGGTGGCAGTAACCTCGCCAGTGCAAGTACTGCAAGCCATCGAGGATCTGTATCACGATGGTCGATACCATTTGTTCTGTATAGTCGTGACGACTAGAGAGGTACGTCAGGATGTCAGCACCCTGGAGCTTCTCCATGATGAGAGCGGTCACTGGTGAGCCAGGCGCCTGGTACGCGGCCAATAAGTTGGATATCCTCTCGTGCCTTAGCCTTCTTAAACATTCGAATTCCCTCTGCACCTGCACTTCAGTCTCTGGTCGGTTTTCTAATATTTTGGATACGACTACACTGTCGTTTTTCTTGTCGACGCCCTTTACAATTATCGAAAACTTTCCGCGCCATAATTCTGATATGAAGCTGTATCGTTCTGTGAATGCGTCGGATGTGTCCCAGTCGATTGGGCTATTCTCTGTGTTATAATTCAATTTTGGTCTCTCCTCGTCGAGAACTATTTCTTGGCCTGATTCCGTAAGTTGCTGCAGATGCGTCATAGCTTTTGTAACTTCGATTCTCGTCGCGCCGGCTACTTTAGTTTTTATTAGATTAGTCGGTATACCCTTATCGCTCCATCCGATTCGGTTGCGGGAAGACAGTCTAAATTGATAACTAGTGTCTGGCTTAAGATTTCTGACTACGAAGAATTCATGGTCGATATTATTGGCTGCGTCCTTCCATTCAACGCTATCGCCTTCTTTGTACTGGAGACTGTAGCAGACGACGGGCGAATTTCCGTCGTACTTGGGCTGCTTCCATCTGAGTAACACCTCAGTGTCTGACGTGTCAGCGGCGGTGGGGCTGTCTGGAGCATCCGGAGTGCTCGCTTCTACGATCCTCGTCCTCGCAACAGTTTGTCCGACCTTGTTTCTAGCGACCACTTTGTAAAAACCTATGTCGTGATGCATCGCAGGCTCGAACTTTAGCGTGGATCTGCCATCGTCGTCCTCGATTATCTTGATGCGTTGTCCCTCGGCCAGGACCATGTCGTTTTTAAACCATTGGATCACCGGCTTCGGATCTCCTACGGCGTAGCAGGACAGTTGGACGTTTTCGCCTTCGCGGATTGGTAGGATCTGCGGTTTCTCGCGGAAGAACGGCAGCTGGCCGTCCTTCTTGGACTCCATGAAGGCCTGCGCCTCCGCGTAGCTGTCGAGGCGGGTGCCGAGCTCGTGCCGTAGGCGGCGCGTAGTGTAGCTGTCGGAGCCGTAGTTGTTGATGCGCTCTCGCCGTTCGTCGTCGATTTCCTCGTCCATAATGTCCGTGAAGCGGCGTCGCTCGCGGATAATCGGCGTCTGTTGACAGGTGAAGATATTTTCATTATTCTTATTTTAATGCAATAAGTACCGGATTAAATTACATGTATCTTAATTGAGAAAGCTCGACGAGTTTCTAGACCATCCGGGACCTTTATTCATTAGTCAAGAACTTAAGTCTTGCGTAACGATTACTTATGACTAAGTGTTCCAGATGGTTCGTAAACTAGTCGAGCTTTCTCAACAAAAATACATGTAAATTAATCCGGTAGTTATTGCATTAAAATATAATGTGTACTTACGAAATTCATTATTTCTCTTCAGTGTATAAGATAGGACACCGAAATGTTGCGTTAGTCATGTCTTTTAATATTAAGAAATTGCAGTCTTATAAATAAAGAGTAGTAAACTATTATATTAATTGTTATATTATATGATAAATTATTATTAGGGCTCTGCGGGTTGCCGAGGCTCGTGCTGAAAAACAGCGCTGTAGCGTCCCTGATACTACAGCAAAATGCTGAGCACGCACCTCATTTTGCAAGTATAGCGACACATGCGCACACACACACACACACACATTTTGTTTTTTTTTTTATTCTTTTTTTTTATTTTATATTCTTTATTTATAATATAAATATTTTGAGTGTAGTTTCGTTATTATAATTCTTAATAATTTTATTTTGGCCACTATGTTTGTGTAGTCGCATATTTCTGTAAAACAAAGTTTCTTTCTTTCTTTCTAAATATTTAAGAAGTCGAGACTCACCCGGGGATCGTACACGTCGTGCACGCTGATGTAGTAGGCGGGCGAGCGGTCGCAGGCCACCTTCATGTACTCGCGCAGCCGCACCGGGAACGAAACGTCGCGAAGCTGCAGCAGGTACGTGTCTGGGCCGTTCTGGTAACTGCACGCAACAATAACAATGGCACGCATGCATTTCAATTGCTTAGTACTGGTATACAGGGTGTAAGAGACAGGTTAGCAAAAACTGAAACGGTGAATTCAGACCATTATTCTGTACCGAAAGCCAGTGGAAATTCTGTACGGAAAATTTAAATTTTCCCCCCTATTTTTCTCATTCAAAATCATGTAATGTATGATATTGTGTTATAGTATAAATAAATAATAATAATTTAAACAGTAACAGCAAACGTATCACGCGTCGTGTGGATCGTAAAATTTCAAATACATTGCGCGGCGTCAAGACTAAGTATCGTTAATTATTCGGCTGTGGTACATTTCCGGTGGAAAAATAATTTCCCATCTGATTCAGACCGTACATCTGGATCAGCTGTTTCTGTTTTGACCAACCTGTCTCTTACACCCTGTATATTTATTCATCATTATTATAATTAGCACACTAGCCGTTTTCCGCGGCGTTGCTCACTTCTAACTATGCCGTTCCCGTACATTATTCGCATTGGAATTCTTCATGAAAACATTTAAGTGTATAATACATGAAATTGTATTATATACTTAAATGATAATTACATACCTAATTCCTTCATAAACTTTCAGCCAATTGAACTGAGGGCCTACCATGAAATATTTTCCGAAATTTCGGGGACGAACGAAATAGAAATTTGATGTTAAAATTACATAATACATGCCGTTTAAAATTATTTAAAATATTAAAATGTCGTTCCTCTGGACTGTTAGGATAGGATTTATGATGAATGAAACGTTAAGCTCCATTTACTAGGTCGATTTAGGTACGAACAAAAACACGAAATTGAGCCCGTAAATTCGGAATTTCATTTCATGGTAGGCCCCCTGATCGGTTTCTTTATAGCATTTTATATGTGATTCTTTAGATTGATATAACTTTTTTATTTATGAACCGATTGAAAAAAAAAAAACAAACACTAAATGTTAAATGGAGTAAAGCGTAACGCATTAGAGAAACCGCGTTCAAATTGGGTAATCCGTTTCTGAGATTAGAGCGCACAAATGTACAGACAAACAGAAAAAGAATCTAAAAATCATACAATAGTTTTTCTTATATATCTTCCATGTACAGACAGCGACCAGTCATGATTTTATTATATGTATTGATGATGTTTGATTGATGAAGGCGGACTCAATGCTATATAACATTCTCTCCCAGTCAATTTTTGGTTGGCTTCTACATTTGAGTACCTTTTTTTTTATACAACTTAGAATGGCAAACAAGCTGACGGCCCACCTGATAGGAAGTGGTAACCGTTGCCTATAGAATGGACATAACAGAGTATACTGTTTCGCCCATGATACCCCCATGCGTTGCCATTCCTGAGGACTCAGGTGTTATTCCTCTGTACCCAGTAAATTCACGCCATATCCCACCCTTCAAACCGAAACACAGCCATGCAAACACAACTGCATCACGGTTGAAACACGAATAGGACAGAGGTACCCAAGCAATTGACTTTTGTACAAAGTCTCTCTCTGGTACCTTCATCCCTCCCATGTTTTTTATAGTCAACGCATATATTGTCTTTATAATTTGGAATAGCAAACAACCTAATGATAATCATCGTCTTTGGACATGAACCGCACCAGTACATAAGCATATATTTATAAGAATGACTCAACTAATGACGTAAATTTGACTATCTAAAAATCAATTTCATACTAACTGGCTCTCAGACTTGGCGGAGACCTCCCAGTCAGGGTGCTCCCACTGTTTGAACTTGAGGTCCAGTGCGCCAGTACTGCGCTCGCGGGATCGTTCCGGGGACCCTGCCGTGACAAATAATGTTTTTTTTATGCAACTCAGAATGGCAAACAAGCTGACGCCCCACCTGATGGAAAGTGGTAACTGTCGCCTATAGAGACGAGCAGTACCATGAACATAACAGAGTATACTGTTTTGCCCATGATACCCCCCATGCGTTGACATTCCTGAGGACTTAGGTGCTATTCCTCAGTACCCTGTAAATTCACTGCCATATCCCACCCTTCAAACCAAAACACAGCCATGCAAACACAACTGCTTCACGGAAGAAACACGAAGGGGACAGAGGCGCTCAAGCAAACGACTTTTGTACAAAGTCTCCCTCTGATAATAACGTGTAGTCTATGGTCGGAGTACTTAATCATAAACAAACCAATCCTTAATATATTGACGGACATCTGGTAGTTACCCTGTTAGACGTACGTCGTAAGTACCCACTAAGAATTGCTTGTTCCATATTATCGTACATTAGTACAAATAACTGAACGAAATTAAATGAAATTTGGTACACGAATAGGTTGTGTTCAAACTTAACGCATCTTCATATCAGTCGTTAACTGTCCACTGCTGGGCATGGGCCTTAAGAGGGGTTTTGACAGCAGTTGGCATGTACTGTCCAAATGTGTCTTCTTACGACACCCACGCGAAAAGATAGGAACTTATAACTTTATATACTGATTCACGCAGAAATTTATATAAAACTAATAGTACCTTCTGGCGTGTAGATCTCGCCGGGCGGGTACACCATCTTGGAGGGGTGGTCGAAAGCGCCGCTCAACGGCCGCCGGCGGAACCACGTGCGGCACTGCGCGTTGCCTGTCCAGTCTCTGTCGGGCAAGCGTGAACATAATGTTTACACACGTAATTATGTTTCTTTGCACCTTAGGGTCGAGAATATGCAAACTGAGGTGCCAAGGATTTATCATTATCATCTCTTGCATAGTTCTGCTCTCCTAGTATTTCATATGAAATCATAAATATTAATTTTTTTTTAGTACGTTTGTTCCGTTGTGGAACAGGCTAAGGTCGGAGACCATGCTGCCTCATAAATATTAATATTTATTTGTCATGTGAGCTAAAGGGATGAACAGCATTTTTTATACTTTTTTTTTTTGGTAAAAACGGCCAAGCACATACCGAAATCATTAGTACAATACTGCAGCGGCCAGCAACTGAGGCATTGATGGACGAACGTGCAAATGTGGACCGAGGCACACATACGTGAGTCCATCAACGCCTAGTTGTGGCCAAGGCTTATATAGTTCTTTTCTCAAACAATGCGCGGAAATCAAAAACACAATTTTACTTTTTAAATTCAATGACGAATAATGAACAATAATAATTTTTCACGCGCCATAATGTTCCTTTGTTTTTTTTTTTAAATAAACAGCTTTTTATTTGCAAACCAGTTTGAAATTTAAATAAAACTTTTTATTAGTTACTTCCTCGGTAGCCATGTTTCGAAGTAAAAGGTCATTCCATTTTCAAATTACAGACAGACAGATATGAGTTTACATAGTAATTTATTTGGCCGCAAAACACGACAGATATGGATTTTCATACAACTTTTGCCGGCCGTTGCCCGCATGTACGAGTATCTGGCCAGTACGGCAATTTTGATTTATCTCGAAGAAGATTGTCAAAATAATGCTCACATTTCCAAGCATGTTTGAGAAAATAATATTATCTCCCACATAGTTCTGCTGTCCTAGTACTTTAGGTAAATTAATAATTATTATACGGTAAATATTTACCTAAGTACTAGGAAAATAGAAATAGTCCTCATCACAAACGTAATATTGTATGACCAAATCGTAGGAACAGTAGTTACCTGTACAAATTATAATAGTTCCTGAGCCTGTCGGTGGTGATCTGGTACTCCTCCTGGTAGATCTTGTCGGCGAACGTTAGCCACGGGTGCGACAGTGCTGTGTTCACGTCCATACGCTCGTGCCAGTTGAACACCAGTAGCTTGGAGATAAAGTCCCGGGATTCGGTGCTGAGGCGCGACCACCACTCTTCGTCGTGCCACTCCCACCTGCGGATTAATGTGTTGCGGTAATTCAAAAATAGAACATTCGTCATTTCCACTATTTGTCTATATAAATAACTTGCTTTTCGAAGCGTGCAGTAGATAAAAAAAAAATGATAATTTAAAAGTGCTTGTAAATAAGTCTATTATCCTGAGGTCTATAGTCCTGAAGACTCAGGTGTTATTCCTCTGTACCCAGTAAATTCACGCCATATCCCACCCTTCAAACCGAAACACAACCATGCAAACACAGCTGCTTCACGGTTGAAAAAACACGAATGGAACAGAGGTACCCAAGCAATCGACTTTTGTACAAAGTCTCCCTCTTCCTCAAAATAAAACACACACCAGTTTTTAAATTACACCTTCGGAAATACATCAACATAAATACATCAAGGAATGGCAGCGCATGGGGGGTATCATGGGCGAAACAGTATACTCTGTTATGTCCAGGGTACTGCTCATGTCTATAGGCGTCGGTTACCATTTTTCATCAGGTGGGCCGTCAGCTTGTTTGCCATTCTAAGTTGTATAAAAAAATGCATCAGTGAAAATCGCATTCTATTTACGTTATCACAGTAATTTTTGCATAATCCTGTAACAAATTTACAGACAGACAGACAAAACTTCTAAAAATTATTCCCTTGGCTTCATTGATGCTATTAAAACTCCGCCCATCATTTTTTTTATATGTTCCATATACAGACATTATCCAGTTACAGAATTTATTAAACCAGAAAAATAAAATAACGCATCGCTAAACATGTTACTAGGCATGAAATTCCAGAATGGATGAAGAGATTCGGCTAAATTATTTTTTCAAATATTCATTAAAATCCGAGAAAGGCGAAGGAATAAATAGAAAAATTAGAAAGTTGCCGACGAACGTTACCGACCCTGAAGGAACCTTAATATACACTTTTTGAAGAACCCCATACTGTAGTTTCTAGGAAAATCCTTGGCAGGGAGCTCCACTGAGATGGCAAACAAGTATACATACGGCCCACCTGATGGTAAATGGTTACCGTAGCCTATGCGTAGCGAACGTCTGCAATACCAGAGGCATTACGTGCACGTTGCCGACCCTGAAGAAACCTCTTTACCCCTTTTTTGAAAACCTTATGCTGGAGTCTCTTGGACAAACCTCAACAAGGAGTTCATTCCATAATCTGAGCGTTCGTGAGAAGAAACATTTTTGAAACCGCGCTGTACTCGACCTTCCAAGGTCTAAACTGGGGATGAACTCCCTGATGATTTAGAAACTATATAGAAAGTGGCCATGGGTATCACATTGAGCAATTTCTTTGAGCACAATCCATTACACAAGTTATCAAAATAAATAAATAATCTTCCGTACCTTCCTTCCCTGATCCTGGTGAGGGTCTCCCTGTCGTTAACCCCTCGGAAGGGCGAGTGTCCGCTGAGAAGGATGTATGTGATGATGCCTACGCTCCACATGTCAGCACCGTACGAGACGCCTTCCCCGCTGGCCACCTCAGGCGCCACGAACTCCGGCATGCCATAGTCGAGTGCCGCGTGCTTGTTGAATTGTATGCGACGCGAGAGTCCGAAGTCGCAGATCTTCAGTTCGTCGCTGCCCACGTGTGATAAGAGCAGCTCGCCGATCTGTTTGTTTGAATTTCGAGTTATTTCTACTAGAAGCCATAATTCGTGACTGCACACTAATTAAGCAAAAAATATGTAAATCTAAGAAATAAAATCCTTTCTTTTTTATTATACCTGTAAATAATTTAAGGGTTTGTTCCACAAAAAACATTGATATCAAGCGTGGAAAAATAGGTTTATTTTGATTTAAAAACTAAACTATAAAACCGAATTTGATAAAATTTCTATAGGAGCAATATATATCCGATAAAAACGTTTAATTTTAAATAAAAAATACAAAGACGAGCTTATCTCTAATAAGAGATTTCTTCCAGCAAACCTTTTCATGTGAATTAAATTTTACTTTGGGATTTTTCAAATTAATTTTTGCCATTAAAATCCAAATTTTCAAAGATAGTTTAATAAGAATATTATTGCGTGATTATCGTTTTAGATACTCTTTACTGTTTCCTCCAAAAGACTACAATAGTAATCTTATTATGGATACAAACAATTACAAGAAATAATCACACTCAGAAAACAATGGGCGATCTTATCACTCTTTTTCAGCGATCTCTTTCAGACTACCTTTGGATGAAGAGTTAGTTTTAGTTCGCTAACAGAGCACTTTTTAAAAAATCAGTCAAAAACGTTGAAACTTTTTTTTTAATTAAAATTCTCTTCTATTAGACTGTTACAATTGTATGATACCGTATTGTAAATAATAAAAGTGCCCAATAATGCCTGATAGTGTAAGCATTTTTTGGCTTCGCTGATAGTTTACCTTCAGCCTCAGTAACGTTTTGTTACCATTCATGCTATATGAAAAAAAAAAAACTGACCGTGAGACCAAGATGCGCGACGCTGTTGTCGTGCATGTACTTGAGTCCCCTGAGCAGCTGCCTTATGTACCCAGCGATCTCCCGCTCGGTGTAGCCCTGGCTGCGGAGGAGGCGGTCCCGGACCAGCTCTCCTCCAGCAGCCAGCTCGGTGACCAGCGCCAGCGTGTGCTCGTGCTCGTACGCGTCGTGCAGGCGGATCAGATGCCGATCGTTCAGCAGGTTCATAATCTCCAGCTCGTTCTTCATGAACGGTTTCAGTTCTGAATGGCCGTGCATTATCTTCGCGGCGTAGTTGCGACCTGGTAAAGAATTAGTATCGTATGATGAACTGTCATCACTAAGTTTTGTAAAAATTTTTGATCCCTGTTTGGCTTTATGATAAGTTCCAAACCATCGTATAAATTTAGATTCTGTAATGGAGATCATCATCATCATCATCATATCAGCTTTTTATTATCCCCTAGAGGAGTTTCGCTAGTAGTTGCCAAACTTGACAGGCGAATTGGCAACCGCAGTTAGACTTTGGAGATGTTTTAAGAGGGACGCTGCTGCCCATCCCTCGCTCTCCCTTAGTCGCTTCTTACAACACCCACGGGAAAGGCAGTGGTGGCTTATTCTATGCCGGGACCACACGGGAATGAGAATATCCATAGAAAAACCGAAGAGACTTTTATTATCAGTACCAGTATGAAGTGGCAATGGGTCCAAAAAGGAAAAACAACCAAACAACAATAAGGAGCAAATTTCCTCTCTCACTAGGTACAATGACGATCTAATGTATAAGAAAATGGACAATGTCAGCCAATGTAAGTAGTTCAAGACCATTTCTTATGATCACATATCTATTAAACTGAAATAATGATGATGATCGAATGATATATGTGATGATATCAACCAGTGAGCCTCTCGGCGGCGTGGTAGACGACGCCCTGCACGCCGCGGCCGAGCTCGTCGCCCAGATCGTAGTAGTCGCCGAACGGCTTCGTGCTTGGCTTCACGCGCGGCGGGTGCTCACGGATCCTGCATCACAGAAAAATACAGATTTTGTGGTTTTTGTAACTGTAATGACAAGCCTAGTGACGGTCCACCTTATTAACATAGAAAATATAAGTATAGAAAGGAGATTGTTACTGAGAGAGTGAGACCCCATTATACTAATTATATACTCATTCAAATCAACTTTGTCACGTTTCTCTCTGGTGGTTCATTCATCATGATGGTGTAATTGACCTATCTTCATCCTCATCTATCATTCCTTATTTATATCTCACCAGTATATACCGATAATCGAGACGAGGTCCCATTCATATAGTTTGATAAAAGAAGTTATCACCTATCGGAGTACTGGTGTTCATCCTCCTCTACGTGCAGCATGGCTGAGGAACTGACCGAGCCGGCCACGTTACGAGCTGATACAGAGTACAGGCCCTCGTCCTTCAAGATAGCATCATGGATCACCAGCACCGTCGTGTCCGGCTCAATGAACTGGATCTACAAAATTGACAGAATTTAGTGAAATTGTGTTCTAAAAAATAAATTGCGGCTTCTGTCTAATATGACTTTAATACTTGGACTTCATTCTAACTTTTCATTCTTAACTGGCAGATACTCCACCAGCGTAAACCACAGGCAAGGTTATCATCACAAAAAACATAGCAATTTTATGAAATTTTAGGAATGTATAGTTAGTGACCTTAATCCTGGCACTAGGTGCGAGAGGTTGCCAGTCCTTGTACCACTTGATGTCAGGGTAGGGCACTCCGGTAACCCTGGCCTCGAGCCGGCCGTTGCGTCGCTGCAGTACCACGGTCTCCTCGGGCCGCCGGATGAATGTGGGGTACTCGGCCAGCTCGAGCCGGACACGTTGGCGAGCTTGTCCATGCTCGTTGGTCGCTACTGCTTCGTACCACCCGGCATCGCGATCCAACATCCTGCACAGAGTTATAGGCATCGTTCACTTAACTATATGTATTTAATTATATTTAACAAAAAAATGTAACAGTCACTGAAACGCATTCTTTTAAACCAAACTTGACTGCTCAGATTTAGAAGGTACTTACTTATTAATAAACAACGTCGCTTGTCCATTTCTTGTGTAACTCCAATCATAACGGCCGCCAATCTCTATCGGCTCATCGTTGAAGAAATACGTCATCTTGGGTTTAGGGTACCCGTAAACGAACCAAAAGAGGCTGACATTGTGTCCTTTTACGCCGTACTGGGCATCCTGTTCCTGGCGGAGGAAGCGTGGGGCTTGCGCGTGGCCGTCGATCGGGGGACGCTCCAGGTCGAAGTCCTTGGGGAAGTAGGGCGAAGTGTCAGGCCGGAAGTCGATGCCGGGTTCCAGGTACGGCACGAATCGTGGGGGCGGCGGCTCGAGGCGGGAGCGCTGCGTGACCGCGTACGGTGAGGGGTCACTGACTCCGAACTGATTTTCTACACGCACGCGGAACCGGTAGTCGCGGAATGGCTGTAGGTTGCGAACGTCGCACACGCAGGATCGTAGTCCACGCCTCGCTGTGAACCAGTCGCCGTCTGGTAGCTCGCACATCTCCACCTGAAGGACACCATAAAATGGTGATATTTGACATGATATCTATAAAAAATTACACAATTTATGTGACTTTGGAATTTATGTGTTAGTGTCATCTGATTTAACCCTTACCCTCCTGCCCATTTATCATTCACACAATATACACATTTCCAAACAGACGCAATACACATATTGATATTGGGTTTGTATTTTTAAGAGTGAGATCAATGCCCAGCATTGGGATGGAATAAGTTGCTACATTAACATTATAAATGTGTAAGTAAATAGCTAAACTTGATTGAATTTTGTCAAAATTCCAAATATACCAAAATTGGAGTTGAAGATACCCCCCAACTCCAAATTAAAACATAAAGCTACTTTACTAGTATATAAGGTACTTTATCATTAACCAAAAATATTATAATGTAGAATTTTTCTCAAAAAACATCACAGATAAAAACGACTCAGCTATTTGTCTCTATTAATTATTACATTAAAAAAAATTTTAGAAATATTCTAAACTTCCAATATTGCCAATAATTTCCAGTAAAATAATAATAAATAATATCAACCTGATATGTGACGGGGAACCTGGGTCCGTGCGGGATGGAAGGTTTCCAAGAAAGCGTCAAATGACGGTCAGTCATCCGGGAGATGATCGGTTTGTCCGCGAGAGGCATCGGTACGCCGGTCTTTTTCATTTTGTCGAAATCTGAATACTGGTCTGCTAGAGGTCGCCTGTTGCTTTGCGGTTCCAAACCTGTAGTGATAAAATATAAAATTTTAATCATTTTTATGCAATGAGATTAACAATAAAACCAAATTTTTTGCAATAGAAAAATACAATTCACACCATTTAAGACTTCCAGTTTATTTGATAGGATAGGATTACTGAATCCAATGTTTACTTTAAAAGATTTATTTTATTTCTAATCGAAGCAATACTTAAAGGGATATTTTTATTAAAAAATGGTGAAGGTTCTCTGTACAAAAATATTTTGTGTGTATGTTACGCGATATGTCTGTCTATTGCAAATTGAATTCAATGAATCTATTTGTTTCAATATTTTTTTTTTACTATTGTTGATATAATTTAGGAAATATTTGGAGCTTAAATCTATTGAATTTAAATTCTCCCCCAATTTCGTTGCTTGCATGATTTTTTATAACACAATGTATCGTAACTTGAAAATTTTGCGTGACACCGAAACAAACATATAGACAGACAGATGAAGTTTCTAAAAAATATTGTTATGACATTTATTGGTCTTCATAAGACCTCCCATGTACAGACATTGTCTACTCTATACCATACCACACTAGCTGTTAACTGTTCACTGCTGAACACAGGCCTCTCCCCTATTAAGGGGTTTTGCCAGTAGCTGCCAGACTTAGCAGACAGGATGACAACCGCAGTTAGGCCAGTTGATAAAGTTTAGGAGGGACGCTGCTGCCTATCTCTCGTCCATGAAGTCCTTAGTCGCCTCTCACGACACCCACGGGAAAGGAAGGGATGGTCCATTCTATGCTGGGACCATACAGCCTCCTTATCATGAAGATCTTGGCATAGAACAGAGACCCCTTTCTTTCCCGGTGTCGTAAGAGGCGACTAAGGAAGCTTACGGTGGAGGGATGGGCAGCAGAGTCTTAAAACATCACCAAAAGCCAAACTGCGGTTGCTAACTCACCTGCCAAGCGTGGCAACTACTGGACCCCCGCACCCCCCCATTATGGGTAGTCTATATTATAGATATGATAGCAGTGGACAGTTCACAGTTGATACAAAAATAAGGTTTCGTAGTGTTGTACTGACTGTCGTATGTGAGCTGCGCAGTGCAGGACTCCTCGCCGTGCGGGTTGTATATCCTGCAGCGGTAGGTGCCCACGTCGCTCGGGTCGATGCCGCTGATGGTCAGCCGCAGCAGCCCCGTCGTCTCCTTGTCCATGCGGATGCGTTCGCACGGGAACAGCTTCTCATCGTTGCGGAACCTAGACACCAGTCCTTGTTAAATTCTCTTCATAACGTCATCTCTACAATGACAAAATCTAAACCAAATAGTCAATTGTTGAGGCCCATTGCGAAATTGGCGTTGCCTTCAAAATGAATGACTATTATTGGTTTTCAATCGACTTGAAAAAGAGGTTTTCAATTCGTTTAAATTTTTGGTTTGTAATCTCAGAATTCCGTTATTTGTAAACTGATTTAAATTTTTTTTAAGTGAAGTCTTTTAGAATTGTACCATAGGAATTTTATCAAAATCGATTAAGAAGCTTAATTTTTAAAACAAAACATTTCATTATGTCACAAGAAGTCAGTGTTTTTTTTTTGTAGTATCAAATATGTTGTATTTGCTCGCTATAGATCTTAATTTTTAGACCGAATAAACGTTACAAAAATACTGCATGAGGGAGCAGTTAATAATTTATGAAATTGTTCTGAATGCAAGAATCGATTTATGAAAAAGGGATTAAGCAGGAGTATAAAGATCTCTTTGGCACTTGGCTATCTTTGTCTAGTTAGTAAGATCGAAGGTTAGACGTTGGGAAGGGAAGTGGGGGGGGGGGGGATTAGATTTTTTTGTAGGCCCCACTAGTGCTTCCGACTACATAATCCGGATAATTTATTTATATATAAATTACAGCGAGGCGAGAGGCTGTGACCGAAAGCGCCGTACGACCCCTGAAGAAGATTTTTGGATGAAGTGGAAACAATTTTCGGAAACGACAAAACACAGTCAGTTCAGTTATGTCTTGTTATATATGTATATAGGCATATCAATTAGCTTTAAAACGTTTGGGATATTATATTAAAAATATCTAAGTTGTGGATTTATTTTTATTCTTTCTTTATTCTTTATTGCACACAAACATAACGATCGGCTCAATTAATTTTAAACCTAATGTACAAAGGCTAAGGAGCTTATCTCCAATAAGAGATTTCTTCCAGCAAACTTTTTCATGTGAATTAAATTAATATTTAAAAAAATAAAAATAGGCAGTCATACGATTACTGATATATTTGTATGTGTGCCTCTCAATTTACAACTACACCATTGAAATGGCATAAAAATAAATATATATATATATACATGGCCACGTACCATTCAACGTCAGGGTCGGGAGTGCCAGTGGCGCAGGCGGTGAACTTGGCGCTCATGCCGCGGTACACTTCCGTATCACCGATCTTCTTCAGGAAGGACGGTGGCTCCATTTTCTGCTTTTTAGCACTGAAAATAAAATATAGATAGATAGATACTCTTTATTGTTTTCCCCAAAAGATTACAATAGTAAACTTATTATAAATATAAACAATTACAAGAAATAATCACAATGAGAAAACAATGGGCGACCTTATTGCTAAGAGCGATCTCTTCCAGGCAACCTTTGTATGGAGAGGAGTAATTATAAACAGTTTGATCGGAGGCACGATGAAATTCTATTATTTCTAAATATGGAGATGTGATACATGTAATAATGTAAATATATATCACTACTCATATATATTTTTTATTGTTTAACACTCAACATGTTAAATTGTTAATTGGTTGAAAAAATTACTATACCAAAGTTACGCGTATAAAATGTTTTCAAATATTGAATATCAGCTGTTTCCCGCGACTGTGCCCGCGTCAACCATGTCTATGAAACAACGTGTATGAAATTTCATTCAAATCCATTCAGCTATTTAAGCGTGAACGTAACAAACATACAAATATCTTTACATACATTTATGTTTATATATAATAAGTATGATTAAAAAAAAAGTAGTTTCAGGTATACCTTTATAAAAAAATATTTCATTATATAGCATATTTCTTTTGTTTAAAAAGTACATACAAAGACAGTAACGCTCTCTGGCGTTAAATTTTTTAGCACCATCGACACCATAGAGTATATTGTACTTCTCGCGCGTTACCATCCCAGATCAAAGGTTCTTCAAAAAGGGGATAAAGAGGTTTCTTCAGGATCAGCAACCACGTGATACCCCTGGAATTACAGGCGTTCGTAGGCTACGGTAACCACTTACCATCAGGTGGACCGCCACCTCAGTGGTTTAAAAAAAACAAAGGTAATATGCTTCCATACTTCGTTTAACTAACACAATACTAACATTTTATCGACGACCTCGAGGGTGGCTTGGCACGAGGCCTCCCCCTCTCGGTTGATGGCACGGCAGGCATAGAGGCCAGCGTCCGCGGCCGTGACGTCACGCACGTACAGGCAGCACGCGTCGCCGTCTCGCTTCATGTGGTATTTGTCGCTTTCCCGCAGCGGCGACCCGTCCTTCGACCACGTGATCTCCGGTGACGGGATGCCGCTTACACGCGCCGGGAATTTCGCGTCGAATGTTGGTAGCTGCAGGAGAGAGAGGGAAGAGAGGAGTTAAGAGTCTTTGTACCGATGAAACAAAATTTTTATAAAGCTATTATTGAATATTTTTATATTGATAGCAAAAAATATTTTAATATTTTCGAAGCAAAATATGAAGTAGGTCCAAAACTTCATTTCTATAATAACTATTTTAGTTTGCTTTTTATTAATCAAAAGGGGGGAAAAGGGATTGTTAGTAATGGAGACAGAAACCCATTGCTAGCAATATATCCAACCAGGTCGACCTCCTCGCGGTTCCCCCTGGAAACTATCATGATTAATTCCTGATGAATTCATCATGATGGGCTAGCTGGCCCGTTTTCATTCTCATCTATCACCCTTCACTGGTGCTCCGCCAGCGTATCCCGTTAGCGCAGGCGGGGCTACCACTCCGTTTTCATCCAATAAAAAAAATTAATCAAAAATATTTTTATCTTTGATTAATTATAATTTGTTTAAATTAATCAATAATAAAGTACATTACTTCAAAACATAGATATATATTATTAAAATATTTCATCACGTTTTCTGAAAATTCCGCAAAATATATGTCCGAATTCATAAAGAGCTTACCTGCTGCAGATCGCTGAACCGCTGCGTGAAGCTGGGCGGCTGGAAGACCTTGCGCACCGTCAACTTGCCCTCAGAGCTGTCCTCGCCTAGCGGGCTCGTCAGCTGCATGCCGTACACGCCCGCGTCCGACATCTCCAGCGGGTTGATCTCCAGGCCCACCTGTTCAACCATCGGGGATGTGGTGAGTGCGAAAGCGAACCCATGTCTTCGACATATAGCACCTCGAGTATATCGTGTGGTTTTTGATGGGTAAATCCCCGCCTTACGGGGAATTCCCATTACCCATTCATCTCCCACATTTTCCAGACGTTAAAAAAAGACTCATTTGTTCAAAAGTCAAATTATGGGATGCAGTAAAAAATTTACTAAATAACATATTATTCATTATTTATATAATTTAAAAAAGCTACATCTGAATTTCTTGCCCGTTCTTTTTTGGCTGAAATTGCGTTCCGAATGGTTGGTAATAAAAAAAAAAAGACTATTCAAAAATGCTTACTTATAACTTAATATTAGATAATATTTATGATGGACAAAAAGATAGCCCACAATTAAATGGCCGAAGTCGTGTCTAAAAGCTAGTAATAGACTGACGTACCCTCTTCCCGTCACAAGTGAGCAGCACGCGGTCGCTGGGCAGTAGCGGCTTCCCGTCCTTGGTCCAGGTGACCTCCGGAATGGGGTTGCCGCGGAAGGGCGCCGACACCGTGAGAGGCTGGCCCTCCTCTTCCGACATATCCCGTAGCCCGTGCACCAGCTGCGGCCGCTCTTGCGGCGAGGAGTCGTCATCGCGACCTGCGATAGGATTTTTTTATACATTGGTATTCTTCTCTGGTGAAGGCCCTTTACGAGAATGGAAAATACAAAAGCTGACGATTATATACAAGACGGGGCAGAAGAGGAAACTTTTTTTATGCAACTTAGAATGGCAAACAAGCTGACGGCCCACCTGATGGAAAGTGGTAACCGTCGCCTATAGATATGAGCAGTACCATGGACATAACAGAGTATACTGTTTCGCCCATGATACTCCCTATGCGTTGCCATTCCTGAGGACTCAGGTGTTATTCCTCTGTACCATGTAAATTCACTGTCATATCCCACCTTTCAAACCGAAACATAGGCATGCAAACACAATTGTTTCACGGTTGAAACACGAATGGGACAGAGGTACCCAAGCAAACGACTTTTGTACAAGCAAAGAACTGTTAGTAATGTGGACTACCAGTTCTATTTTGGGGGGAAGGGATTGTTAGTAATGTATGTAGTGCATAATTAGGTATATAGGTACTATATACCTTGATTTGTTTATTTTTTATTGATGATAATTTGGTGACCCTACCTGCACTAACGATATACACTGGCGGGGCACCAGTGAGGAGTGACAGGTGAAGATGAAACAGGTCAGTTAGCCCACTGTGACAAATTCAACAATAATTCAATCACGAAATGGAACCTCACGGTTCCCCCTGGAAGGGAAGTCGACTTGTTATTGTTAGCAATTAGTTTCCATTAATAACAATCCCCCCCCGTACCATATTAGTGTAGCGTGCGATACTAACTGGCAATGGTGAGGACGGCGTTGCTGGCGGTCTCGCCGCAGTCGTTGACGGCGACCGCGGCGTACTGTCCGCCGTCCGCGGCCGTCGCGCGGTCCAGTAACAGTGCGTGCGTACCGTCCGGCTGCGAAACTATGCGGACACGTTGTCCGTCCGGCACCACCTCTACGCCGTTGTGGGTCCTAGGATGTTTTTTTTTTATGAAATAGTAACAAATATCTTCTAAATTATTTTGCAATTATACAATTAGGTCGCCAATTCCAAATCTGTGTTTATTTCGTATTTATATGGTATAGAAGTAACCACAAAAAGGGATGCTTCCTTTTATATTTTTGCCGCGCTTGGCAGGCGGATCGGCAACGGCAGTCAGGCTTTAGAGATGTTTTAAAAGGGACGCTGCTGCTCATCCCTCGCTCCCCCTTAGTCGCCTCTTACGACACCCACGGGAAAGGAAGGGGTGGCCTATTCTAAACCGAAACCACACAGCAATTCTAATGCTTTATTCGGATTTTTTTATGCAATTTACAATGGCAAACAAGCTGACGGCCCACCTGATGGAAAGTGGTAACCGTCGTCTATAGACATGAGCAGTACTGTGGACATAACCGAGTATACTGTTTCGCCCATGATACCACCCATGCGCTGCTATTCCTGAGGACTCGGGTGTTATTCCTCTGTACCCTGTAAATTCACTGCCATATCCCACCCTTCAAACCGAACTCTTTCGAGAACATCTGCTTTTTTATTGCTAAAAGTTTTCTAACTTCACATTATATTTTAATATAATAACTACTAATAATATAGTGAGATCCTGTCAATCGCGGGACATAATAATAATAAAAAAAAAAATCTAAATCTCACCATTTGATAGTGGGCTGCGGGTGCCCGAGCACCTTGATCTCCAGCTTGGCGGGGAAGCCCTCGATCACCTTGGTTGGCTGCAGCTCCGCGATGAACGCCGGTTTACGATCCTTCTGTTGTACCTCCGCCTTGGCTTTGGATGCCACCTGTGGGCATTATATTATGAGGCAACTAGCTAATCAGGCAAATATTGTATTGCCCATTACAGTCTGGGTCCATTTCGTTTATTATCAGGATAAAATCTATCATATGTTTTAAATTATTGCAAGCAATACACATATTTATAATATTTGAATAAAATCAATTAAATAGTTTCGGAGTTTTGTGTGAACGACTATTGTAACATCGGATTTTAATATTATTAAGATTAAATGCAATTAATTCATCAGGTTTACATGATAATGGCCCCATATACAAGAGAAAAACAAGTCTATCAATTGGTACGGTATCGCTACCGCGTACATTAGATAGAACGGGACGGCATCGACCGAAGTCATGTTCTTTCTTATTCGTACGCTGAAGGCAACATATTTATTAATAGATCCTATTGTCACTTATTTAAGGTAAGGAATCTCAAGATTAATTAACTGTTAAAAAATGTTATGTTTGGATAATTCAATTTTAACACCAGAGAGAGCTGCCCTCATACAACGAACGAGTTATTTAGTACCAACTGTGCAAGCGCAGGTTAGATGGGGGCGAGACAGTGCTTAGTTTAAATTCAATAAACTGGTAGTATAGATTTCACAAATATATAACACATTTTTGATTGAAGTAATGCAGTGTACAAAGTAGACGTGCTAATCATTATCATCATCTCAGCCATCATCTGTCCACTGCTGATACACTGATACCTGCTCCATACACTACCATAAGAGACGGTCCTGAGCTACATGCATTCACTGACTCCCTGCAATGCCTTTGAGATCGTTACTCCATCCAGTGGGAGATCGAACCTTTTTACCCCATCGATTGTCAGTTCTTCGAGCTATGTGACCAGCCACTTCAGCTTTGCTTATCCTTTGGGCTATATCGGTGATTTTGATTCTTCTGCGGATATCCTAATTTTAGATCCTGTCACGAAAAAAAAAACTGCAAGCATAGTCCTCTCCATAGCCCGCTTAGTAATTTGAAGCTTTTGCAAACGGGGGACCATGTTTTGGTTCTATAGATCATCACTGGCAACACGCACTGCTTAAAGATCTTTGTCTTCAAATTTTGAGCTATTTTATATAGAATAGACATGCTATAGTGCGGTATATTATCGGTAGAGGGCCTCGTACCTCGCCAAGCTTATTGGTGACGGTGAGCGAATAGACGCCCGCGTCCTCCGGCTTGCAGCTGTCAATGCTAAGCCCGATCACGCCGCCTGGCTGGTTGATGAAGTTGATCGCTTGCGACGGACGCACTGGCAGACCTGTATTCATTGATTTAGGAGTGATTAATCTGTTTAATTAATTAATTATTAATTAGTTAATGTGTCTGACTAACTCCAACAACTGTTTGAACAAACGTTTTGTTAAAACATTCGAATACGAGCCATTAATTGCTGAACATAGGCCTCTTTCATACAGGAGGTTTTACTAGAGCTCCCTCGAAGGGAGACTTTGTACAAAAGTCATTTGATTGGGTATCTCTGTCCCGTTCGTGTTTCAACCGTGAAGCAGTTGTGTTTGCATGGCTGTGTTTCGGTTTGAAGGGTGGCATATGGCGTAAATTTACAGGGTACAAAGCAATAAAACCTGAGTCCTCAGGAATGGCAACGCATGGAATCACGGACGAAAAAGTATACTTTGTTATGTCCATGGTACTGGTCATGTCTATAGGCGACGGTTAGCACTTTCCATCAGGAGGGCCGTCAGCTTGTTTGCCATTCTAAGTTGTATAAAAAAAAAAAGATTTTACTTGTAGTTACCACGCTTGGCAGGCGAATTGGCAAGTGCAGTTACCCTTTGATGACGTTTTAAGAGGGACGCTGCTGCCCATATTTCGTCCATTAAGTTCCCTTAGTTGCCTATTACGACACCCACAGGTAAGGAAGTAATGGCCCATTCTATGCTGGGCCATTATTTCTTACAGCATTTTCTTTTTTTCCGATTACTCGTGATAAATAAAATGTTGGTGTCATTTGATGTAAGTATAGGTACTGACCATCTTTGAACCACTTAATTTCCGGCGCAGGGAACGCCATCACCCTGGCCTCCAGTTTCAGCGGCTGTCCAACCACTGCCTTCGTGTCTTCCAACTCTTTACTGAACGATGGTTTCCTTGGGGTTGCTAAACAAATACACACATATAGTTCACTAACTTTGTCTTCGAAAACTATTCTTTTGTCTACATCAAATTAACTCTAGAACGACTTTAAACAGGAGGAAATTTTTTAATATTTTTTGAGTGTATTTTATTATGTTTTAAATCATTCTGAAATGATTATGATAATTATTTTCCAACTGATATTGCAGTGTTAATCTTACATTTAAATTTCTAATAACTAATTATAGTGGAAAATTACAGATTAATATGTGCATAAATTTGTAGTCTAACTATTGTATACCTAGTACTGTAGTTTTTATCATTTTTCATCCTTATAGTTATAATTAATATGAATATACGTGTCATGGCGGCCACTAATTAAGGCAGCATTTTATAACATAACCATATTATCATATATTGTAAGTAAATATAAATGTATAGTTTGTTGGCTGTCCTACAATTAATAGATGAATAAAATGAGCACTATATTGTTTTGGTGGTCTATGAGAGGTAGGAAAAAGGAAGTCAAATTTAGAACTACAATACACAACCTAAGAAACACCAATATTGAACAATTCAATTTAGTATAGATATTTCAGACTGACTGGGTTTGAGAATTGTGACTTCCCAAGTGCAAATTAAAAAAAAAATACATACGGTTGACGGCGACGGCGCAGAGGGCGGAGTTCTCCCCGTGCGGGTTGGATATGACGAGCTTGTAGGCGCCGCAGTCGGCCGGCGTCACGTGTTCGATGCTGAGCCGCACGGTGCCGTCCGGCAACGCAGTCTGCTTCACGCGGGCATCGTCCGCTGGTAGTTCTACGCCGTCCTTGTACCTGGCATATATTCGATACCATTGCTATCAAGGGGGGAAGGGATTGTTAGTAATATGGACTATCAGTCGCAATACTAGTAATATACCCTATCAGGTTGACATCCACATGGTCCCCCCTGGAAACCGTCGTGCTGAATTCAAGGTGCATTCATCACGATGGGCTAACTGACCTGACTTTTCATTCTCACTTATCTTACTTCACTGGTGCCCCGCCAGTATATATTGTTACCGCAAGCGGAGCTACCATTCCATTGTCATCTATTAACAAGAACCATTGCGATTAAATCATTACACTTTTTGATTAATGTAACAGAATCTTACTAACGATATTTTAGCAATGGTTCGTCCATTGCTAAAATATCGTCATGAAGTAATCATCATCATCATAAAATCAGTTGTTAGCTGTCCACTGCTGAACATAAGCTTCTACGATCAAGAGGAGTTACCACACTTGGCAAGCAGGTTGACAAATGCAGTTAGCCTGTAGTGATGTTTTAAGAGAAACGCAGAGGGAGACTTTGTACAAAAGTCGATTGCTTGGCTACCTCTGTCCCATTCGTGTTTCAACCGTGAAGCAGTTGTGTTTGCATGGCTGTGTTTCGGTTTGAAGTGTGGGATATGGCGTGAATTTACTGGGTACAGAGGAATAACACCTGAGTCCTCAGGAATGGCAACGCATGGGGGGTATCATGGGCGAAACAGTATACTCTGTTATGTCCATGGTACTGCTCATGTCTATAGGCGACGGTTACCACTTTCCATCAGGTGGGCCGTCAGCTTGTTTGCCATTCTAAATAGTATAAAAAAAAGCTGCTTCCTATCCCTCGACCATTATGTTTCCTTAGTTGCCTTTTACAAAACCTATGCCAAAGAAAAGTATAGTCCATACAATGCTGGGACCACAAGGCAATTAAGTAGTATGGCCATAAAAGGAAGTGAACTATGCAATAGAATGCTAACTATTAAACTTTATCGAAAAGCTACAACTACAGTGAGCAAAACAAATACAATGATAGATAGAAGCCTACTATAATAAATAACTAAATAACTTTGATTGATATAAAGTGATGGTCAATATATAAATAGTTATATACTATGACGAAACATAATATGCATCTTATAAACTTGACAAACGTAAAGACAACAATGTTTTTTTTCTTCTTGTTTCGTTTATATTGTTCTTGTTTTGTGTGCTAATGTGTGAGTCGCATGCTTCTTTGATTAAATTATTTCTTTCTTTCTTATTGGCAAATAAATTTAATTTCATTTCATTTAATAGAAGATCTCGAATGGTGAATGGTGACTGTATAGACAAACTCCTTACTACACAATAATTTATACCCAACCCAGAAGAATTACAATCATTCTGGGCAGGAATATGAAAACAATTGCTCTGCTGTAATCTTCTTTATTATTATGGGACTACAATGGCCTAATTTGGGGGAAAGGGATTGTTAGTAATGGAGACTGAGAATCCCATTGCTAGCAATATACCCAACCAGGTCGACCTCCTCGCGGTTCCCCCTGGAAACTATCATGGTTAATTCCTGATGAATTCATCATAATGGGCTAACTGGCCTGTTTTCATTCTCATCTATCACTCTTCACTGGTGCTCCGCCAGCGTATCCCGTTAGCGCAGGCGGGGTTACCATAACATTTTCACCCATCAAAAAAAAAATATTAGTAACATAATATTAGCCTATTGTTCGTACATCTTATAATAAAATTAAAAAAATAAAAGCAAAATCCCATTTGAGAGAGAAAATTTTAGAAATGTTCAAGTGGGGCATGGCACAAAAAAAGGTTGGGAAACTCTGCTCTAAGGGAAACGTAATGTAGATAAAATGACTGTTTATATATGAATGGTACGTACCACTTGGCGGTGGGTATGGGGCTGCCGTCCAGCTTGGTCTTGAGTTCGAGAGGCTCGCCCTCGTCCACGTCGTGCTGGCGCGGCAACTTGTGCGCGAACCCTGGCGCCCCTCGCCCCAGCGACACCTTCGCCTCACATGACGCCGAGCCCGCCAGGCTCACTGCCTCCACACGGTACTGTTGGAGTGCATTTGTTAAATCAGGATTCTTAGGTTTCATTCCTCGTTAAAAGAGCTGCATTTAGTAGTATATAGGTTCAGAACAAAGTCAATTTTGGCAAATAAGTAAATTAATACTGTAACTTGCCATTCTAAGTATAATCAAGTGCTGGTTTAAAAGACAGAAAAAATTTCCTTTTTCTCAAAATATCACGTAAGTAAATAATTATATGACAATTTTCATATTATAGAAATTCGCAATAAAAGAAATTTAATAGGAAATATGTGTAAAGTTTAATTGAAATGCTAAATAAATATTGTTTATTTAATAAAGTACATCATGTGTATAATTAAATAAATTGTATTAAATTGTTTAAAACGACAATGCATTTTTTCATATTTTGGTAGCAGAGCATAGTTCCGTAACGTGGACTTCTTTTTGTATCATAAAAGTAGTAAAAAACACAATCAAACTATTAGATATGTAATAAAAATCACTATGCTGGATGAAGCTATCTATCTATCTATCCTATTTAAGAGCTGCGCTCTTGTCGGTGGAGCTCTTGCCACTCACTACGATTTTCAGCGAGCCCCTTCACCTCTTGATACGACACGACACCAACTCCTTCCTTGATCTGCCTGATGTAACTATGCCTTGGTCTCCCCCTTCCTCTCCTTCCTTCTATCTTACCTTCTATTATAATGTTCATAAGTTCGTCGTGTCGTATCAAGTGTCTTAAAATTTTTCCCCTTCTGTACTCAATAGTTTTTATAATTTGTCTCTTTTCCTTAATCCTAAACAGATCAGGCTATCGGAAGATAAATTACTGACTCTAATTTTCTAGTATACCTTTCCAGCATCGCTGGCGTCGAAGCGCTTGATCTCGAGCTCGCTGTCCACCTGTCCGCCGACGGTCGTGGTGACAGTGTGACGGTCGTCGTTGACCACTTGCTGCCCGTCGCGGTACCAGGCAACTTCCGGCTTGGGGACACCGTCGCAGCGCACACGTAGCGTCACGTCCTCCTGATCCTTCACCGTTTCGTCCTGCAGCGGCTTAGTGAATATCGGCTCTCCAGCTGTTACGAGGTAAGGGAACATATTATAGTGATGAACAATTATCATATCCAATATAACAGTTCTCATCATCATTTCAGCCGTTTACTGTCCACTGCTGAACATAAGCCTCCCCCATAAGGGGGGTTTTGCCAGTAGTTGCCACGCTTGGCAGGCGGGTTGGCAACTGCAGTAAGCTTTTGGTTTATGTTTTAAGAGGGACGCTGCCTGTCCCTCGACGATTAAGTTCCCTTAGTCGCCTCAGTAGAATCCGAAACGAGGATATCCGCAAACGAACCAAAGCATAGCCCGAAAGATAACCAAGATAATACTATACTAGTATGGGTGACATAGTATACTCTGTTATGTCCATGGGTCTGACACAGAATAATCTGTCATGTCTATAGAGTTACTACTTACCATCAGGTGGACCGTCAGCTTGTTTGTCGTTCTAAGTTGCTTTAAAAAAAATATAAATACATACTATGTACAGTGAGCCTGGCCTGCTGTGTGGTCTCTCCGATCTCGTTGGTAGCGGTGACCGTATACACCCCGGCGTCGTCCACGCCGACCTTCTTCACGACCAGCCGGTAACTTTCGTTGGCCTTGTCTTCTACAATATCGTACCGAGACGATGGCTGGATCGTGTAACCGTCTTTGCTCCTAAAAAGTAAATCAAAATGCTCATGTCTTTGCTAACACATATTTATTTATTTATTTAACTCTTTATTGCACCAAAATCATAAAAATAACCAATGACATATAAACAATTCAACTGAAATACAGTAGCGTGGAGTACAGATTAAAATATACATATAAAGGTACAAAAGGCGGTCTTATCGCTATGGCAATCTCGTACAGACAACCTTTGGTTAAAGGAGAACAGATAGAAGTGGGTAGATGGCGCAAGAGTGAATTAATAATTTACTATAACATAAAGAGTAATTATTTTGGCATGACAAGACATGGCGAAATAGTTCCAAGGATGAGAAGATGAAGATAATGACGATAAGAAAGATGAAGTGACAATGGGCTGGTTACATAGCTCGAGAACTGAGAACCGATGGGGAAGCAAACTTCTTGAGTGGCCCATACGGGCAAATTCAATGTAGGACGACTCTCCACTAGATACCATATACCAGAGGGAGACTTTGTACAAAAGTCGTTTGCTTGGATACCTCTGTCCTATTCGTGTTTCAACCGTGAAGCAGTTGTATTTGTATGGCTGTGTTTCGGTTTGAAGGGTGGGATATGGCGTGAATTTACTGGGTACAGAGGAATAACACCTGAGTCCTCAGGAATGGCAACGCATGGGAGGTGTCATGGGCGAAACGGTATACTCTGTTATGTCCATGGTACTGCTCATGTCTATAGGCGACGGTTACCATTTTACATCAGGTGGGCCGTCAGCTTGTTTGTCATTCTAAGTTGTATAAAAAAAAATAATGGAGCGACGATCTCAAATGCATTGCAGAAAGTCAGTGCATGCAAGCTCAGGAGCATTCCTTATGACAGTCTGTGGGGGAGGCCTATGTTTAGCAATGGGCAGATAATGGCTGAGATGAAAGAGTAATATAAAAATTATTTTAGGAAAAAATCCCTGATTAATGAAAACCTACAGTTTTAAGAAATATATTATGTATATGAACCTACTGTACTATATTCTTTGTTAGATTTCTAAACAGTTATTCTATTCCATGTATATAATTCTATGTGTCCAAGTATTAGCAATCTGGCCATCCTTCATATGGTTAGACATAATTTTCTAACAATATATAGCTCATATTTCTCGTTTACCATCACTTTATGTTTTATCCATCACTTTTAATCCCTTCACAAAAAGATGCACTAACCATTTGACTTCAGCGATAGGGTTGGCCCGTATGTTGGTGACAAAGGTGGTCTCCTCGTAAGGTACTGCGGTGATATCCTTAAGTCCCTCGATCTCAGGTCGAAGTAAGATGTCCAGCCGCGCGGAACTCTCGCCCACTCCGTACTGATTCTTCGCTTGGATCGTGTACACGCCGGTGTCCGCGTGACGACCTGCCGACATTATTCCATAATATAATACTTATAGAAGAGGTAGGAGAGGGGATTGTTGGTAATAAAGAAAAGTAGCACGTTTGCCAGCAATATACTCTAACAGGTTGACCTAAAGGTCTATTGATTAAATTTAGGTACGTATAATCTCCGACTAATACTCCGCCAGTCACTGGTAGGCACAGTTTTAAGCCTCAATAAAGGTTGTGGTCACCGCCTCCCGAAAATCAGTCAAGTGCTAATCGTAGTATGAACTTGTTCATGACCAATATAGTGCATTCTCACACAAAGGAGACTTCTACAAAATATATGACGCCCTAATATGTGATCTTGTACAATGTACAATTCCGCATGGGCGAAGCCGTAAGGCGAAAACTAGTAAATTAAAAAACGTATTACAAGTCCATAAGGGTTGTGAGCATGCCATCGTATATAGGTTTCTAACTTTATTTCTAATATGTTACGTAATCGAGTATCCCTAAAAGAACCAAAGTAACCGATATAGTCCGAAGGATAAGCAAGCTGAAGTGGCAATGGGTTGGTCACATAGCTCGATGAACTAAAAATCAATGGGGAAGAAAGATTCTTGAGTGTCAACCCTGTACGGGCAAACGCAATGTAAAATGAGGAAGAGCTTGTACAAAAGTCGTTTGCTTGGGCACCTCTGCCCCATTCGTGTTTCTATGTAAAGCAGTTGTGTTTGCATGGCTGTGCTTCGGTTTGAAGGGTGGGATATGGCAGTGGATTTACAGGGTACAGAGGAATAACACCTGAGTCCTCAGGAATAGCAACGCATGGGAGGTGTCATGGGTGAAACAGTATCCTCTGTTATGTCCATTGCTCATGCCTATAGGCGACGGTTACCACGTTTCATCAGGTGGGCCGTCAGCTTGTTTGCCATTCTAAGTTGCATAAAAGAAAAAAGAACGACCTCTCACTAGATGAAGTGACGCCTTCAAAGGCATTTCAGGATGACAGTGGATGCAAGTGGCACAGGACCGTTCTTTATGGTAGTCTATGGGGGAGGACTATGTTCAGCAGTGGACAGATAATGGCCGAGATAATGATGCTTCATAAATTTGCTTTATTGAAACGGTAGGAATAAAAGTAAGTAACAATACCGAGAAGTAGAGTTTAAAATTATGACTATATCAAAATAGGTACAGATAGCTTTATAACTTTCTCCTCGTCAAGCCAAGTGTTTACCTGTGGGTATATGCAGAGTGAAGGTGCACTCTTTAAGACCATGCTCCAAGTCTTTAGAGTCGGCGCTAGTTAGGACGGTGGCATCAGGCGTGATCTCTTTGCCGTTGAGCAGCCAGGCGACGTGCGGCAGGGGGTCGGCCGTGCACACCGCTTTCATTGTCACCGGCTCGCGCTGCATCACGCGCTGCGCCTCCAGCGGGCTCGTGAAGATTGGCTTCCGGTACTCGCTTACAGCTGCAGTATGAGTTTTAATTATATGACACCTGCTATTTACATGTTTATAGGATAGTGCTTTGCAGATTAGAGTTTTTCTAATACCCAAGAAAAGTTGATATATTTGACAATTTAATGCACACTGATTTATTTTCAAATCCTATTTTCGTATCAATTCTAGAGAAAGATTTTGTACGAAGTCCTTTGTGAGAACATCTTAGATTCATTTATTAAATATTTTTGCTTGCAAACTTCTCCGCTTTTATATTTAAATTTCGATCAATATGATATAGCAATGGCCACAGTGTGGTACCGGCATAGAATAGGCTTCCCATTTCTTTACCGTGGGTGTCGTAAGAGGCGACTAAGGAAGGGCGAGAGGGGCACAGCGACCCTGTTAAAATATTTCCAAAAGCCTAAGCGCGGTTGTCAATCTGCCCACCAAGCATAACAAGTACGGGCAAAACTCCTAAGGGGAAGGCTTATGTTCAACAAAGGCTGACATGTTGATGATAATATGGCAATGTAATTACTAGATATCTAAGTTTTTAATAGTAACAACACAAAGGAAATGTTTCTATGTATTTCACAACATTCATAAAGCTGCATGTTATCATTCTCCATCAGTAGAGCTATCAGCGTGTTTGCCATACCAAGAAAAATAGTCTAAGAAAAACTGATACTCACGAGAAACAGACAAGTCAGCTTGTTGCATCTTAGTGCCCAAATTGTTAGTGACCTCGCATTGCCACTTGCCCGCGTCATCCAAGTTGACGCTGTCGATCACCAGCCGGTAGACATCGCCGTCGTTGGATATGTGCACGCGCTTGCACGGCGTCACTTCCTTGCCGTTGTGCAGCCAGCGGACCGTAGGCTTCGGGCTGCCGATGGCTTGCACAGTGTACACGAGGGGAAGAGATTCGTACACGTGTCCGTCTTTCATGCTGCTGTCTTTGATTGTGGGGGGTGCTGGAACGCGTAATTCAAAGATTAGTATTTCTAGTATAACGTATTTGATATAAGACAGATAAGAGCTTTGCTTGAAAAAGTAGATAACAAAATAGTAAAGAATATTGTAATCTACAATATAGATAAAAAATATGGTTTCAATTACAAAGCTAATAGTATCATATATTATAAAATTGAGAGAAATAATATTTTCTAGAAAGAAAAATCAAATGTATTTATTGACACACATAATTTAGATATACCTTTCTTAAAGCAAAACTGAAGCACCTAAAATAAAACGTTTTCATTATTTACAATAGAAATAAACATAGAGAAGACTCGCAGTATGTACAGCAGTTATTCAGAATTAACTGAAATTGGATTTGCATACTCACCAATATGCGTATAAAACAGTAATACATGTTGTAAAATAGTTTATCCGTAATTGTATATATACGTACCATTTTGCCGAGGCTTTCGGACTATAGACAAGATGCAAGTAAAGTAAGCATGCAAATATTCATGCATTTGGGATAAATAAAAAAAAATTGATTTACCTGGATGATGTGATAATCTGTCTGCCGTACTTAGCATCTCTGCCGCAACGTCCAAGTATTAGTATGCCAGAAGGGAATGTTATTACGCATGCGCGCTAAAACAAACATACGACAGAGCATTAGTAAAGTACAATGACGTAACAAATAAAAGATGCGTGGTTATGACCTGCTATTTAATGGGCATTTCAATGTTTTACTCTTTTAAACAATTAATGGAAGGACTATAATAAGAAATGACAGATCATACTCAAACATCATCAACAGCAATTTGAGACTTGTGTCGTTAAGCAATTTATGTTATTACCCCCCGTCATGTACAGCGCGTAGCGTTATTATAAAAATGTCAACCTGTTTCGTTTAAATCGTTACGAATCCTCTTTGTATTATTTATCTTAGTTACTTGAAATTTACCTTTTTCATCTTCCTCATTCAGAATTTCATCAAGAATGCTTCTTTGCCTTTGACTTCGTCTTAACAGCTCCTCTACATCGTCATCTGCTTCCTCCTCCACGCAAATCAGTTTATGCTTTTTCTTCCTCTCGGTGGTCGTTTCTGTTACGTTTTTCGTTATGTTATCGGGTATTTTCGTAGGTCCAAGTAGAAGTTCCTCTATAATACGATTTTTAATATCATGTGTTTTATTTTCGACGTTTCTGATTTCGTTTTCATCAAATTCCTTTGAAATGTGTATCAGTTTTTCTGTTATGTCATTTTCGTATATTTTTTGTGTTTTTTCTTTTAATACAAATGATTCTTCTTCGCCCTCGTCTGTGAAGTAATCCTCTTTAAATGACGATTGTCGGACATAAGAGTCTTTGCTAAAAACTTTTCTACTTTCATCTATATCGAAGATAGATTTTGAAAGATCTTCTATGGATATTTCTCGTGATAGTGTTTCGTTTTGCCAACTTGTCTCGTCTTCAGACACTGACATTATTGAAACCGATCTATTGGTATGATTTTTTCCATGTCTTGAGCTGTTTTCGGCTTCAGAGTCTGTCTGCGGTTCTTCGATTATTCCATAAGTACCTCGTCGAATATGATCAGGTATACTACATAGACCCAATTCGGACAAGAAATAGCTGTGACTGGCTATTTCTTCAACTTCTAACGAAGTTGTGTGTGGTTTAGTGGGCTGAATAAGTTTTCTACCATTATAATCGTCATCATAATAAACAGCGGTTGATTTCATTTTGTGTAAAGTGCGCGTTTCGGCTGGACCTACCAGTTAAAATAGTAATTGTGAATTTTTCTATAACAACCATTTAATATGTGAAATTAAACATGCGATGAAATTCAACGCATTAGGTAAATACTTGAATTTATAGATACATTTTATAAGCAATATTACGGTGCTGAATTATTTGACTCATGAGGATTAGTAAGAATTGGAAAGAGAAGGTAGAAAGCTAAATACTGACCTGTAATTATAGCGTCATGTGACCGAGTGCTGCTTACTTTAGACATTATTATAGACCCGTCTTCGCCCGTCTTGAACGTAGTTACTGTTTCGAAAACTCGGCCTAAACATAACAAATCAAACCTGCATTGTTAAACCACAAGTTAAAAGCATGCAACACTGTGTGCGAATGTGTGAGATTCCCACTAAGTATAAGCTGTTGGCGAAATTGAAGAGAGAGAAGCTCAAAGCACGTATTTTTATACCTTCAATTTCAGCACTCAATGGTTCTTCTTGGACAGAATGTTTTTTGACAGATTTACGTTTTGGCGACTTCAAATTTTCTTCAATAGAAATCTCTTCAATTATCTCCGGTTCTGTGATCCCCTTTTCACCTGTTTGTTTTTCAGCCTCTACTTCTTCTATCAGGATTTTTCTACTCTGTTCATCGTGATTTTCATCCCAAATTGACTTCTCTTCAGCAATTTCTGGTTCAGTAACCGACTTTCTGCCCTTTCTACTTGCCGGAGTATCAACTTCTTCAACAATAGGTTTCTTCTGTTTTCCTTCATCATCTACATCATCCCATATAGATTTTTCTTCAGCTATCAATGGTTCAGTTTTTCCTTTCTTTGCAGTATGTTTTTTTCCAGCATCCACCTCCTCTTCTAATGGCTGTTGTTTCGCTTTACTATCGTCTTCGAGTTCATTTTCGATTACAGTTTCTTTTGACAATCTCGAATGTATTTCTTTGGCTATTAAATGGAGTGAAAAAAAGGTTATGTAAAATGTGGTTTATTAAAAGTGGACAAAATAATGTATTATTAAAGGACGGCACAAGTGGAAGTGAAAAAAATGCAGGACACAGTGTATTAATAATAACTTATGTGCATATTACAGCATTCTAGTCCAATGAACGCTTTAATGGGTTTATCAAAATGATTCTACCAATTCCTTATGGTATCTACGGACATAACATCCAAATAATACGTGCGAAAAATGCAGTAGTAATCTAAAATTCAATAAACTCTATGTTAAATCAAACTACTACTTTACCACCTTCTAGTGAAGTGCCAATGTCAGTGTCGAGTTATATTTTTATTTATCGACAGCTGTGTGTGTATACTTTACCGTGGTAGACAATATGTGATGCCTGTACTGCTGGTCTTATTTGACTGCAGTCTGGAACTTTATTACTTTTACGGCTATCCGTCAAAATTGATCAATATAAGAATAGATGAAAATTGGTCTCAATTTATCAGAATCCTTGCAGTGTGAGATTGGGCCTACATGTCATTTTCTTTATCTTTTATTTAATATACTTAGTTTTTTTTTGTGTGTGGTGGTACAAATACTCACTGTGTACGGTGACAGTGCTCTTAGATGAAACGCTGCCCATCTCGTTAGAAGCTCGCACTTCGTACTCTCCACCATCTTCTTCTTTCACCAGCGTCACTGTTAGGTGATAGTTCTCCAATCTGCAAAAATATATCAATTTTCTCATGCTCAATTTGTTTGATGACGTGTTTGGAAATTTTTAGAACTTTACGATTTATCATTAAATTGAGTAAAGATGTTGCTTATATTTCAATTTATATTTACAATGTGTAATCTATATTTAATGTGATTAAAATTAATTATTGGAATTAAATAATTTTTGGAGGAGTTAAACTCCTCAATATGAATGTGACACCAACTGAAAATTATCTGAAATATAAATCCTACAAGTTATCTGGATATCAACTATCAAATTGATATTTGGGCATAAGCAGTGTATATATATAATTTCTAGATAATTTGCTTCACAAATAATATTACAAACCTTTGTGTATCTCGTTCTATCTTGATTCTAGCATCAGTAGTGAGTTCTTTACCGTCTTTATACCACTTGACTTTCGGTTCAGGACAACCTTCCACCTCGACATCCAGTTTCAGCGTCTGGCCAGCATCCACGGTCATATCTACCAGACTCTTGGTGATGCGAGGTTTCCCTGAAAATAATATTTTACATGAGGTATTGCCAACAATTTGATGTGATTTTTTTTAATTTTGTATAATTAGTTTTTTTCATGTAATAATGATGCAGGTTCGAATCCTATCTGAAGAGTGCTCTCGGAGGGTAAATTTTTTATCTATGATTTAGAGAATACTGTAAAAATTTATGCAGAACGGTTACCCATTTCATAATATTCCAGTTGTGGCGTGAAGACAGCACAATATTTCGGATCTACAGAATTATGATTTTCAAGACTATATACATAAAAAAATTGTCTGCATGAATATTTTTATTCGTGGTTCTGCTGTGACCATGTTCTGGTTTGAAGATTGGAATATAGCAGTAAAATTACAGAGTACGAAGGCATAATGATTAAATACAAGTTTTTAGAAATGTCAACACTTGTAACATCACAGTATGTTTTGCTACGTGCATGATTCTGTTAATGTTCATAAGTATTCATTACTGGTTTCTATCTGGTGGGCCGTCAGCTTGTTTGCTGTTTTCGAAGTTGTATAAGAAAGAATTCTTACTGTTGACAGTGAAAGTGGCTTCGCAGGAGTCAGCGCCAAGTTCATTGGACACCTTGCACGTGTATTTCCCGGAGTACTCCGCGGACACCTCTTTGAGGATCAACTTGTGGGTGCTGCCGCTGTCCACGCGGGTGAACACCGACTTCTTCTCTGTTATCTCCACGTCACCCAGGTACCTATGCAGAAAAAGTGACGTTGTAATAATGATTGTAGAATTTACGGTGTCCCACTGCTGGACACTCATAAGACTAGGATATATACCTTACTATTACCACGCCAGCTAGGCGAACGAATATTAAAGCTTCGAAAATGTAAAAGAGTGTTTACATTCTGTTGGGTTCTCTAGCTCATTCATTTGTTTCATTCTCTTTCGTGCAATCCAAGTACAAATACGTGTTTTATGATATTAAATACAGTACATTGTTTGTCTTTAAATAAGGAGTTATAGGTACTTAAATTATTAGCGGAAAAATATGCGTGTCTATTGGTAGAAATCTATAAGTGGCTTCATTGTAATGCCTTGCAAATATTTTTTTTATATAAATAAAGCTTGTTTTTTTTTTAATAAATAAATATATAAATATTGACACTTATTTTATTTATTTATTTATTTATACTTTTGCACACATTAGAACATGTCTACAGAGCGGACTTAACGCCTGACGGTATTCTCTACTAGTCAAACGTTACGCTAAACAGAGAGAGAAAAAGGCGGGTAGTTTTAAAAAAAAATTATGTAGGCACAATGGTCCAATCATGAGGCTAAGTGCCGATATCTCTGAACAAACTACTGGATATGTACTGACCACTTGACAGCAGGCTCGGGGTAGGCTTCGACGGCCACAGTGAACTCGACGTTGACATCGCCTTCGCTGGCAGTGAGGTCACGCAGCCGCTGCGTGAACTGCGGTGCGCCCCGTACCTGCAGACGGCACGTGTCCTCTGCTGTACCGTGCGGGTTGCGGATCTAAATACATCGAATGGAACAATTAGTATAAAAAACATAGGTCAGGTGCGAGCAGTACTTATATACCGGGGGTTTCATATTAAATATACATAAATTGGTATATTACATAAAACTGCTTTTACTGCATTTCTAAGAGGTAATAGACGGCGAGAAGAGGGGAAGGGATTGTTAGTAATGCAGACTACCAGTTATATTGCTAGCAATATACCCTTTTAGGTCGACTTCCACGTGGTAACCTCTGGAAACCATCGTGCTGAATTCCTGGTGTATTCATCACGATGGGCCAACTGACCTGCTTTCTTCCTTGCCTATCATTCCTTACTGGTGCCCCGTCAGTATAAACTGTTAGCGCAGGCGGGGTTACCATTCTATTATCACCATCAAAATATACAAAAGATATCAAATCAAATCAAATCAAATCAAATCATTTATTGCACGAATATGGGTACATACATTAGTTGAAAAAAATAATTACATGTCCATTATTCCATATTCTACCATATCGGCGTGTACAATATAAAGTTATAGTAATAATAACTTATAATAATAAAAATAATGTCAATAATAATAATAAAATGTAAAAAATGACAATAAAAATAATTAAATTGCATGTCTAATATTTATCACTGTAATAGTCATGCAACGTATAGTAACATTTGGCTGTCAAATATTCTTTTGCTTTTTTCTTAAATACATTTAAACTGTTTATTTCCTTAAATGCTTTCGGGAATTTATTATATATTTTAGAGACCATACCGAAAAAACTTTTATCAAATAATGCTGTGACGTGAGGCTGAACGCGAATTTTATCGGTATTACGGTCACTTTTTAACTTTTCAAATAAAAGTTTATTCTTTTTTACAAACAACATTGTTTCAAGAATATAAAGGCTTGGAAAAGTCAGGATATTCAGTCTTTTGAATGAAGTCGTACATGTATCAGTTCTTTTCAAATTGCACATAGATCTAATACACCTTTTCTGAGTCTTGAAGACTATATCTCTATATGTCGAATTGCCCCAAAATATGACACCATACCTTAGTAAGGATTCAACATATGCATGATATGCAGTCAATACCGCTGTCTGATTAACAATCTTAGACAACATGCGTAATGCGTATGAAAATTGGTTTATTTTGCTATTAATATTTTCTATATGATGTTTCCATGTCAGGTTATTATCAATCGTTAATCCCAAAAATTTCGTAATTTTCACTTCATTTATTTTTTTTCCATTAAAATCGATATTAAAAGATGTCAAATTATTTTGTCGATTACTAAAATTCATAAAATGTGTTTTATCTAAGTTTATCTTTAAATTATTTTCCTTTAGCCAGTCTATTAATATTTTTATTGTATTGTTAATATTTATTTCAAGTTCATTCGATAATTAATAATTAAAGATTGTGTTCTAAAAAACCGACTTCAATTGTGGCAAATTCCGTTATTTTGGTTTAAAAATAAACCACTCAACCAATTTTGATAAAATTTCTATAGAACCAATCTGTAAGTATACTCGTATCCTCTCAGATAGAGAGAAAAAAAAATACAAAAAAAATCCTTCTTTCTGAAGTCAATTGAAAAATGTGATATGGTACGTGATGTTGACTTACCTCGCAGGAGTACTCGCCGGCGTCAGCGCGCGCGGCCGACGTGATGACGAGCGAATGGGCCGCGCCTGATGACGAGATCTTCACCGCGGACGATTCCACCAGTTCCGTCTTGTTCTTATACCTGAATAAATATCCATATATATTAAAAAACACGTTCTTCAAGAACGTCACGAAGAAATCTTTTCTGAACACCATGTAATCGAGTTTTATATAAGGTCATTTATATACCCTCACTAAGTTGGCAATGGAATGGAGTGGATATGATAGAAAAACATATTTTTTTTTACTAGGATTACTTCCTAGTAAAAAAAATATGTTTTTCTAATATGTTTTTGTATTTAGAATAGAGTAGAAAAAAATATTGCCCGTAAACACATAATCATAACATAAAATCGCCCATTGTTTTCTCATTGTGATTATTTCTTGTAATTGTTTATATCTAGAATAAGTTACCTGTTGTAATCTTTTGAAGGAAACAATAAAGAGTATCTATATATCTATTTTTTTAAAGATTACGTTTGGCGGGTACAAGTACAGTAAGGCGGTCTTATTGCTGAAAGCAATCTTTTCAAGACACTTAGTCCATTGCTCTTCTTGCTTTCAAGACAACAAAGTAACGGACTAAGTGTTGTACAAGTAGGTATAATACAGTCTGAAAAATAGTTTCCGGGATGAGCGTGTATGAGATAGGGTATTAATGTTGTTCCAGTTTGGAATGGACGTTGATTCTAGATTTGTAATGAACTTTTGATCTAACTCCAAGATATTTATTGCTTAATTTTACATAAAATAAGATTTTATAATGAAAGTTTCAATGCATCGAATATATAGACAATTTTTTTATTTTTTAAAAACATAGATAATAGATTAGTGATGACAACGTTGCCAGGAATCGATCGAGATTGACTAGTGATGCGCCTGAACAAATGTGATGCAGCTGTACTTTGTTTCTCTTTGACTACTAAAGGATCTGATGGCTGATTGAAAATAATAGACAATAGTTACCATTTAACAGTGGGTGCAGGCTCTGCTTCGGTCTCGATCTTAAAGGTGACGGTCTCCTTCTCTTCGCAGACTTTGGTCTCGCCGAGCTTCTTGGTGATGCGCGGCGGTGACGTCACGTGCCACTGCCAGAAGTCCGAGCACTGGTTCACCTCGTTCCTGCACACGCATCGCAGTGCACAATCATTATGTGTTAATTTAAATAAAAAATCTACATCTGATATCATAAAGCTATAAAGATTTGGAAGATTTTAAGAAGCGAGATTTTGAACTATATAGAAGAATTAAAGAGAGGCCTTTGCTTAGCAATAGACTGTCATTCGTAAAGAGAAAAACATTTCCCGATTTGAAGGACCTGAAGAAGGTTTACTAGGGGGAGACTTTGTACGAAAGTCGTTTGTTTGGATACCTCTGTCCCATTCGTGTTTCAACCGGGAAGTAGTTGAATTTGCATGGCTGTGTTTGGATTTAAAAGGTGACATATTGCAGTGAATTTACGGGGTACAGAGGAATAATACCTTAATCCTCAGGAATGGCAACGCATGGGAGGTATCATGGGCGAAACAGTATACTTTTGTTATATTCATGTCTATCGGCCACGGTCACCACTTTCCATCAGGTGGGCCGTAAACTTGTTTGCCATTCTATGTTGCATAAAAAAAAGGTATATGCGAACTTTTATGATCTCATTACTAAAAAGCAGATCAAATAAATATGAAGAATTGAAATGTTAAGTTTTTTTCTGCACTATATATAGGCTGATACCTATAGCGTCTCTCTACATCTGTAAGCGACGATTACCATTTTCCACGAGGCGGATGGACACATAGAGCATTGTAAGACCGTACTCACTTGGCTACAATAGAATAGGAGCCGGTGTCGGTGAGCTTGGCGTCCTTGATAATAATCTTGTAGACCTCGTTGGACTCCTTGACGATCTGTACTCGCTCCGAGCTCTTGATCTCCACCCCGTCCTTGTAGAACGTCACGTCGGGCGCGGGTGTACCGTCGATCTCTATGGTCACTGTGTGGGTGGAACCCGCCTGATGGTGAACATAATTGGTATGGTCACTACCTTTGGTACACTATTTTATACATTGCAATAGTACTCAATTCTTTTCAATTGACTTCAAAAAGAAGAAGATTCTCAATTGGGCATTTTTTATGTTTGTTTAACTCCGCCTATTGGGGGGGAAAGGGATTGTTAGTAATGGGATTAAATAATCCCATTAGTAGCAATATACCCTGTCAGGTCGACCTCCACGTGGTTCCCCCTGGAAACCATCGTGGTTGATTCTAGTCGAATTCGTCAGGATGGGCTAACTGATCTACTTTCATCTTCATCAGTCATCTATCACTGGTGCCCCGCCAGCGTATACCGTTAGCGCAGGCGGGGTTACTATTTCATTATCACCAATTTAAAAAAAAATCCGCCTGTTGTAAACCGATTTGGAAAATTCTTTTTTATTTAAAAGGATATACTTACAGATGGGTGTCATAGAGATTAAAAAAAAAACGGTTCAGTAGTTTTGAAATCAAAATAACTAGTTTTGCCACAATAATTATTATATTATTTGATTAGATAATATTATATATATATATATATATTTATTTATTTATTTAACTCTTTATTGCACCATAAATAAAAATATACAATGGCAAGTGAATAATTCAAGTGATATACAGTAACATATGGTAAATATAAATTGAAATATACACATAAAGGTACAAAAGGCAGTCTTATCGCTAGGGCAATCTCTTACAGGTTTGGTTACCTATATTACTTATTGATAATTTACTCACTTTCTAAGATAATTTTCTATAGGTATAATAATTTTTAAAATTGGTGAAGTATTTTTTATTGTCCATTTTAAACAAAATTGACGATGACACACGTATCAAAATCCGTTTTATAGTTTAGAATTTTAAAAGTAATAAATAAGTAAACGCACGAACTAACGAATCTGCCAACAACTTTATTTTATACCTAGTAGCCCGTCCCGGCGTCGCACGGGTGGACATTTTTATATTTTAAAATGTGGCCGTTAAGGCTGCACACGCGACGAAAGCTTGAAAATGGAGTAACTTCTCCCGTTTTCCCAACATTTACCTTCACTACTCTGCTCCTTTTGATCGTAGCGTGATGGAAAGTATACTATACCTTACACCTTTGGTTAAAGGAGATGAGCAAACGTTGAAATGATCCGTTAATTTCGAAAAACGTCAAGACACGTGCTTCTAAGATATTTTAGACTTTTCGGCGTGTTGTTAGTGAGTGGTCTCAGATCTAGCCCGTTAGAGTGAACTTTCAGTCAATCTTTGTGTTTGATCAGATATCGGCAAGTTCGTCTCGTACGTATTGAGAGCAAATTTGAAAATTCCAAATACTTTGTTAGCGTTTTAAAAATTATCAGAAAGGTGTTCTGAGATGGTTTGAGGATTTCATTGTTAGAGCAACAGAAGGGCACAAATATTGGAGTTGAACGATAATAAATTTTCAAAAATAATTTAACTATTTTCATGATTTCTAATTAATTTAATTATATTTAAATATATTCTGAGAGCGAACTAAGTATTTTGTAAATCTACCACTAAAACTTGCTTCCTTTTTGTTAGTTTTGATTAATATTTTGGTTTAGTGTTTGAATTTTTTTTATATAATCTAGAATCGAATAAAAATTAACATAATTTTAAAAAATAATAATATTATACCTTATAAAAAATCTCATATAAATGGGAGATAAGCTATGGCAAATTGCTAGCATTAATATATTAAAAACACGCGACATTCACCATGCACGACTGGTTTTCGATCTTCTTCCTGATCTTGGGCGCGGCCTTGACGACAAGCTCCATGGTGGTGGTGTCCTCGCCGAGCTCGTTGGTGGCAGTCACGTGGTAGGTGCCGGCGTCAGCAGCCGACACATTCTTGATCACCAGCGACATACTTTCGTCATCCTCGTAGAGGAATCTAAGAGGTAGCAGATGTAACATAAAATATCATTTTACCATGTAGGTACTCGACTGTATCGAAGCAGAATAATATTTATGGGAATTAGAACCTTATAGTGGTGGATATAGTTAATATTTTAACGTTAGGAACTTAATAAACTAAAAGACCTTTAATTACCGATCTCATTAAAAATCGCAACAACCTTCCGAAGAACGAGGGTTTTATTAAAAATAAATACACAGTTAATTTATGAAATATTAACAATGTAAAAATATCGTTCTTTTGGACTTTATGGTAGAATTTATGATGACTGAAAAGTTAAGCTCCATTTACTGGACCGATTGCGGTACGAATAAAAACCCGAAATTGAGCCCAAAAGTTCGGAATTTCATTTCATGGTAGATCCCCAGATTTTTGTTGTAGATAATAATTCTTCATAGATCCCAAAAATGTCCTTGATCGAATTGTACGTGAACAAAATTCTCATTTCCTTAAACAAGAGGTAAATCATAAGAGATGATGAATAACTCACTTGTGCCTGGTGTCGGCCTCGATGACCTTCCCGTCGTGCTTGAAGAGCACGCTAGGCTTGGGGAAGCCCTTGCACTGCAGCTCGAGCATAGCGGAGCCGCCGGCCGACACGATCGCCTCGCGGTGTTCGATAACCAGCGTCGGTTTCTCCGGCTCCCGGTGGAGCTCATTCACAGCGCCTGGTGACGTTGATTGATGATAAAGGTAACGAGAGAGATAGAGAAAGAACGAAACGATAAAAATAATATCCATTTACTGTTATAAATACAGAAGTTTATGAGAATATATGTATAGATGGGTGTTTATTACTCTTTCACACAAATATTATTGAAAGGATTTGAATGAAATTTGGTACACGAATAGATTATATCCTGGCTTAGAACATAGGATACTTCATATACTGATTCACGCAGGAGAAGCCGCGGGTTACAACTAGTTGTACAGTATTTGCAGACTTGGTGTTCGTGCAAGAAGGCAGCTTTATTTATTTTTACCGAAACAATTTTTATAGATTTTGATAAAGTTTTGCTTGCATTGGCTTGTACTTCGGTTTGAAAGGTGGGTATGATAGTGAAGTTACAGGGTACGGAGATGTAACACTAACTCAGAAATTACATAAGAATAGAATAGAATTGAAAATAATTATTACAAAAAAAAAAAACACAATTACAACTGAAAGTACATATATAAGAAGTGTTTCATATTAGGCAAAAGGAACTGGCTCAGCTATCGCTGTGAGTGTCCCAGTGCAATGTGCATAGCTGTACAGCGCTGGTTTCCAACCAGTCCCATAAAGTACCAGTAGCATAAAGGGTTCTATGGACCCTAGAGTTTATTCTTTGATGTTTAGGGTACTATTTATGTTAATAGGTAACAGTTATTACATTCCTCAGATGTAATCGTCAATTTGTTACTCATTCCTGTAGTGGCATTATCAAAAAGAGAATATTCTAACCTTGCACAGTGAGTTCAGCAGAGCACGAGATATTGCCGGTGGAGGTCTTAGCAACACAAGTGTATAGACCAGCGTCCTCTGGCTTCACGTGTTGGAAAACCAGCGCCAACGAATCTTCATCGTCGCCAAGCAGTACCTAGACGACAAGATCGTTCATAATATTTTTTATTTATATGTTTTTTTTTTTACTACAGCTTGACATGTAACCACGTTTTCTTGACCGAACTCTGAGATAGTATGGTCCATGAGAACAACTGTTTTTTTTCAAAACACAACTTTTGTGCCCATTAATGGAAACCACTTTTGATACGGTGTCTGTAGATATCAGTGCGAGACAAGACGCTATGATGGAAAGCACCAAACGCCCCCTGAGAAGACTTCCAAATGAAGTTGAAACAATTGTTGAAAACGGCAAAACACAGTAAGTTCGTTAAGTTAATATGTATATAGACATATTTGATACAGGTAACGTGATGCTTATCCTTAGTAACTCTTGTTGATTTGTTGTATTGAGAGCACTAGATAGATAGGAAGACATAGGAAGATGAAAGTATGAAAGTGAGTATGCACATAGAAGGATTTGCAATGACACGTATATGCAGTGATGTTTTTTTTTTTTTATTTATATAATGCAATCAACTGAAAGATAATGTTCTACACTCAACGGCTGGCGTTACTATGCCAATTCTCTATGTGCTTTCTCATGCTACGTTTGAAGGATCCGAGGTTATAGAAGAAAGAGGACACATAATAAAGTTAATCCTATATTTATTGTTCACATGGACAAAAAGAGACTGAAAGAAGATAATTTTGAAAGCAATATACAGAAGTGTTTCAAAGAGTTACGAACTTACCTTGAATCTCTCTTCAGGGTCGAAGGGTTGCCCATCTCTCTTCCAGGTGAAGGAAGGTTTCTCACCCTTAGCCAGTAAGCCTTCACCGCCAGGGGGCAGCTCGAAGAAGATGTTCTTGTCATCTGAGTAAAAAAAAGGATTTTTTTAAGTATATTTTCTAAGTACTCGTAGATGCAAAGTAAAAGACCGGGTGCTAAGTTAAGACATAACATCCTCGTGTATCAAATTCCATTTAAAAATTAAATTTCATTCCTTTAACCGTTTAAGTATGATTAAGTAAAAGTCAAACAGATTTCTTATTTTCCAAATTTCACATTTATCATATTAGTAGGATAAAAAAATGACCATTTTCTAAAACTCTTTTTTTTATAAAATTTTCTTTTATTACGTCTTAATATTGAATTACGCCGTACAGTTCCGATACAGAATGGGCTACAGCTTCCTTTCCCGTGGGTATTGTAAAAAGCCACTAAGGGAACTTAATAGTCGAGGGATGGGAATAAGTATCCCTCTTAAAACATCACCAAAGACTAACTGCAACCACAAATATGTCTGCCAAGCATGGTAACTACCAGCAAATCTCTCCAATAGAGGAAGGGTTAAGTTCATGGTCATCATCATATCAGCTTTAAACTGTCCACTGCTGTTTTAAGAGGCTGTGCTGCCCATCCCTCACTCTCTTTTAGACGCCTCTTTTCTATGCCGGGACCACATGGTGATGGTATAATGATATGAATATTTAATTACGCCTTGCAATTTTCATTTTCAACAACAGAGATTATTAGGTCCTGTATATCTATTAGCGAAATCATCAACGAAATTGTCATCGGTAGCGAGTTCATGAGATAGAATGAGATAGCGACATCTGATGTTTCATTCCATCTATTAGACTCGCCAACGATAACGATTCCATCGACAGATTCCTTTAATATTTGTCCAAATTTTGCTGATAGTACTTAAATAACTGCACAAGGCGTTTCAAAAATAGAAACACTACAATTATCATCCGATAAAATCGGACTTCGTAATCAGCTGGCTCCCTCTATATTCAGAATCTAAACTATTTATAAATTGCAACCGCCACATAAAATATACTGGAGGGCGTCCAAACATCGTAAAAATGCGGTTCACACAGTCCATATTTATAGAACATTACGTATGTTTATCATTCTTGAATTCTTAATATTCTTAACTATTAAGAGGGCATTCCTGGCTAGTAGGTAAAACTAGTGAAGGGTGGAATGAAGTAAATTTGCGTAATTGCCCGGCAAGGCAAATATGAGTTCGAGGATGGATGACGTCTGTGAGCACTTCACCTATTCCGTGTGTATTTACGTCACACAAGTTTTTTCGTCGTTAGCAGCGTAGTATACATATTATTTATATGTCATTATCAAGGACGGCAAATATTTTTTGCCCGGAGAGGCAAAACAGCTGGATCAATTTAATAACGTAGAAATTTGTTTATGATAACACCTACCTCTTAAGGGACTTGGCGTGAAGATAAATAATAACTAATTAATTATTATATGAACCTATTCTTTCACGCGGAGAGACTTATACCTAGCAGTGGGACGCTAATGGTTTGTAACAATGATCAATAAGAACCTTTGCCAAAATAAGCTACCTAATTTCGTAGCTTTGTTCTCAACAGCGGACCTATTTATTAATGTTTTTTAAATCGGTTTTGGCAGGTGGAATGGCAACTGTGGGCACGTTGATAAGTAAACACAAGAATGTGACAAACAGAGGATTTTTTTAGAAATTACTCAAACCAGCAAGAGTGGGTAATATATAACAATATCTGTATATATAGTTACAGTATCTATATATTGGCTCAATAATGAATATATTAAATATCGGTTATTTAATATGTAATACCGCAAAAAACATCTGATCGAAATAAATACCCGATTTTTATTGTCGACATCGAAAAGGGTTATTACCATTTATCTAAAATATATAGAATACTGATAAAAAAAAAACGAGTCAACCTATTTGACAATTGGTTGAAAAAAGTTGAGCCATTTTTGAGGCTCAATACTCTATATATTGTATATAGTCTAAGGTATGTACCTACATATTTTGCCTTGGCTTCAAGTAAATTTCAAAATGAAAGTACAGTTTACATCACAAGGTATGCCTTGTGATGTAAACTGTACTTTTATTTTCACATTAAGTCTCTTATTTGGGCCGTTGTATGTGAATATTCCTTATTCTTATCCGTCTATACCTTATCACAAGAGTAATTTAGTGATATATGTACATTATTGTAATCTATAAAAATAGATTTAAATATAATATTTGTTTTAGTATAATAGATAGAAGATAAACGGTGGAAGTTTGTACTACAGGCAGATTTTATACAAAAGTGCTTGGCGATCTTTGTTCCACTCCAGTTTCTATCGTAAATTAGCTGTGCTTACATAGCAATGTTTCTGTTTGAAGGGTATGGTAGCGATATTACAGGATATAAACGCAGAAAACCTTAGCTCTCATTAATAGCTATGAAAAGTACCATGAAGACCGTCCTACGATGTTTTTGACATTGTACATATCTATAGATGACGGTTAATTTCCAATAGGTAGGTAAACAGCGTGTTTGTTATTAAAAATAAACTGACCAACAACGGTAACAAATGCTTCGGACACGACTTCGCCGTATATGTTGATCGCGCGGCACGAATATCGGCCGGCGTCGCTCGGGACAACGTCCGCGATCACCAGCTCGTAGCAGCCGCGGTCCGCGAGGGTTCGCACGATCGTTACGCGCTCGCCCTCCGACGACACGATCTCCTTGTCGTTACGATAGCTGGAAACCAAGTTGTCAGTTTAATTTGATATTCTTCTTAACACTATCCTAAAAATCTTGCAAATTATTAACCTAGTTATGTCACTATAGGACAAATCGCCAATGTTCAGATACATTTTTTATTTACAGTTTCAAAGAGCTTTTACTTTATTATTTACTCATAATCTATGGATATATTCGTAATAGATTTTAAATGGAAAAAGAATAATATCTCTATTATATTATTTTTTTTCTAACTTCTTTTTTTGCAGCTTTTTTAAGTAAAATATTAAAACATCAAATAAATTTCACAAAAAACAAATCATTAAATAATACAATTTAACATAAATTAATTGGTAGCAGTACTCACAATTTCACTTCTGGATTGGGATCTCCCTTGACCTTCACCATGAAGCGAAGGTAGGTATTTTGCAATATTTCTGTATCTTTCAGTGCAACCAAAAAGTAAGGAGCGTTTAAAGCATTTTTCGCTTTCCTCTCTTCCGGAGTGACTACAATGTATTAAAATGATATTATAAAATGTGAAAAATTGGAAATATAAAGGAGTTATAATAAAATTAATAATATAACATTAGCTACCACTATAATTAAAGTCTACATTGTCATGCACAAATAATTATACGTGTATACGACGGAAAATGCCTCCAAATAAATATAAATTGAATGCCAAATACAGGAAAATTACGTGTAATTGTAAAGTACAGACTACGTGTTATATGCTTTACGATGTTTTAATTGATGATATTGCAAAGAGTCATGCATAACATTGTGATTGAAGAACGTGTACAAAAGAAGAATAGGTATACCTATAGTATATCGTTGTGTAGAAGTGTGTAAGTGAATTGAGCATGCTAATGTTTTAATTGTAAGAAATTATTAATATAAAATAATAGTCCTTATTGTTCGTGTTGGACATAAAGAAATACTAGTTAAGATTGATCTTATTAACAATTTCTTGCAAATACCACTAGCCCGCTCATGTCCATTAAAATAGAAAAGGAACACGACTTACGCTCGTAGACGACTAACTGGGCGGTACAATGGGATGTTCCTTTCACATTTTCAGCGATGGCGGTATAAATACCAGAATCATCTTCACGGCAATGCTGTACTTCTAGTTTGTGGTTACCGTCGTTTTTAGACGATATATTCACTCGATCCATAAGACGGTCAGTTAAGGGCTTGTTATCTTTTAGCCATGTCACTTTGACCGACTCTGAAGACTCGCGGAGAGAGCATTCAAATGTGGCTTTCTCACCCGCTGAGGAATCAAAAATTTGTTAGTAGGAAAGTTCGTACTTTTGTCTTTGAATGCGTATATGAAGTATCAAAAACGTAACACAGTTAATGTTTATTACGATAAAGTACGAACTCTCAATAAAAATTACGAAATAGAATACGAAGTATGAAGTATACGTAAGCATTGTTAGAGTGATATATAGTGTAGGTTAGTTATCTAAAAGCATATATACAGGCACTAAAGGGTGTATCTACGTCTAATTTGAAGTGTTCAAATACATTTTCCTTTGTTATACTTACGCTCAATATTTTGGCCTTCCAGAGTTTTTGAGAATACTGGTTTTCCATCTTGTGATTCGGAATTCAATACAGATTTAACTGACTCATATTCTCCAGTACTGATTGATCCGTTGGCAATAGCACTTTTGAAATATTTGTTTTCATAAGCAGATTCGCTGTCAGTTCTCGAGTACTTCGACTCGGTTTTAGACAAGAGTCCTTCAATTTTTTCACTATCGATACTTGCATCGAGACTATATTTAGATGATCGACCTTCAACTTTAGTACTATCATACTTAGATTCAACGCCATATTTCGATGCAATACTATCAATTTTACTAGCGCTGTCATAGCTAGATTCTATACCATATTTCGAGGCGATGCTATCGATCTTACTGGCTGTATCATACTTAGACTCAGTACTCGATTCAATTCCGTAGCCAGACCCTTCTAACCTCGAGCTTGAATATTTAGACTCGTAACGAGAAGTGGCGCTTCCCTCGAGAGATCCCCCGGTTTCGTACTTTCCACTTTCTATGCGTGATCCGCTCTCTCGACGTGAGTAAGATGAAACACCAGTACTATCATATGAAGATGATTCATAGCGGCCGCTTCGACTACTACTGGTGTACTCTAAAATTAAAAAAAATATAAGCACAATACATTAATAATATTTACTTCATAAACACAAGAAAATTTCGTCACTAATATATAATATTTTATATTCTTGTAAACTGTGTAAAGTTTTGTACATAAACAAACCTCCGGAGAGTCGAGAACTACGACTATATCTTGACATCTCGTCTTCAACAGTTTCCCCCTTGGTTACAGCTTGACTGCTAATTGAAACTGTTTCTGCAGATTGAGCGCCAGTTGCGCTAGTATTTGACTTATCTTCTAGTTTTAGTTCTTCTTTACTTGTTTCAGATCCTATTGATTCTTCTACTTCAGTAGAAATAGTTGTTTTAAATACTGATTGTTGATTTAATTCTGATTGAGATTTTGTAGAATTATGTACTTCGTTGCTTGATGAAACTTCAGTTAATTCAGACTTTGAGATTTTGTTTGCAACTGTGGATTCCAAAGAAGCCTTTCTTTTAGCTTTTAATTGTTCCAATGATTCTTCTCTAGTGGAAACGTTATAGATGTCGCTATTTACTTGTTTAGAAACTCTGTCTATAGTTTCTTTATTTTCAGTTTGTACTGTTAATTGATCAACTTCTGTTTGTTTCTTTTCAGTGACGTCTTTGGTTTCAACTTCTGATTCTACTTTTGTTACTTGTTCCTTTTGTACTTTAGAGTGTAGATCTGTTGTTTTTGATTCAAGGTTTGATTCTTTATCTTGTGTAACTTCTGTTTTGATTTGTTTAATTTCTTCGTTAACTTTTGTAGTAACTAGAGATCGATTGTTTTGATCTTGTTGACTTTCATTTGAAAGTGTGCTTTGATTAATTACACCTTCTTGGGCTTTTGATATATTTTCTTTTCGAGCTGAGTCTTTCTGTTCAGATTCTACAGTAACCTGAACATGTTCAATACAGCTTTGTTCTTTTAACTGATCAGAGTCAGTTTCTACAGAAACTTTAGTGATACGAGATTCTTCGATTTGATGTTCAATTTGAGTTACTTTTATACCTTGATTGTTGTCTGCAATTTTTTTCTGCGACTGTTGTGATTCTGTTTCTACAGATACCTGACTTTTTGTTTCAGTTTCTAAAGTAACTTCATAAGTTTTATCTACTTTTAGATTTTCAGCCACTTCAGCTCGTAGTTGGTTGTCTTGAGTTTCTTGTGCCGATAATATTTGTTTGGAAGCTTCCTTTTTATTTATTTCTTGATTCTTTTGCTTGGTCTCCTCAGCTACTTCAGTAATCTGTATTTCTTCAACTTGAGATCTTGTTTGTTGTATCTGCTGCTGCGATTTTGCTTGTGATGATGACTTTTCTGTTTGTGTTGTTACCTGCACTTCATCAACACGTGCGCGTTTTTCTTGGATTTCCTGTCCAGTAGTTACCTCAGTAACTTCAACTTCTTCTACTCGGGTTCGCTTTTTTTGAACCGTTTGTCCTGTTTCTGTTTGTACAGAAGCTTTGGTAACTTCTTCTGTCCGACTTCTTTTTTCTTGAACTTCTTGTATGTCTTCTGTACGTTCTCTCTTCTTTTTGTTTACCTCAGGTGGTTCAGGTGATGTTATTTGTGATGACGAGAGTACTTGTAGATCGTCAGCTGCGTGTTCAGCTAATGCAACTGCAAATGACATAACATGAACAATAAATACCTATTTTATACTATTATTTTATAATTTTGTGAATTGTAAATAGTATACATATTTAGGCAATAAATATTACCGGTATCACTGACGTGCTGTCCGATCTCCGCTAACCAAGCGGTCTTCACTTGCTCCTTGTGTGCGGCGAGAGTAATGAACTGTGGCGGTGATTTCTGATGTATCTCAAACCTTAACCGATCACCTGGATAGTCCTTGACCTCGGCCTCTGGTAGCTGTGTAAAAGAATTCTCAATGAAGTAAAGTGAATCCCGTTTGGATAGTGGCCAAATGTAAATGGATGTTTTCATAAATGTTGCTATTTTTGTACAAGGAAAGTCAAGACTGTCTTAATGCTTGTGTAACATTGTAAACACAATGGATAATAATTTGTGCTTATAGTACATTTATGCTTACTTCGGAAACTAAAGAAATAGAGCTATATGTACCTTTTAAAATTATGCAAGAATTAGTGAGTATTTTTTCTTCTATAATAATATAAAATAGATTATGATCTTACTTTGATGATATCCTTGAGAACGAAAACGGATCTATCGTCCGAGACCTTCTTGACTTTGCAGATGAGGATCCTTGCTTTGAAGAGGAAGAGATATCTCTCCTTGGACTTGCCCTCAGCGTCAGTGACTGTGAACCAGTCGTGAGTGAGGAGTCGGCCGAGCTTATAGATGTTCCCTCGATAGCCTTCGATGCTAGCGATGAACTTGTTGTCGGTGGCTCGATTCGGGACCGACAGGAAGAGTTCTAATGCCTTTTGGAGATCAGTGCAGTCTTCGCCGATTCTTTTCGAGTACTTCACTAATTCCTTGAAAATAATACATATAATAACAAAATAATTAATCTTATTTTCATTATTGTTTATCTACAAACTGCGTGAATTTGTCAATATTATCGTCGTCTCATACATTCTCACTATATTGTTGCAAATTGAAAGCACTGAAAATGGGGATTTTTATATCATGATAAAAAAATCGTACGATATCAGACCACAAGATGTTCGGTTGTAGAGAGTTTCTAAGCCGACTTTGTGGGTATTTTCATTATAATAATGTTTTTATTTTATGCAATTTAGAATGGCAAACAAGTTGACGGCCCACCTGATGGAAAGTGGTAACTGTCGCTTATAGATATGAGCAGTACCATGGATATAACAGAGTATACTGTTTTGCCCATGATACCCCCCATGCGTTGCCGTTTCTGAGGACTCAGGTGTTATTCTTCTGTACCCTGTAAATTCACTGCCCTATCCAACGCTTCAAACCGAGGGAAAAAGGACTGTTAGTAATGGAGACTAAAACTCCCATTGCTAACAATATACCCAACCAGGTCGATCTCCTCGCGGTTCCCCCTGGAAACTATTATGGTTAATTCCTAATGAATTCATCATGATGGGCTAACTGGCCTGTTTTCATTCTCATCTATCACCCTTCACTGGTGCTCTGCCAGCGTATCCCGTTAACGCAGGCAGGGTTACCATTCCATTTTCACCCATAAAAAAACCCTTCAAACCGAAATACAGCCATGTAAACACTGCTTCACGGTAGAAATACTAATGCTGCCCGTACAAACGACTTTTGTACAAAGTCTCCCTCTGGTCGTTATGCAGAGGTATATATAGTAGCATAATGTAACTAAGTTATAACCGCTTATATTGTGTCGTACTGTGGTAGCTACTTCATAAAAGCATCTAGTAGTAGGATGATGTTGGACTTTATTTTTGTTTTAACTAAATTTTTTTTATACAGCTTAGTATGGCAAACAAGCTGACGGTCCACCTGATGGAAAGTGGTAACCGTCGCCTATAGACATGAACAGTACCATGGACATAACAGAGTATACTGTTTCGCCCATGACACCCCCCATGCGTTGCCATTCCTGAGGACTCAGGTGTTATTCCTCTGTATCCAGTAAATTCACGCCACATCCCACCCTTCAAACCGAAACACAGCCATGCAAACAACTGCTTCACGGTAGAAACATGAATGGGACAGAGGTACCTAAGCAATCGATTTTAGTACAAAGTTTCCCTCTGGTAATACTGACCTTCAATAGTAGTTGGTAGTCGTTAATCCTTTGGATGGGTAGTTTGAGATGTTCGGTAATTCCTTTGTCGTCACCGAGTTTGTCAGCAAGGGCCTGGAAAAAAAATATAAAACAAAATTATTTTTTTGACTTTGTGGAACTGGTGGTATTACCACCAGATAATTGAAGATAGATTAAATACGGATATAGAGAAAACACAAACATTTTCATTTGTATATTTTTAACAAGCATAACGTTACTAAACTACCTCTTTGCCTTGATCGTAAAAAAGTTATTTATTTATACTCGTTTCAAATTCGCTTCAAATATTCTGATGGGATCGAGAAAAAAGGGCGGGAGCGGCGAACGTTTAGTTTAAATTGAAGAGCTGTAGTTCAAGTATATATAAATACGCGATGGAACATTGCGTATATGTTTTTTTCTGATTGTTGTGTGCTTTGAATGTTCATCATATCAGCCTTTAACTGTTCACTGCTGTAGTAGTTGCCACGCTTAGCAGGCGGATTGGCAATCACAGTTAGGCTTTAGAGATGTTTAAGAAGGACGTTGCCGCCCATCCTTCGCCTGTAAAAAAATAGTGATTTTCGAGTTACAAGCTTCTTATACATGACGCTGGCAGAAATGATTATAAAAATGGCGACCGATTGTCATTGAGAAAAATAAGAAGAATGTAACTTAAAATATTATATGTACCTTTTGCTGTTTTTGTAATTTTTTTTTTTCATATACATTCTATGCAAAAATTCCAAATTTAATTGGTTTAGGACCAAAAATTGTCATACAAAGCATGCATGTTACCGGATTTAGTTACGCGCAGAAAATAATCTTTGGCAATCAAACTGGAGGACTTGTGTGCGCGAATCAAAATTATCTACCGTCATTATTTTTGCTACGGAAGTAAATAACATAAATCTACACGTATATGCATAATATATAGTACGCAAAGTAAATTAGCTTGTGATTCGAGAGATCATTCTCAGCGTGACGCTTTAATTAAGCTTTTGGCATTAGACCAGAATCAATTACTAGGCATATTGACAGTGGATCAAAAAGTCAGCGTAGAAATTTAGGTTTCATTTTCTTTGCGGTTAATAATGTCTATGGGGGGAAAGGGATTTTTAGTAATAACAGGTCGACCTCTACGCGGTTCTCTCTGAAAACCATCATGATTAATTCTAGTGGGATTCGTCACGATGGGCTGATTGCGCTATCACCTCTCACTGTTGCCCCGTCAGCGTATACCGATAGCGCAGGCGAGGTTACCATTCCATTATCACCCATTAAAAAAATAATGTCTACATGCCTCAAAAGTGAAAAAAGGATAAGTTAATAATATTAATCCTTACTAATATGGTATTCTTAACTTATTGTTGTTGCTGTGTATATTTTAGTGCAATAAAGAATATATATATATATATATATATATATATATATATATATATATATATATATATATATATATACATATATATATAGATACATATATATATATATATAGATACAAAGTATAATAATTAGTAATTATGCGTCATAAAATACGAGTATGTTATCAGTTTTAAATAATTGAACATGGCCGCCTTTTTAATTATATTAATACGTAATCAATTATATTCTAATATTTTTATATTTTTAATCGAATTATTTGTAATACTGATAAAAAGCGTGTTTGTTACTATTTAAAAAAAACATGTGTCAGCCAATTTGATGTTTGGCTAACTAAAAGTTGTATTTTTTTTTACACTTGACACTCTATCTATGTAATCTAACACTTTTATTCATAAAAACATTAAACCTATTTTAGCTATACACACACATATATATATATATATATATATATATATATATATATATATATATATACTATACATACGTATACATTAAAGAAAGATTTTTTTAAAGCTTATTTATAAATATTTTGTGACTAATGATATGGCGACTACGCCTTGTTTGCCATAACCCGGATATAGAAAACATATTACTTAAGATTAGGCTGTATGGCTCAGTACCTTTGCCTTTCCCTGAGTGGGATAAATTAAACTACTACTACTACTAAATTTTTTTTTTTGCTAATTATAAATTTGAAAGACAGTGACAAAATATTCTAACGGTTAAAATAGATTAGTAGGACGTTTTATTTTTGTTTATAACAAAGAGGGCAAGGCTAAGAGGTAAGAGTTCCATCATACAATAACATAGGTAAACATGAGAATGGATTTCTCGCATTTATCACGAGAATGGTAAATGTTTATCACCCGTTAGTAAGTATTATTTATAAAAAAAATAAATGACTATCTAAATGACAAAACTGCATGGATTTGAATATTGTATTAATGTGAATTGTATTGTAAATGTAATTATTGTAATTTTTTTTTTAAATTAATATTATTTTATATAGTTATATATTATAATTATAAATTGACGTATCATAAGAATCTGTAACAGATGTATATGAATAAAGATGAAGTAATAAATGAGTTTGAAAGCAAAAATAATTCTCTATTTGTTGTTGTTAGTAAATAAAGAGACAGGTGTAATATGGATACCGAATCGATATCTATATATTGGGTTCTCTGGACATTTATGGCGGAAAAAGGTCATCACCCGTTTCGATATCGCCTATATCGGTCTGATATCTATTTTCGAATATGTCAATAGTTTGATATTAAACCAACAAGTGTGCCATAGTAACACAAAATGGTCACAACTTAGTTTATTGCTTTGCCCATATATATATATATAATTTTTGGCGAACATTTGGCGGACTTAACACCGGACGAATAGAGAATAAGATAAAGCAATATTATATATATATATATATATATATATATATATATATATATATATATATATATATATATTACTTGTAATTATTTATATTTATAATAAGTTTACTATTGTAATTTTTTGGAGGAAACAATAAAGTATCTATCTATCTATATTGCTATATCCCTAATTGTTAGTAACAAAAAAAAAGGCATGGAATTCTTTGTACGCAGAGGACGAAAATCCGGGACTGTATAAAGTACATACGTAACTAGATACGATATTTTTATTAATTGATAAAATAGTATACCAATAGTAAATCCTTACTTGTACAGGGTTTTAATCCAACATATTGTTCAACACATATGTATGTGGCAGATTACACAAATCGTGTTTAAAATTGACATGAGGCATAATGTACTGGTGTAGCTTAGTATTCCACGCTACAAAATTAGAACGCCTTGACACGGTGTGTTAGTTTGAAGCTTTGCGTTGCTAAAAAGTGTGTTGTACTCATTTCTGGTGCGTAGTTATTTATTTATTTTTGTGGAAATTTTCACAAAAATAATATAGTCGGTGAATATAGGTGACAGATCATTTATAATTATATACTAACTTCATCACTGTATGGTTCCTACATAGAATGGGCCGCCCCTTCGTTTCCCATGGGTGTCGTAAGGGGCGAATAAGGGAACTTAACACTATACTGACAAGGAATTCCGTCGTGGTTGAAATCTTCGGAATTAAACTACATACATACATACATATCTGTCATGCCTGTCTCCCATTACGGTAGGCAGAAACAATGGAACGCTAAATGCTTCGATTCAAACAAACCGCTTCTTCCACATTCATCAATCTTTTCATACACGCGCGCCGGTTACGGGTACTTTTAATTTGGCCCTTCTTCAGCACGTCGCCTATTTGGTCGACATACGTCCGTCTAGGGCGGCCCCTACCGACATCTCCATTCATTCTTGCTCGATAAATCTCTTTCGTAATTCTTCTTTCATCCATCCTCTCCAAATGACCAAATGAATTAAACTAAAATTGTGATAAAAGCCTAAATACAAAGAAAAGTGATTTGTTGGTCATGAACGCTTTGTAATCCAAACGGTGTTGCCCGTCGTGGTAGGAGGACGTACCTACACGCTAGTGCAATGGCAAGTTTACTTGTCACCAGTCAGCAACGTTTGAATATGAAAAGACGAGTTAAGTCATCGCCGATTAGCATAGTTGAGAAATGGGCAGCAGCGCCCATTTTACGAGTAAAACATCACCAAAAGCTTAACTGCGGTTAGGTCTTTGAGATGATTTAAGAGGGACGCTGCAGCCTATTCCTTGCCCTCCCTTAGTCGCCTCTTACGCCACCCACGGAAAGGAGGGCGTGACCCACTCTATGCCCGGACCAACGGCGGATGTAACTAGTTTGGCCATAAATACTGTTACATAAAAACTTTTCTTTTGTTAAATTTTTAATTATTTTGAATTTGGAACACGTTTATTATTTTAAAAACTTCTTTCTGATTTCGCGCCATTTCACATATTTTTACGTGTTCATTATCAAATTACAATATGGAATGGGGCGTTAAAGAAAATATGATTTCTCAAAGGTTGCCAACCCGCTTGCCAAGCGTGGCAAGTACTGGCAAAACTTCTCTTATGGGGAAGGCTTATGTCCAACAGTGGATAATTAACAACTGAAAAAATAATATATAAAAGATAATAAAAAATAAATAAATAAATAAAAATATGATAATAATTCACAATGTTTGTATTATGCGAAGGATCATAACTTGTAGCTCTGAGAGGAAGGTGAGGTTACGTTATAACCGCTGCACCACCAAGGCCGTTATCATTTGCAGCGAGCTTTTGCAGTTAGATAAACATCACTTGACGTCATCCATCTATTCTGGTGATTCTATCATTAATGTAAATTATACAACTTCCTATCCCGTGGGCGTCGTAAGAGGCGACTAAAGGAATTTAATGATCCAGGAATGAGCATTGTTCTTCTTAAAACATCACCAAAGTCCAACTGCGGTTGCCAACATGCCCGCCAAGCCATAATTGCCACAATTATTGGCAAAACCCCTGAAGGTTTTATGTTCAATGTTGGACAGTTAACGGCTGATATGGTGATGATGATGATGATGTATTGTTTACTAAAAAATTCTCGAAATTTATTTATTTATTTGTGTTTATATATTTAACATGGAAATAGCAAAGTTGGCAATAATAGATCGTAACGTACTAAGAATACAGTCGAATTATGGATTTACCTGACTGCCAAAGACTTTTAAAAAGAAGAAGGGTTATGTTTTATAGCA